GGATCCCTGGCTGGCGCTTTTGGCGCGTTGGCCTGCGCTGCTGACAGGACGCCCAGCAGCAGCTGGTGAAGAGTCGGCTGGTCTATGTTCCCGCTCAAAGTATCCCTGGCGGCTTCTATGTCGTTTTGGTTGGCTGGCAGCATCTGGCCCGATCCCCCTTCGCCGGCTGCTTCGGCCGCTCCTGCGTTGACCAGGTTATCTCCCGTTGCCTTTGTCCTCTTACCCGTCATTTTTTGATTTTTGTGACGGAGCTCCTGGTTGTTCCTCGGAGAGTGACAGGTCCGCGGCGATGTCGATTCGTTGTGGTAGAGCGTCGATGAGGCTTGAGGGTAGTCGGTAAGGTCTTGGATAAAAGTGAGAGCAACAATAATAATAAGCTCCAATAGTGTAGGCAGAATGCCGGAACTATGGAGCTGTCAGCTGAAATAGTAAATTCGAATTCTCAGCAAGCCATACGGCTGCCGTACATAACCTAGCTTAGAGGCTATACTCGCTTTGCTCCTGCCGCATCTAAGCTACAACTACAAGGGGGAAGGCATTGCAAGCGTAAGGCAAGATGTTACATGTGCAAGATGTCACAACCAAGGCAAGACAAGATGTTACGTGTACGTGGTACCGGGCGTGTTGGCCAGAAAGATGTGTCCCCCTACAACGGAGTATGCGATTGTTACAGTGGACCCCAACGGAGCGCACGTCGCTTTCTGTCGAGGAGCGCACGTGCGATCAGGATTCAGATAAAAGGAGGAAGAGACCGTTACTACAGAAATCCCTTCGCTTTATGGTATCCCCTTCCCAATGCATACAAGGGGCATTCCATTACTGCTTTCTGAATCTCTGCCAGATGATTTGCCTAATCTCGCCTGATCCCAAAGGTATGGGATACTGTGCCCCACCTTGTGCTCCTCATTGAGCTGAGGGCTCGTTTCCTTTTTTCTGTCCACATCCTTCTTCGCTCAACCTCTTCGGTAACCATCCATCCTCCCGGAAAGAAAGGAGTGGGGTATTGTAAAGCAAACGAATGTCGTACAAGGATCCTAGATCGTCTTGTGAATGAATGCATGGATGGATAAGTGAGGCTACAATAAGAATCCCTAGGGATCTATCGTCGGTGCATTAACATCGTAATAACCCAACCCTGTAGGACCAAAGCCAAGCCGCGCAGAGCCCGCAACCGACCACAGACACACCTCTATCTGCACAGCAGAGCACTGCTAAAGAGGCAACCCCGCCTTGGACCTCTCGTCCAAGAGCAGTCGCTCAGAGGGGGTTAGCCGACCAGGGGCCGACCCCGGGGGCCACCTGTGGTTTGATGTCAACCACCATGGACAACTACACAGCCCGGCTCGCCAACGGAAACTCAAAAAGTCTTGGCTGCACATGAAGGGCTCAATGCTGGCCGTCACACACGTATGCTGGCCAAAAGATAAAACGCAAAAAATAAAAAAGAAGGGCGTCTCCTCGCAGGAGCCATGACGATTCAAGAACAGCGAGCGCTCCATGGCGCGTACGGCAGGGTACGGCAGCCATGAGGACAAATAGAAAACAAAACGTAAAGGAAAGGTCCCGCATTTGTGCTGAACTTGCAACTTGTAATATACAGTCGCGATGGGAAAAAATAGTGTCGCCCAACAAATTATGTGTGTGTGGTATTAGCGAGATATTTTGGGCAGGGTATCTAACAACAAGTACTACAATCCATTCTACATCAGGGCATACACTAAAAAAACACACATACAAACCCACACACGCAATTGATGCGACGAACGTAATTATCTTAGATAGTACGGCATCATAAATTCAGTTCCGGATAAGCGTCACCATATATTACGAGCGTCTAGGGAAACATTACCTGACCAATTAAAAGGAAGAATAAAATCTATAACAATCGCAAACTACGTCCATATACATACGCATGTCCAAGCACGCCTGTACGGAAACATGTACATGTACGGAAGGGCCCTAGGAGTAGCTGTACGCTGGAGAGCTGGAAAAAATCAAAAAAGCCAAAACACCACTAATTGTTCCAGGGTTGCAGTAGCAATGCTGTTCTACACAACCCCTGCGCTCTGCCCTAGCAAGAGCTATTTATGCAACTGCTGGCTTCTCTACTCGCCTGCATATCTACCCACCTGCCTACCCGCTTGCTTCCTGCCTACTTATCCACGTCACCAAAGCCACCTGCCATGTCAGACATCTTCCCAACAGCAGCATACCCACCCGCGACGAGCCACTCACTACAGACCGAATGCCGGGGGAGCAGGTACGGGCCGCAGGTGATGGCTGCAGCCACGGGGCTGTCGTGCTAGGGGATGGGCGTGGCTCACCCGCACCCGTCCCCACTCCTGACAGGGCGTCATTAACGGGCTAGCGGCGCTGACGTCACTGCCACCGTACTGCAGGCAACCCAAGCAGCTGACTGGCAGGGGATCATATCCGACGGCAAGTCGGCACGCCAGGACGCGCATGCCGCAATGCCACCGTTGCCGGTGCCGCTGCACCTGACGCTAGACAGCGTGCCCAAAAAGCTGCCTCGCGCGTCAAGAGTAGGGTCCTGCACAAAGTCCCTTGCGCTGGTTTCGGAGCCCTTTGCTGCACCGCGAGTATACACGACGCCGCCGGCGGGGTAGCCCAAATCGCGGCACGCCACCGCCGCCGCAACGTCATTAAAGCCGTCGTCCAGACACACGGCACCAAAAGGTCCATTGCCGACAGAGGCCTCAAGGCGCGCGATGAACACCACGCCGGCGGTGGCAGCGGTGTCGTCACTGGTGCTGCTGCTACCGCCGTACCCTCCGAAACCAATACCCCCGTTATCACCGGCGCTGGCAGTGGCAAAGGTGCGGCCGGAAGGCGCTGGCCTGGCCGCCGCGCGAAGTATGACACTGGATGGGACGGCCGGCTCGCCGCGGCAGCGAACAGCAGCCAGAGCCTGACAGCCGCCGCTGTCACTGCCGCCGCCGCCGCTGCCGCCGTACTCACCGAACACGCCGAGCATCCATGCTTCAATGGCGCCTGGCGGCGCCGTCACGTCACATCCCGATAGAGACGCCTCCTGGCCGTTACAGCGCAATGTACCAGGCAAGAGCTGCGGCAGCGCATCGCTCCGCCAGATGCGCAGCGGGTCACCGCCGGCGATGTAGCCCGCCTGACGACACGCCGTATTGGCCGCGTTGGAGTCCCAACCGGCCCACGGGTCACCGCAAAGGTAGCTCCATGATTTCAGGTCGCCGCCACTCTGGGCGGACAAAACCTGGGGCATATGTGTTTTCATTCGAGTTCTTTATCGACGTATGTATGTATGTATGTATATGCTGCATAAAAAATGAATATATAGAAGTTCGGCAGGATAGTAATTACACCAAACAATGAAGAACTGCTCATCCTTTTCAAGGCAATTTCTGTAACCGAATTCGCGTGGCAGGATGAACGGATTCGCAAGATTGGATGGATAAGATGGAAAGCCTGTCGCCATGGACAGCAAACATCTGGATCTAAAGATGTAAGGCTGTACGGGCTGTACGAATGTACGAATGTGCAATCCAAGCCCTCACCGTGACGAAGCCCAGGCCTGACAGCGCAGGCGTGGGAGCCTGGTTTGCGTCTGCTGATATAGCCACCAGCAAGGTAATCAGGGGCGGCAAACGGGGGGCTGCCGGCGGCGTAGACGGCGGTGACGGCAGCGGTTGTGGCGGTGACGCCGGCATGGGAGAATGTGTACTGCCGGGCCCGATCGGAAGGGGCGGTACGGTAGGTGCTTGTGACGGCGGAACTGACGGCGGCTCGTCCTTCGGTGGCGGAGCCGACGGCGGCTGTAGTGTCGGCAGTGATGATGACGGTGGAACTGACGGCGGCTCGTCCTTCGGTGGCGGAGACGACGGCGGCTGTAGTGTCGGCAGTGATGGTGACGGCGGAACTGACGGCGGCTCGTCCTTCGGTGGCGGAGACGACGGCGGCTGTAGTGTCGGCAGTGATGGTGACGGTGGAACTGACGGCGGCTCGTCCTTCGGTGGCGGAGACGACGGCGGCTGTAGTGTCGGCAGTGATGGTGACGGCGGAACTGACGGCGGCTCGTCCTTCGGTGGCGGAGACGACGGCGGCTGTAGTGTCGGCAGTGATGATGACGGTGGAACTGACGGCGGCTCGTCCTTCGGTGGCGGAGACGACGGCGGCTGTAGTGTCGGCAGTGATGGTGACGGCGGAACTGACGGCGGCTCGTCCTTCGGTGGCGGAGACGACGGCGGCTGTAGTGTCGGCAGTGATGATGACGGTGGAACTGACGGCGGCTCGTCCTTCGGTGGCTGTGAGGACGGCAGCTGTGGATCGGCAGCGACGGCGTGCCTGGCGGCAGGTGCGGCGGCGGCGTCTCCAGCGGCGGGTACGCCGGCAGCGCCCCAGGCGGTTGGTACGACGGCGGAGGGTACGATGACGGCGTCCACGACGGCTGTGATGGCGGCACCTGCGAGGCAGTTGGCTGTTGCAGGCCAGTCCCCGGTCCCGTCGGAGGATTCTCGGGTGACGCCGGCAGCGGCAGCGGCATGGCCCCTCCGTAATACGGCGGCGTGTACATGGGCCGGGGGCTGTGTTGTTGCTGATGATGGTCATGGGGCGAGTACACCGGCGGTGGGCTGCGCGAGGGCTCCGTCGGCATCTTGGGCGGCTTGGGATCTGGTTGCGGTTGCGGTTGCAGTTGCGGTTGTGAGCCGGGAGGCTCTGCTCGGAGGGGGAGGAGATGGGTGCGAAGGGGCAACAGTGAATGAACAGCAAGAGGATGTCATGAAGCGGAGATGCGGAGGAAGCGATGGAGAACGTTCCTCGGGCAATCGACTACAGATAGTCTTCACTGCAGACAATACGAACAAGTCTTCACTACAGATAAAACGTGCCAGCAGCCATCCAGCCAATAATCCCCGTCGACCAGCCCAGACACTCCCCTTCCCCATGCTGCGCGTGCCAACACAAGCCTTGCACGACAAGTGTATCTTGTACGACAAACGCTTAGCACGATGCCGTACCTCGGTAGCACCGAACGGCCATCAGGTGAGCCCACCATGCCGTCGCCGCCGCCGTGTCACTCTCTGCAGCGATACACGCCCCCGCGTCGCCCCAAGCGCTGTGAGCACAGTCCAGGAGCACCCGTTCCTCGCCCGTACAGGATATCCCCGACAGAACCGCTGCAGGCAGCGGCAACGGCGCTGTTGCCGCGCCCGTCCAGCCAGCGGCGGCGGCGACGGCGGCAGCGGACTCGGGCGAGCCGCCGATGTAGCCGAGCTGCCGACAAACCACGTTGGCGGCGGCAGCGGTGCCGCCGCCGCTGCCGCCCCAGCCATCACCACTGCCTTCCGTGGCGGTGAAGTTGTGGGAGCTTGGCTGCTGCGGTATCGACGGTGACGGCGGCGGGGACACAGACGAGGATGACGCGTGTGGTGCCGAGGAATCAGTGGAGGCGGTGGAGGAGGCGGTGGAGGGGGTGAGAAAGGCGGAGGAAAAGGCCTGGGTAAAGACGGGGGCAACGCCGGTGGAGGCAGCGGAGGTGGAGGTGGAGGCAAGGGTAGAGGCAAGGGCCGAGGCAAAAGCGGAGGGGGAGGTGGAGGAGGAGGCCGAGGTAAAGGCCGAGGCGGAAGTGGAGGCAAAGGCTGAGGTGGCGGCGGAGGTGGAGGATTGTGAGGAGGTGAAGGCGGCGGCAACGGCTGATGCGGATGCTGAGGTGGCGGCGGCTGAGGTCAAAGCACACAAGGTCGCCCACAAGCCGCCTCCCAGAGAGATCTCCACAACGCCCGAGTCCGAAGATTGCCCGCCAAAGAGACGAACTGCACGACAGTACCAGCAATACAACAAGGGCATTTGCCTCGTCATCAACCTCCGTACGCATATGCGGTATCAATTCTACAGCAGGGTGATGCGACACATGGGCGTCGTCGTGAACATCAACGATCGCGAACACACGCGAGCAAAGAGGAAAGCTCAACAGCATAGAGGATGAAAACACACAGGTGCACAAACGCAAACCGGAGGGAAAGAAAAACTCTACAGGGCGCCGGATGCTAAAACTCCGTTCACCTTGCGCATTACCAGTGCTATTGTTGCTGCTGTTGTCCTTACCGCTGCTTTCTGTGCTATTCATGGTGCCTTTCAAGGTACTGTTCATGGCGCTATTGTCGTTGTTGTTGATGTTGTTGGTGTTACGGACGAATGCCAGGCACACCACACCCGCCATGCCGTCCTCGGCTGCACACCCCGGCTTATCCCCAAACGGCCTACAAGAGCACTCCTCCAAGCTCTGCTCATCACCCTTGCAGCGCTGCAAGACCGGTGCAAGTGTGAAAAAAGGAACAATCGTTTCAAACATGAATGGCAACAGCGGGGTTCCAGTTGGATTAAGAGGTAAAGAGGAAAGCGCGCGAACGAGAGGAATGTCGAACGATTTCACCACTGGGATGGCAGCGACTGTGGGTGCGGGTGCGGATGATGTTAAAACCTTGCACACACCTTGGTAGGTGGGTGCAAGGTGACCCGTAAAGTCGACCAGGGAGACGGATAGAACCCTCCTCTGCTGCGGTGGTGATGATGAAGGCGGCTTCGATTAAGATGATGATTTGGATACCACCCTCCCCCCCCCCCCGCATCCCCATATCGTGTCTGTCTGTCTGTCTGTAACCATCCAAATCGAGCTGGCGTACCTGTACATTGAGCAGCGTTGGCAGCTCGACGGACGGCGGTTGCGGTGCGCTGGCTGCAAAGCCCGGGTAGGAAGTGGCCGTGCGGGGCAGCCCCAGGGTGCCCAGCCCCATCTGCCGGCAAGCGATGGTGGCTTCCGCGGCTCCGAAACTCGGATGAAAACACACCGAACCCCACGAGTGTCCCTCGTCTGCAGATACCTGCGACATAGGAATATATGAGCGTAAAGGAACTGTTTTAGGATGATACTAAACTACGAACACAAACACGGTTATGGGCATGCGCGTAATATCGGCACCATTTATGTGTTCGTGTTCTTGCCGCTGTATACGGAACGCAGCGCTTTTTATATTATTTCCCTGATTACACCAGGAGCATGAACACATGAAATTCTGCGCCCTCCGTAAAAACGCTTATGGTGGTGGTGGGGGGGCATTCTGAGGAGGGTCCATTGCATGTTTTTTTTCGTGTTCTTCTAAAACACCGCTTCCCAGTCGCCTCCTACCTCCTATCTGTTTCAAAACTCCAATCCCCCAAACGTCCTCTTTATCCCCCTCCCGCCCCCATCTGCAAGCAACTCCTCATACGTTAGGTCCCATGCTGACCTGCAGCCAACCCGATTTCACGAGCCCATCTTCGGAACAGCTCCCGTTCCCCGCCAGCCGCAGTGAAAAAGGCGGCTTGGGACCGCCATCACCGCCGCGAGGAGGGCTGCTGACGGGAGGAGAGGTGGTGCTCTGGTCGCTGCGACGCTGTACGGGGATGGTTGAGTTCGCCGTGGGCGAGTCGGCCGTGTCATTGCTCTCCGCACGTTCAAGTGGAGGCGGCGACGTCGCCAGCGATTGCGGTGATGGATGCGGAGATGGCAGCTCGTTGTCAGGGCTGCTGCCCCTCTGACTCTGCGATTGGCCGTCTCCGTTAACGTTACCGTTGTTGCCGTTGGCATTGCCGTTGCCGTTGTTGCCAATTCTGTTACCCTTGGCGTCATCGCTCTTGCTGTCGGCACTTCCGTTGCTGTTGGCTTTACCATTGTCGCTGCTAACATTGTCACTCGCGTTCCCAGTTACAATACTACTGCTGCTGCCGCCGCTGTCACTGGACGTGCCATTGAGCTGCTGCTGTTGTACAGGATTGTCCATTTTCCCGTTCCCGTTTCCGTTTCCGTTGCCAACGCCACTGCCGTTCCCGTTCATATTACTACTCCTTATGCTACTGCTGTCGCCAATGCTGAGTGCCTTGCTTCCGGCAACCACCAGGCTGGTGCCATTCCCAGTGGAGTTCACTTGTTGCTGCTCCTGAGCTCCAGCGCCGACGGTGCCATCAGCCGTTTTTAAATGCCGGACTGTATCTCCCAATCCGCGACGGCATGCATAGGCACGTGAAAAGGTATTAGAGGAGGCAGAGCACGGCATGCGTAAGATTGATCGTCAATTTCATGTCGAAAGACGCTAGTTGCATCAGTTTACCAGTGATCGCTCGTTGTCCAGCAAGCTCATAGCACGTAGAGGCCAAGGCATCTGGCAAGCCGTCACAGTCCTCCAGATTGACTCTGCGATTCCAGGCGGCAATGTCAAACGACGACAAATACTCATTCCTATGTCGGGGTTGGGGCCGGACATGCTTCATGACATATTCATCAAGGTGCATGGGAGCCATGGCCGTTCCCCCCTGGATTCCTCGCCTGTGAGAGCTGCGCGCGGTGATGCCGTTCAGAAAGCCCTTCCCATCTTCCAATGAGCTGACTGGCAATAAAATAATAACAACTATGTTGACTATTATCTGAATAGATAGGTTTAGAAACACAGAATAACTCGCCACGACCATACTCTGTCTCGATTGACAAAGGACAAAGGCTTTCCAGTTTGGTAATTAGCGAAGGGATCTTATTTGCTAAGTTATATTCACAATTATCTCATAGTTCTTGCAAAAGGATGAGGGGCAGGACTTTGAAGTAGGGAAAGGTTTGCAACCGAGACTGTGCGAAAGAAACACTACGGCACTGTGTGAGAGGTTCTCTTCATAGCCTACGCAAAAATGACTGACCTTCATGCTGTTGAGCCGGGTTTATATGGATGTACGAACGCTACTGCCGCAGCGGCTGTCACACGATGGCCACCCTGCAGCAACAGTATGCCTCCCAGGGATAAAGTACAAAAAACACTGCCTCTTACGCAACTCATCTAGGCGAAGCCAGTGACACATCCGAGGGCTAGGGTTTAAGGAGTTTATGCTGATTGGTCGCTGATCGGTGCTGATTTGAGCAGTGGCCCTTGGGGAACGTAAAGTTTGGGAACCGTTGCTGCTATAGAGCAACTCGGTGCATCATCTCTGCTAGCTGCACGCTTCAGGACGCAAACGTATTGCAACTCTTTGCAACCTGCCTGATGGAGACGTAACAAGATGCCGGCCACGCATATGGAATCTAGGGGAATCTCACCTAACACCATGAAGAATCGGGCAAAATCTCCAAAAATCCACCATAAGGAATCGGGTGCAAATCTTACTTTTGTTTTCGTCCAGCACTGCACCGTACCGTCCTGACTCCGGCCGGAGGCAGGAAACACGATCTAAGGAGTAGAATGACCACGCATGAGCATGAATGTATAATGTGCAGATTTCCATAACAATCTGCAGAAATACGTTCTGCCCGACCCACGCAGAGGCACGCAGGCACCGGTCACGGAGGGACGTGGCCCACAACGGGAGCTGCTCCACAGCGGGGTTGCGCCCCAAAGCGGGGTTGCGCCCCAAAGCGAACGAAGACGAAGAACACGGAGGCCCCTCCACTTCGCATCTCCCAAATGGAGGTATTATACATTACTGCTGCCACGGTGGTGATTCAACTTCAAAATTCAATGAGCCCTTCCCCTTTGGTTTCCCCTTTGTTCACCCCCTGTTTTGGAGGGAGGCATTCGTAGATGCACTTCTCCTCGAGGGCTCCCCAGCCACAGCCTACAACTCCCGCAAGTCCTACATGCCCCAGGCCTGGCTCGTCCATGCGAAACCCTAAGTCACGGGGCCATACCAGATTGAACATAGACAAATCTTTAGGCAATAAAGGAGGGCCAGCCTGAATAGCTCTCGTCGCCGCTGGAATAAGCTGGAATGCTGACCTTGTAAACAGGAAGAACCTCGCCCTTTTGGTGGTTGTGTAAAAATAGCCGTTATTACAGTGAACCCTACGGCGCTGCTGTGGTGGTTGCTGTGGTGTTTGTTGCTACAGCTGTAGTAATTGCCGATACTGGTATATTAGGCCTTAACTTGACGCAAAACCACCCTATAATTTGATTGTAACATGGCAAAAGCATAGCAACGAAAGGACAATAGCAAATAGGATCCTGCTCACAACGCACTGCATTGCGTCAATCGATCAATCGATCAGCTGCAGGTACAGTTCTCAGCGCCGCCGAAGCAATCCAGTCTGCTGTGGTGCCGGTTACCGGTCACACCCAATCGACGAAAGTCCATCCCTTCCCGCCCCGAAATGTCACACGGCCAAAACACAAACAAAAGGTCGTAGCGGTAGCCTTGCCGTTGCCTACCTAGGTACCTATAAACATACATACATACAAACGCACATATACACATCACAGCAGCTGCAGCTGCGGATCCCCTCCGCCCTGTAGACGCCTTCTTGGCCCCACACGCCACCGCACCCTTCACCTTGCAATGGCAAGGGAATCCCTCCCCGTCCTTCCCCGTGTTTGCCGTGTTACCACGAGTACGTCAGGCCCCCGCCATATGTCCCGTGCCCGTCCGTAACAGCATCGCTGGGCGCTGATGGGGAGGAGCGACCTCATCCTTCGGCGGCAACCGCGGCAACGTGGCTCTAGGTTCCCCCTTTTGAGAATGACCAGTTTGACGTCCGTCTGCAATACACACACACACACACACGTCCGCCATGGCGTCAAACGTCAACTAAGCAAACTAAGCAAACAAAGCAAACCTGCGCGTACACATGCACGGGCACCCTTACGTTTGCCTTGGCGCGCCAGAAGCCGGCACAGCATCGCAGCTTGATGTCATCGCAGCTTGATGTCATCGCACAACAAAAAACCAGCGACGTTGCCATCTCTCCCCCCCCACACCAATACATACGCACAATGACGAGACTCCAACACTACAGCATGTCAGGTCGGTCGGTCGGTCGGAGAATGTCACAACACCATCAGGCGGCAGTGGTTTGATAAAAATAATAATGTTCCCTTCCGTACACATCAGTCAATACACATCAATACGCAATGAATACACCGCCAGTTCTATGTACCCGCCCGCGACCCGGCACAATAAAAACGCAACCAAGCCATCATCCCGCAAAGCCCAACGTGATGGACCTATTATTATTGCGACACAGCCCCCCCCGGCCAAAACACGTTCAACAGGGAGTAGACGGAGAGTGGAAGGAGATGACGCGCGTGTCCACACGCACCGCACAACACGCAGTTATGTAAGATGGCACATCACATCACACACACATCATATCACACATACAGTTTTCTTGGGTATCGTTTCACCGTCCGCTGCTGCAAAAGGGAGACTGCAAAGGGGGCGAAAAAAGCATAGAGCACTCTCCGCCAGCGCATGGAAGTTACGTGCATAAATTCCATGTAGGCGTAGACGCAGCTGCCGGGCAGCATTCGCTATCATCAAGCCCCCTTAAGGATGGGGCCCCCCGAACTCCGGCGGGTATAGGGAGGAGAGGCAATACATGTAATGGTGCAGAGAAAAAACATGGAAATGTTCCGCCAGCAGCAGCAAATAAAACGACCCAATAGCCCTCCGGAGATAACATCTATCAGTTATCACCCCAATGGGAATAAATTTACACCCTAATCAAAAGACGATGCGCTCCAGGAAAATAGGCGGAAACGGCAGTACAAACTAACCGTGCAGCACTTCCGTACACCGTACCGACCAAGGGTTGCAACGACATTGGCTGCATGCAATGTGATTGGAAAGGGGATCAGCGGCATCATCACTTGACTTGCAAAACGCATATTCGCGAAATGAATGCAAGAGCGCACGCATGGCACGTGCGGCGAATTGTAGGCAGCGTGAAATGGATGTATGTATGGTTTTTTTGGCCAAGTGGGTAGTCTTTTCCCCATTTCCATTTACGAAGGATTCGGCACCATAACTGTCTCATTGGCTCACGGAATGAACAAACAACAGCGAGACATACGTCCTCATCCTCGCCTCCCCTCCGTAACAATCTTATATTATTGCAAACCTACAAGATATCGTGAGTGCATGCAGCTCTTGCTGCTGCTGTACAGTGTACGGCATGCTTCAAACGATCATAACGGTCGATAACGATGGCAGACCTGATGGTAATACAGACATATAGACATACTCATACATACACGCACGCAGTCATTACATCCACCCTCCCTCCCTCTCTCCTTGTTCCCCCCTTCCCCTCAGTTTCCTACCCCTTCCCCCCCCCCCCGTGCACAACACACAAAGAAAGCGACGAAATCCCCCTCGTTCCGCAGAAATGCATGGATCACGTTGTGAGTACTTTTGCTTCGTCCTGTCCTGTCGTACTGTACCGTATTGTGCCGTACTGTTTTAGTGACTTGTTTTTCGGGGCTGAGTGAGTTGTACTGGTGTGCTGATGTGATCTGTTTGTTCTTCCAATTCTCTTCATCCTGCATCTTGTCCTCCTCCTTGGTGACGACGATGTCGTACTTCTGCTTTACTTGTTGCAGAGCACCCAGGCAGCCGCGCGGCAAGGGATGGCCGCCGCCAGCACATTCGTACGCCAGGAAGCACATGACGTCATGTTGGCTTCGGCGCCGCCGCACCGTACACTCGACACCGTGGCCAAATAGCTGCCCTGCACATCGACCCCACGAGCGGCGGAGCCCACCGTGCCCTTGGGCGCACCGTTTGGATATACGACACCAGTACTGAAACCCAGGGAACGGCACGCAACCAGCGCCGCCGGGTCGTCAAAGCCGTCATCCAGACATACCGCGCCGTACTCGCCATTGCCGACAGAGGCCTCGAGCCGGATTGCCGTACCGGTGTAATTTCCCGTGACGTTGGCGCCCGACGGCGACGGACTGCTGGCAGCGCGGAGCAGTACCTGCGCCGAGGATGCCACACCGGTACGGCAGTGTACGGCAGCCAACATCTCGCAGGCACCTGCCGCGTCCTCGCCGCTGACGCCAAGCTGCCAGTACTGAATCGTTTGTTCGGGAGCGCCGGTAACGTCGCATTCACTTAGGGTGGTTTCGGAGCCTGTGCAGTTCAGGCGGCCGAGAAACATGGTTGGCAGCGCACCGCTCCGCCAGATGCGCAGCGGGTCACCGCCGCTAGGGTAACCCGCTTGACGACACGCCGCATTAGCGGCATTGGCGTCCCAACCGGCCCATGGGTCACCGCAAACATAGCTCCACGACTCGTTGGCGTTTGGGAACGCCGCGCGAATCTGCGGGCGGAACCACCACCACCACCACCGGGGGTTTAGAGATCGTAGGATGGATGGGGAAAAAGGGCTATAAGCAAAATATGCCATGTGATCAGTGAGTCCCTAACACGATCGTTAACAACAATACACCAGAGGTCGCACAGCCCGGTGTGTCACGAAGGTCTACTTACGGGCACCATTAAAACGTGTCACCACTCTCACCCCCACCACCTCGAATAGCCTTACATACATACATACATACATACATACATACATACATATGCTCGGGCTGCCCTCAAACCCCCAAACCCTCCAAAATTACCTTCAAGATGCCCGTGCCCGAAGTGGCCGCTGTCTCAGGGCCGCTGGAAGCAGAAACGCCCACCAGGCTCACGTGGGTGGGAGGCAGTCGGTTGACACCAGGGGGCGGCGGTGGGTACGACGAATACGTGGGCGGGTACGGCGCTGCATACAGGAGCAGCAGTAACGGTGGCAACAGTTACATACATACAGGCGCTGTGTTACATACACCCTTGCGCTGTGTTTCGGCTTCGGCCCCCGGCTCTCGCGGCCCACAGTGTAATCTAAGTCATACATACATACATACATACATACATACATACATACATACATACATACATACATACATACATACATACATACATACATACATGGTGGCTCCGGGGCCTGTGGCGACGGCGGCAACGGATGCATGGACGGCGATGGCGGTTCGGGTGAGGAGTCCCCTGTGCAGTACGGCAGGAAAGGGAAAGGGAAAGGGAAACCTCGGTAAAACCTCGGAGGTCGGCATGCGCCGGTGAGAATCACACAATGCATACAACCTAATGCATACATTCTGAAACTGACATCAACAAAGGCACATATTGCTCGCGGGGTGTCGGGATGATGAAAAGAAGAAACGATCCTTTGCAAACAATTCCATCCTGTTGTTGTTTCTACCGGGAACGACACCATCCCCGAGATATAGAAAGATGTTGAAGAACCATTTCTGAGGATATGCCACAGTCGCAATGGGGTCTGCGATGGGGCTTACCACCATCTCATGCCTCCTTATCTCATAGCCCCAGGAGGCTCCCCCCGCGGGGGGGTAAGGTGAGTCCCCCAAAGTTTTTGCCGCTGGTACACATCGATACGCGGGTAATGCAACACGCGATTTCAATAGATCCCACGACGAGGTGGATTCACGAGCTAGATCATGAAGAAACGGTGAAGAGGTGAATGAATATAATACCAATGAATATAATAGCTAAAATACGGTATCTCAACAGCGCTACGTACTGCGTGCATGGTTTCACTTACCGTACACCCCAGGTGGTGGCGATGGCCCGGGAGGCGGTGAAGGCGCAGGCGCTACAGGATGCCCCGCAGGAATTGCTGTTGGAGGCGGGACACGCAGGTAAGTATATGTAAATGGAGTGATTACAAAGAGCTGTAAAGCGTTAGAAGATGTAAAAATGATTCTGGTTTGTGGGCGTTGTGAGCAATCGGGGAAGTCGTATCCGCCGTCATATCTGTTGTTCTCAGGGCTCTTAAGGACGTTTCGGGCATTATGGCGATGATGGCGGTAAACCCATGGAGGGAAAAGCCCAGGGTGGAAATTCGGAATGAAGTCGGTGCAAGCAATTACGTGTGGACTTCTAGCACGAGGCTAGACGGTGCAGCATGCTAAACCAAACTGCCATGCCTCAATAATCCGTGCTTAAAATCAAAAACAGTCGAAGGAGCCATTGCTAGCTTCTAACACTCACAAGGTGAATAAGAAGGAGGCGACGGTGGAGGCGCGTTCATGACCGTCGCTGAAAAGGTGGGAAGGCAGGGTGAGGGTAAACAGGTTTAGCCTTGCTTATTTCAATGTGCACGTTGAAACTCACATTATGCATGAATAACTAGGTAGGCAAACATTTTAAGCCTAGCTCAGTTCCGCCCTAAAGCCCCTGTTGGCGCTGCACCACCAAGCATGCCCGTCAACGACATATATCATCCAAATAAAACTTCAAACAATTACGTGCACAGCCCCAGACCTAAACTGCGGGACTCAGGTAGGTTCCCATAGCCTTGGCAATGTCGGCATCTGACGCGAGGTATGTAAGGACGAAGCGTAGCGCAAAGAAAATGCTTAGAATAATGCTGAACCATATCCTAGCTGTCCTTTCTGCGGGCAACACACTGGGAGGGAAACAATGTCGTGTAAGGGATAGAATGACAGTATGCGCCTCTGCCAAACGCGTTGTATTTCATGCCCACTTACCCTGTTAGGAAGCGGGGAACCTCCAAACCCATAGTCGCGCCTTGCTCGTTTTCATTCGCCATGCCTCCGTTAACGCAGGCTGAAATGAACACAGACAGGACCAGCAAAAATGCTCCAGGATACATAGAACGCAAACTATATTCCGTCAGAGCACACCGAGCACTGAGCGGACGCCCTGGGAGCGCCCTTCGAGTCGGCTTCATGTCCTCCCGAAAGCAAGTTTAGAGCGACTGCCTAACCTTAGTGCTGTCAGATTCGTTAACAGTTGTCCTTTTCTTTGGACAAGTTCACGCTAATTCAATGCACGTGCCACCCTTGCCAGCACTGCGAAAAGGAAAAGTGACGAGTCTTTCTGTATATCAGTAAAGTGTAGCAAAAATGATGAAGACGAATGAAGGGACGCATCAATGATACAGTGTAGAACGTGCTGGGACTTGCCTTCAGACGCGCTGCAAGCCGTACATCAATGTTACCTTACGTAAAGTCGCTGATGGCAGGTGGAAGGTGGCCAACCACATTGGCAGTAGTTCAAAATCAAGATTCTCAAGTTATGCTTGCTTACAAAGCATCTGTTCCTAAACCTGGCAGGATGAAACCGAATGCCCTTAACCCTCAACGTTTTCGCCTGCGGCCAACGTCTTCAGCGGCGATTCATGCATCCTTTCTTCCGTAAGCCGCACAACCCACTGGACATACCCGTCTTGTACGGAACGTGTGTACGAGTGCGCAGCAGATCTAACAGAGCACAGCCAGGGGGTGAGCAGGAGATGCCGTGGAACCCAACTCGAACCCCGAACCGCATCCCTTCGGTTGAAGCTGGTGGCAAATAATAACACGTCTAGGGTTGCGTATCTCTTGAGGGTTTCGGATAGGTCTAGATGCACGCTCGCAGACGCAGACCGAAAAGGACAACTTGTTTTACACATTTTTCGCACGTTGAAGATACAGCCAGCAAATCCCAACAATTCCATCGAGTCACACTGCCGTACACATACGTTTTGTCGATGCTACCGTCGTACGACGCGACAGCACCAAATCGCTGATGAACTCGCTCTAGCTCCTACATACACCTCATCGAGTAAAACACTAAGGGAATTTCAGCTTCGGGCTGGACGGCGATTGCCAAGTACACCTGCTGCAACATCCTCACACAAACCTACATCGTCGCCTACAAGTGCGTGATGTAATCCTATGACGGTCGAAAAAGCAGTGATGTCTGATGATTAACCTACAGGAGGTAGACGAGGTCACCGTCTGTTCGTTATAGAGAATTTGTCACTAATGGCGCTGCAGACGCACTCGTTACCCCCCCCCCGGCCGCATGCGGAATATCCTTTGTTGTGCTCTGTCTTGGTCTCCGGCTAAGTGTGAAGAGGATTCTTTCAATCGCATGCAGATCCTCTGGCCTGCAAGCGCGATCTGGGAAGCCGGCGACGTCTCCACGCCAATTCCCGCACTCCGGCTGGATGCGTGTAGTCCCTGCCTCCTCCCGCCACCCTACCTTCTTTACATTGCCTTTTGCTCCTCTTCCTCCCGCCTCCATGCCTATGCCAGGCCAAAGAGGCCCGTTACATACACGTCCTTTCCCCATCTCCACGTCCGGCACTGTCTCAAGCACAGCCCGCCCCAAGCCTGACCCGTCCCACATCCAACACCCACATGCACCCCCAAACTCCGGCGTACGCTGCCAGCCCGAACCCTCACACCGCCACACCTCAGCCCCAGCAAAACACCTTATGCACTTTTGCGCATGCACTTCCCTAAACCGTACTCAGGCACATCTTTCCCCCCTTACAGCCCACTTCCCCAGCATATGCCGCGTGTCCCCTAGCAGCTCGCCCACACCTGCTGCAGCCGCGGCCCCGCAAACCTCCTCCACTTCCTTCTCAATGCAACCCGGGACCAGGGCCTCTCAGTGCTGATGTGGCTGCCCCAGATCCAGATCCAGTCGTACCACATTCATCTTGACATTGGGCGCCCCTCTCAGCCCAGCCACGTACTGCAGCTTACGTGGCATGCTCTGTCCCTTGGCCACCTTGGTTTGTACGGTGGCCTCGCGCGGCCGCCAAACCTGAACGGCACGAAGAGGAGAAGGGTTGATTGGGACAGTGCCGGGTTAAATAGGAGAGTGGAAGAGGGGATGAGAAAGGAGGGGTGATCGGGGCAGTGCAGGGATGAGGAGGAGAGGGAAAGAGAAGGCGAGAAGCATTTTTCCCCGTTCTCCTCTGCGCTTTCCCCCTCACTCCTCCTCTCTCCTCCATTTCTCCCTCGCCCCACATCCCACCACCTACCCACGCATCCACCCACCCATGTACCCCTACATCACCGCGGAGGCCCCGCACCCCGGAGGCCCACCTGCGTCTCGTTTTCGCGCTTGAAGTGGCTCTCCGCGGTTTGCGTGCTGTGTGTGGCCTTGCCGCGCAGGTTGGCCAGTGCCAGTGCGCGTCGCCGCAGCGCCCACACGTTCCATTCGTAATCCTTGTCGATGTATCGCTCCACAAAGTGTACGGGAGTCTGGCAGCCAAAGTCAACCTTGAGTGTGCCGGACATGGCCTGCGGTGAGGGGGAGCGTGGGGTGAGGGAGCGTAAGGTGACATGGCCCGTGGGATGTGGTAGGACGCGGTGCAGTGTACATGTACGATAACGGACGCCACCCTGCATTTGTGTCTCTCTCTCAAAGCCTAGGATGCCTTCCCGCTGCGGTGCTCCCTGGGGACTTCCACCACGTGGTGTAAGTCCCCGGGTGCATGGTGACGGTGTACCATCCCATCCCGCCCAGGCACCCCCAACACAATCTGTACCTGCCCATACCCATACCCACCCACCCACCCAAGCACCCACTTCCTCAGCTCCATAGGACTCCGAAACCATCCACTCACCCCGTACCCACGCAAACCCCCAATCAAACCCCCAGCCGCCCACACAGCGCCGACCTACCTGCAGCACCGCATGCACGTCTGCGGAGGGTCTGGGGGGTGGAAGCCCCAGCGGCCTAGCCAGCAGCGGCTCCTTGCGCACCGCTGCGTCCACTGCCGCCAGGCAGCCGGCGGGGTCGGCCAGGAAGGCCTGCATGTCGGCGTTGGTCGCAAAGCCGTACACCTTGTCCTGCGACGGGAAAAAAACAGCAAGGGATTATTGGGAGAGAGGACAAAGTTCGTCAATTCGTCAATTTAAAAATCGGCGGTGTAACTGAAAATCGCAACACATACTTGTGACTGGGCTGCAGTCCGAATGAAACCCAAAGAATCCAAACCCAAACCAACACACATGTGCACATTTGTGAGTAGATTACCCAATACACACAGACACATGCATACATAGATATTTCTCTATGTTGTTATCGTATAATGTTCCACTCGTGGTAGGCCAGATATCCTCGCGGTACCTGGTAGGCCAGATAGCCCAGACGCGGATTGGACCGCCGCAGGAGCGGGTACCGACCCGTGGGTCGTCTCGCCAGTGTGCCAGCGCAAAACCCCGCCAGCGCAAGGCCTGGCTGGAGCTGCGTGTGAGAGGTGGGGCGAATGTACTCCAGCTCGCCACTGCTGCCACCTTCGGTGCCGCCTTGAAGCGCATCTAGGCCCGCGAGTGTGGTTTCATTGAGCTGCTCCGATAAAGCGTCAACCGCTGCCGCGTTGGAGGAGGATGACGTCTGAGTGCTGGTCGATACCCCTGCACCCGTTGGAAGTTGGCAGTTGGCCGTTGTTACATGTGGAAGTGGGTCGTTGTCAGTTGTCAGTTAAGGCATGTGAAATTGGATCATGGTGGTAATAAAGGTGAGACATTGGCTAGCGGCTGGCACATGTTGGCCATTGTTGCGTTCTTCGTTACGTGACGCGAGCAGCGGCGCTACGCATGAGAGGAAAAACGCTCGCGCCAAACAAACAGGTTAGGGACAGCTGTAGATGACAGCTGTAGCTGACAGCTGTAGCTAAGTGACTGGATAGATGGTGCGCAGGTCCGCAGCGGAAGGCGCAGAAAGGCGTCACTTCTCCTCTTATTCCCTTCTTTCCCTTTCCCCATCCTCCCTCTCCATTCTTTCTTCTCCCTCGCTCTTCTCGTAGTATTTAACGAAGGGGCTATCGAAGCTACCTCGCCACGTTTGTGTGTGTTTTAGTGATCGAGCCTCGATGATTTTCCAATGGCAATGATGGGCTTTGTAGGTAGTGTCTCTCTGTTTCGCGTTTTCGCTTTGGCGCGCTTCCGAGTTGCCGGAGACATTTGCTCTCACCGGGCTTACGAGGGGGCGCCTGAGCCGGGAGCAACAGACTCTTAGCTGGCAAAACCGAAAGCTCCGAAAGTTCGTCGTACAGCCGTTGTCGTACCACAAGCATGCGCAGCTCCTGATGCAGGCCGGTGTGCAACGCGCCGAGCCTGTGTGGCGCCGAGCCATTGGCAGCGACAGTAGGCCAGCAGCAGCGGCGGCGGTCGGTCGGGAAAGTAATGACAGCGGCAGAAAGCCGGAAATGTGCATCAAGCGCAGTAATCAGATCAATTTAGCTAGTGATTAGCGGTGATAGAAGGCCGTCGACAGCGATAGCCGTACGGCGTCGTAGCAGCACCACCACCAGCAGCATAAGTCAAGGCAGTTGCAAGGCAGTTTCAATAGGCCGCTGGCAGCGACATTCGCGTCCCAGACGAAACCTGATGCTTCCTTGACAACTCCTTGTCAGTTTTCCGTTAGCTCGCAACACTGAGGTACTGTACATACATACGCATCATCATCAACATCATCATGCCGTCATCATGGAATGGCCCTGCGGCGCAGGCGACAGCCTCCCCTCCCGTGGGTGACCTCTGCCACCCACGCCCACGCCGTACACACCAGCTATCCTTCCCTCCTTAGCCTCTGGCCCACATAACGGGTTGCCAAAACCACACAGCACCCGTGCTCCTCCCCACCCGACCCCAGACCAGGACAGACCAAATCTTACGCACCTGTCGAAGAGAGGATACACGGTGTCCTTGCTCACCGCTGCCGATTGCCCAACCGACTCGTGCACCTGCCGGGCAGAGGGGAAACAACAAGAAAACATCATGGAACATCGTGAGACACGTAGCTCAAGATTAGATGTGTAAAACAGGGCGAAACTGAAACAATGGACGCGTGTAGTCCGCTACAGTTCCCTTTAGAATACTTCAACGCTGAAGCCCTATCCACTCCAGACTCCATCCCTGAATATACAAAATTACACATGCCTGCATGCACACCCATCCTCTTCCGCGCACCTGCACGAGTGTGTGTTCCAGCTCCGCATCAAGCAGCTGAGCTGCCTCAAGACCCTCCTGCAGGTCGGCCTGCACGGGAAACAACAGCATCAACATCAACATCAACATCAACATCAATATCAGGATCAACATTAACAGCATCAACAGCCGGGCACGCCTATCCAAATTTCCTTTCGATCTGATTTTTTACTTTGCGAGTTTCTCCAACCGTAAAAAAAGCCTTTTGGCAACACACTTTTCAGACGCCCTTCTGGAACTCCGTCGGATGGGCGGTTTGACCTGGCAAGCAGGGTAGCTTGCGACGGGGGTTCAGTTCCCGCACCCCGACCGCGTCAAGAAGACACACACAGTTGTGTAAAGTGTATAGGCCGTCGGACGCGTCATCCGGAGCATCGCCGGATGTGTTAACCGTGTTACCCAGAGGATGAGATGGAGAACGTAGGATGGTTATGGTGTGGTGAAGTGAGGGCGCGAGCGACCCGTGGGTCACATGGATGGCGCCGTCGACAATGCGCTCGATGATTGTCGCCCAAGGACTTGCTCCATGAAACGTCCCGCTATGCCCCGGGATATACGCCTGGCGTTACGGCGGACATGCGGCCTCCATGAAGCCACAGCAATGTAACGCTGTAAGATCTGGGCTCAGGTTTCTTCAGGACCTGTCTCATCCATCGCATTCACGTGCTCGGTAGATTAGCCCAACCCAGCTTGGCTAGTGTTGCGCTTATCCCTCCTCAGGTCCCAAGCTCCCGCAAATGCCGTACAATACAGTACAGTACGACACGGTACTCACATGCAGCGACTCGTACAGCTGCAGGGCCTGGCCGCGATTGAGAACCTCCGCGTGAAGCAGCGCGCGCCGCAGCTCCTCCTCACCACCCGCAGTCGCCGCCGATGTAACAGCAGCGGCTGCAGGCCCGTCGCCGTCTGCGGGAGGCGGCGGCAGCTTGGCCACCATCGCATGCAGTTTGGCCATCTGTTCCGTTACCTCGGTCCGGCACCTGGTAGCATAGGTTATTGGCCGGTTAGAATGTCAGGGCATAGCAGTACCCAAAGCCTCTGTCCTACACGGGGCCTGGGATGAGATTCCGACGAAACTCATAGCCATCCCCCGTCGCTCAAGCCGCAACAGCACCGGCCAACCCCCACCCCATCACACCACCTCAACCCCGCGATCGCGCTGCAATCGCGATACATTGCAAGCGACGGCGCTAAAACCCTATCGCCCTCTCCCCATAAGGTGTATCGGTCGTTCACCACCCTCTCCCCTACACCGCACCCGGCCCCCTCCGTCGCAACCCCCTTCAGGTCCGCACCTGTTCAGGTCCCGTAGCAGGCGTTGCGCCTGCGGCAGGTACGACGCTGCCGCCGCCGGCAGTGCAGTGCCGCCCTGTCCCAGTGACCGGTTGTACAAGCAGATGCCGGTGGTGATGCGCGCCAGCTCTGACAGCTGGGCAAGGCGCTCTTCCTCCGTCAGCGTGAGAAAACGCGCCACAGCCGACACCGGAAACACGGACTCCAGCGCCGCGCGCACCTGTCGGCGGTAGTGGTGGCCGTAGCGGTGTTGGTGGTTGTAGTGATGGTGGCGATGTGGAACGGGAATCGCACGAGGATATGGCCCACAGCATCCTAAGCTCTTGACACCAAATGGATATACGGCACGTGGGTGACCACGTGTAAGAACGGTGCGTGTGTACATATACACACACACCCCTCGCCGCACCTTGGCCTGCGATACCTATTCGTTACGGTTAGGTATTGCTTTGATCAACATACAGATTGTAAAAGTGTAGAAATGTGCGAAAATCTGCCGTGCGCTGCAGCCAACCCCACAGGCCAAACTAACCAGGTTGTTCCTTCCGCGTCGCCATCCCCGGATGCAACCCTCCTTCCCTCCCTCCCTTCCCTCCTTGCCTCCGCATTCGCATCTGGGTCTTGTACGGCAAGCTCCATGCTGGCTTCCACACACACAGCCTCTAGAACCAGTTTGTAAAACTTGTCGTAAGCCTCTGCGGAATTGCCTTTCAGCGCCCGCGGGCCAGTCACAGCTGTGGATTCGTGCGGGGGTAAAAAGGGGATAGTTGGGGGTTAGGACGACGGCAGACAAACACATACAGCTGAGACCCAGTCTTAAAACCCCCCAATACTAAAAAATTAAACCCAGAAGTAACTACCAGGCACGACCTGGAAGCTAGGCTTGGGAATCTGCGCTTTAGTTACTTCTGGCGGAAATCGCAGATTTTAGCCAGCAGAACGATGGCATGTCAGCTATGCCACCTCCAGTGCCACGGCAGAGAAAGACTCCGATGCTGCTTGTACTCTGGTGCGACGGCTACACAAGTGCAGTCACCCAGGATGCAAGTTGTCCTCCGTTACAGCCCGTCCTTAATTCGAATGTCCCCAAGATGTTGTGGCGGTTTAGGTTTTCGGTATTGTGGATCTACTCCCGTGTTATGTTCGTCGTTGAAACGCGCCGTGGAAACCATGTGGGTCGTGGTCGGCGCTGCGGTCACCTGGACGCACCTCGATGCAACATGCCAGCACGCTCTTGCTGCTCCCCGGTTTCCTTTTCGATAAGTTCGCGTTGTTGCTTGTATGCAGCCTCCATTAGAACCTGTACACGCGCCCGGACTACGTGGTCTCCCGTGTTTGCGGGCTGTCGATCGGATACACAGGCAGGGGCCTACCTGCATGATAGCTGTCTTCAGCCGGGGATCATTCCCGCGAGACAATATGCTTGCCACATGCTTGCTGATTGATGCTACGGCCTCTGCTGGAACCTTGCCGTCCAGATGTAAGCCGGGCATAACTGTCTCGAGGCTACCGCAAGCATCTTCCAAGCTTGTTACGTAAGCCGCCACAAATGGATTGACCTATATCAGCCAGGGACCTGATAAGCAACGGTTCCCCTCTGTGTCCAGGCCGCGACCTCAATGGGTCGCGGCATGCGTCGCGTCTCGTGCACACCTGCTCGCCACGCTCCCTACATAGTCGAGTTACTTCAGATACGACACGTCTTAAATTATCTTCCATATTCCTTTCAGCTCAGGAAATCGACTCGCTGCCGCAACGCACTGGGACAAGCAGTTTCCTTGTCCTGAGGTAATTCTATAATATTGTAAACGATGTAAGCTTGAAAATTTTCGATAGGTTATAACTAACAAGATTGGGCATCATTTAGTTCGCTGAGTGCCTTATAGCGCAATGAAACTTTCGTAACTGAGGAAGCCCTAATCTCTTTGCATATGCATTTGAGCTATCCATACTTCCAATATCTGCAATAGTTATCTTCATTTTTGCTTCGTGGTGGGACACACGACCCAACGACTTGTTGCTTACATGCAGCGGTGTCAACACGAAAGCACAACGTTTATGATTAAGGATCGCATCTAGCGTCTTATTAGATGGAGGGCGAGCGCGATGCCAATGCTGCCGGCCCATCAGGCAGTTTAGAGGCGGCATGGAAGCAGTTCGGACGGTGAGCGCGTGACTACCAGGGGGAAGAGTACAAACTATACAGAACCCAAATCACTATGAGGTCCCGTTGATATGAGGAGTCTTCTGTGGGCATCTCGAAAGCACGCCAGTCTGTAGGCAGCGGGTTTTCACACCTTCGGTTGCCGGGGCAGGCCTATGGCTGGGTCACACCGCTTTTTGGGGTGTGGATTACTGTTCCCAAGCACGTGCATTCTACATACGTAACGCCTCCATAATACCATAGGCTGTGCTATGTGAATGCTTTGGGCACATGGCATTGCCCCCATTACACAGAGACAACCCTGCCGGCAAGGCCCTGTTCAAGCTGTACAACAAGGACGCCGCGAAGCAGATTGGCAATTCGTACCACACGAGGAACAAACAGGTGCACGACAAGAAACTAGCCAGCGGCTGGACACCACCTCCTGTAACCGGTGAGTCCCCTCAGATATTTAACAAAGGAAATAAACACCACAGCGGATGGCAAGATGAGAATCCGGGGGGGACAACAGCGCGGAGCTGCCATTTGAAGGAGCACTGCAGAACGCGGAAGGCGGTTCCATTATCTTATCATCACTGCCATGATGCGCATCCTTAAGCCAGGTGACGCTTGAAGCAGGCTCGTGGCCCTCAGCCAGTTCTGCCCTGGGGGCCAACTGAGTTGCGCAGTCTTCGTGTATGGCTCCTGTTATCCAGGCCCTGCTGTGCTCCTGCCTGCAAGCTCTGCACTGCATCATGCGCTGCTGCGTCCCTTCATATCGGAGAAGATCGCTGCAATGAGGGCCCTGCTTAGCTGCGCACTGCCGCATGGTGATCCATTGCAAGAATTATGGGGATGTGCTCCCGTGGCCCTTTGCTGGGATAAGTCCTGGTTTGGGTTTTACATACGGCTGGGGCTTACATGGGACCTCATGTAGGTGCTTCCGCATGCTCACCATACCACGTTGAGCCCTATACGAACATGTACACGTCCGGCACGTAGTCGCTTGGGGTTTTGATTGGCAAGCTCTGGAACCCTACATCTACGTCCTGACTTGGTGCCACAGTAGCGGCCGTTGGCCGTCCATGGTTCTCCATAGTTCCTCCGGAGCTTTTACGGACCCCGGACCCCGCATTTGTGTGGAACTTATAACGTGTGTGCTTGTGTGTTACATGGTCGTGGGGGTGCGTACCCCGTACCTGCAAACCGCCCAATGCGAGCCGCGGGCTCAAGGCCTGCCAGGTCGCCTATAACTTGTAACACGAGAGTTGACTGCATTGTGCAAAATGTCGCATAGGACGTGCCGGGCATCGCATATGGGCTAGGGATTGCTCACCTTGTCGGCAGTCCTGGCCTACGGAACCCGTGCTTGAAGGTCTTCCTGGCCATCCTGTTCCCGTGCTCAGTGTTGCACCTCATGCGTAGATACATCTTAGTAATAAAGGAAGGTGCAGGAGCCCGTTCCTGCCCCCTTGCTCTGTATACATAGATACATTCTAGTAACAATGCACCAAGATGCATGTTGTCTTTCTGTTGCTTTCCCTCAGAACCACCCAAGTTGAAGGCGGAAAAGCCCCAGGTCAGTTTTGTGCGGTGGAAGTGGTCATGCGCAGCGACGGCTGGCGGCAAGAGAAAGAGGAAGAGCCGGATGAATTGCGGCCCCATGGTGTTTGTTAATGAAGAGCGTGCATGCGTGCATATGCATGCATACAGGGCATACAGGGCATTACCAAACACAGCTGTCCGGGCACTGCAGTCGCTGGGGCGTTTTTCATGCCATCCTAGGCAGCCCATTCTGCCACCCCTCTGTCTTGTCCGTATAAGATTGCCTGTCCAGCCTGATCCGACTGGGAAAGTGTAAGAAGGAATAACCTAAGCAGAGGCGCTAGGTGCGTATGAGCCTAGGCACAAAAACCACTTCAACGCGTGCGGGAATCCTCTTGGGAGGAATCCGGCTGGTTAGCTAGCTGGCTGAATGAAAATGAATTCCTTTGCCCGGGATAAGCGCATCATCTGTCCCCTAAGGTGACAGCTCATTTTGTGTCTAATTCCGGTCGCGTGACTGCACCGCCCCGGGCTTGTATTCGGCTTGCAGGATTTGGATCCGGACCTCAATCAGCCATCCAACAGTGAAGAAGAAAGCAATCCACATAAACCTCACATGGAGTCCTGCACTTTTTACCTCCTCTGGATTTACCCGTCTTGATCTCTCTTCATGGCTTGCCCGGGTCCATGCTGCTTTCCATGGGTAACTCCCAATGTGCACACAGGTGCAAGTCCCCAAGTTTCCGAAGCGGATAGAGTATGAGACCGCACGCATAAACTACATCTCGCGACGCCGGCCGTTTGAGGTGATCCGTCAGGAGATTGACGCAGAATACGAGAGGATGCGCGCCTCTCCGCAGGCGCCGCCTAACCGTAAGTACCCAGCAGCAGCAAGGCTACACGCCAGTATAATCGCTTTGTTGTATCCAGCCCTCCCGTCGGACTTCTTCCCTTCCCTAGACTTCTGTGAACACCTGGTAGCGGCATTGAAACAACCAAACCTCCTTGAAACTCGACTGGAGGAGCGAGTGAACTATTGGATGCGTTGCACAACCCGCCATCACTCAAATGGTGTGGATAAGCTTGCAGGTGACACGAGTTAACCTGCAAGGGCGCCGTATTTCCCAACACGTGTGTGCACAAGGCACATTCCGTAAGCTCCCCATATCCTACTTCACCGGCTCGGAAAACCACTGAGGCATCATAACAAACCCACGTAAGTCATATGATGCGTATATCCTGCACGTGATATCCATCCCCAGTTTGCTGCTCCGCCGGCCTCGTCGGACCGCAGGGCCTGTACTGGATGACAAGGAGAAGGCAAGGCTTGCGGAGCTCATGCGCTTCCGTGGCAAGGTGCCGGCGGTGACACCCGAGCAGTTAGCGGCGCAGTGCAAGGCAGGCGAGTGGCAGCTGCGGGTTGATCTGGGTCTCAAAAGATCCGGTATTCGTCTTGTATAGTGGTTCGGTGTGTTGCCGGTGCCCTATTACCTGTATTGATTTGGCAGCGGTAGGTGCCTGATGATGAGGATTGCCCTCTGAAGGGAGTTGAGTGGCCCCCTCTGATGAGTCTCATCATCTCAGTGCTTGGGATGGGCTCACTGCCCAGTCCCCTTCCAGGCAGAATCATTCAGTGTTTGAGTTTGCGTGACGTCGCATGCATGGGCCAAGCTGCCACAGTGTTGAACCCCAAAGCCAGCCGTAAACCGGCGCAACAGCTACATGCATACCCACTGGGCCCCATGGCCTCATGTTGCATGCTTTTGCAGCGCCTCGTAAGTCTGAGAAAGAGCAGCTGGAGGAGATGTTCGAGGAAATTGTTAAGGAAATCGAAGAGCGGCGGGAGTTCCTGCAGGCCTTGGAGTCTGCGGGGCGGTTGCGGTTGGACACGGTCCACATGGTAAGCCGTGTCTCGTACTCACCTATACTGCTCCTTCATATGCGGCGTTGCCCCTGCTTTAGAAGGACGCTGGGAGTCTTGCAGGCAAAGTTGTCAACCATGGTCAGCCACAGATGGCCGCAAGCTGTGCCATCCCTCGCATAACCCCTGTCATCCTTACCACTTTTGCGCATGTTGTGCCTATGTCCCATGCCGCCGCAGATTAGAGGAGAAATCGAGCAACGGGTTGCGGAGCTGCAAAAAGTGGATGCACTTCTTAAACAATACGGGGAGTCTTAGCAGCCACCCAGCGGCTACAGAAAGGCCAAGCACGTGCGGACTAAGAACGGTATCGAGCCCCTCGCCGAGGCTATATTGTGCAAATTTCCATGAAAGGCTCCCATGTAACTCATGACGCTTGCAGCATCGCAAGATATATTGTAACTCGTCGGCCAATAGGCCATGTTTTGGAGAGTGCAGCCATGCAACGGTTCTCATGAAAGCTGCATCCTTGGCTACAGTATGTAAGCAATCCGCAAGAAAACGGCAGACAAAGAGGAATCGACATGCTCGAGGCAGGTTTTTTGCTTTCAACTCGGAACGTTACTTTCGCAATAAGTGCCGTTCATGCTGTACAGTCACGGCATCTGTGAAGTGCTGATGGAATGCGCCTCGTTTCCTCAATCCTTTGGATGATACCTGCGTGATGTAAATTCGAAAATCCGTACAATGTACCTAATCTTTCCTCCAGCTGCATTCGTCTAGGTAACAATCTGTTGATACATATTTTATAGATTGCAACTTATATCTACACGGAATGGCCTAGCCGCCGGCCTTTTGTCCTACTGCCTAGTGCTGAACACGCTTTCCTGATTTTAGCAGACGGAATAGCCCCTAAACAATAGAAAATGTCTAGTGGAGATACTATTGCACCACCTTTTATCTCAATAGTTTCCGCCTTGTTCATGTAAGAACGTGTTGTTGCATTGCCAACTGGCAGGGCGCGGGAAGGACCACGCTTGACTGGCATGATTTTGTATCTCACAGCTTATCGGCTGCATCTATATTTGGAAAAATCCGAGATGCCCTCTACTTCCTGTTCCACCCTTTCCAGGTCAAGGGCAAGATGGTAAGTATGCCCATCACTGTTGAACTGCTGTCGCTTGCATTCGGCATTACGCATTGGAGGTTTTGTTTGCAGGGTTATGCTCCAATTCGCGATCCAACAGAGGATTTTTATATGCGCCGCATGTATGGTCGTATTGTGGTAAGGCGTGGGCACACCCTACCCCACCCCGTCTGACTTCGTCGACGGGCACACGGTCGTTTGTGACATCCCTTCATCAACCGGTGCTCTTGTCCTGCGTCCAGGACTGCTGGAATAGACCCATTTGCAGCGCCCCAAATGCTTGGGTTGACGTCATGGAGCGCAGGCGCGCCAAAGACACGACGTGAGTGGTGGAGCGGCCTCCGGAAGCCCCAACCCGTGTGCCATGTGCCATGGACGACAGCCGGATGGTCCAAAAATCTGCTAGGGGTACAATAACACCCTGCACACCCCAGGCTGGCGCTCACAACTTTTTCGCCTAGTAAACATGTGCCCAGTCTGCGCTTCCGCTGCATCGTTCGATGTGCGTTGGCCTGCCGCAAATACAAAATCGTTTGCGCTGTTTGGTGTTTTTCCATGCGCAGGGGCGTGGATTTTGCGCAGATTGTACCGACTGGTGGGCACACGAGATGCCTCAACCTGTCGTCGTACAATTACCTGGGCTTTGCTGCGTTTGATCCGTACTGCACTCCCCGTGTGGTGACCACGATTGAGGAGCTAGGTATCAGCTCCTGCAGCTCGCGCATCCATGCCGGTGCGTGTCACGCTTGTTTTTTTTAGACTTTGCGTTCCTCCTAGGTTTTTCTGTCAGCCCCACCTTTGATCCTCTTGGCGCGTGAACATCAGCTAGCTCGGCTGGCTGGACCGGTGTGGGGGTCGTCTAGCGAGAGGTACCTTGCGTAGCATGAGATTGGACCTTGTGTGGTCTGGGAATCGCGAATGCGGTGGTTGCCATTTCGCCATGTGCACGAGCATGTAGACACTGCATTTGGCCATTTGGTGCGGGCTCGGAGGAGCCTCTGCAAGGCCAAAGACACTAAGAATGACGCCATCTTGTCAGCAGCCTCGCATGTATCGCCAGGCCATGCCCTCCATGAGCCCTCGGGGTGGCCTCCTCACTCGCATGGACCCCTGGATCTCAGTCGTACCTGAAGATGTTGTGACGTCGTGTAGTCCCGGAGTAGCTGCGAGCAGGAGTAACGGGATGTGGCTTGAGCTGCAACGCTGGCTGATCGTCCGCCTTGCACCCCGCTCGCATCAGGCACGACCTCCGCACATACGGAGCTGGAGGAGCTGGTGGCGCAATATCTCGGGGTGGAGGATGCGATTACGTATGGGATGGGTTTTGCGACCAACTCCTCTACTATTCCCGCGCTGGTAAGCATAACAGCGCATCTCGGCGCTCCTTCATACAGATTGTCTACTATCCGCAGTTATCCTCGCCGCAGTCACCCATGACCCACCAGTTGGGTGCTGACGATGTTTCAGTGTTCTACACATCCACGTGAATGGTTGCGAGTCGTCTAGGTAATGATAAAGTGAAGGTCAAAATCAAACGGCCTTGACCGCAGGAACCAGTACTCCCGTACCCACTTTTCTTTCCCGCGCGATGTCTTGTGCACACAATAATGATTGTTCCTTTCCAGCACATGGATTTCTATTGAGGTGGCTATTTAGGTCGTTCTGCGTCCTCTTCGCTTAGTATGCACGCGCGCGCGGCGCCGCGTGTGTGCGTGCGTGTGTGTGTTACACCTCGATTGCGTTACCCAGAGAGGTCTAACGAGCCTATACGAGCCAGCGCCCCAAGGACCTAGGAGCCCAGATGATCTAGTATGCGTCTTTCCATCGTTTTTTTCCACGTCTGGATGCAGGTCGGAAAGGGTTGCCTTGTGATGTCGGATGCCCTGAACCACTCGTCTATCGTGGCGGGCATCCGAGCGAGCGGCGCCAAGGTCAAGGTGCGTCTGAGACACAGATGCACGAGGGGGGAGAAGTGGGGTTCCTCCTGGCGTGTGAATGTGTGGCTACTTTCCTGCCTGTGGGCTCGCATATCCGGTAGTAACGCGTTCGCGAGAGGGGGCTCATACGACGCGTGTCCTTATGGACGAATTGCGGGCTGAGCCGTAGCCTGTTCGTGGGTGGGCCGATACTTACAGCGCACATAATGGCAGCCACGCGGCATGTCGTGCCCTGTTTCCGGGCATCCTTACAATCGGGCATCCCTCATGGTCCAGCCTATGGGTGTTTCGGCCAGATACCGGCCCTAGAATGTCAGCGTTGTTGTTGCTTCTTGCCCTTTGTCGGCAGGTATTCCGCCACAACGACGCTGATCACCTGGAGAAGTTGCTGAGGCTCGCTATCGCCGAGGGCCAGCCCCGTTCCCATCGGCCCTGGAAGAAGGTAAAGCAGCTCTGAACAGATGTGTAATGGTACGAAGTGTGCCAAATGCAGTCACGCGGTTGGTTAATGTTACACAATGGCTCTATCAAGCGGCAATGGAACGGCAATCGAACGGCAATGGCCCCTGCCGGGCTGCACGCACACGTGCACACTGATCGGGTCTTTGGCAGGTAGCCGGGAAGAGAGGCCCGTGGCCTTACGTGCCGCACAAGAGACTCCGCGTCAGTCCATCCCGCAAAGCTGCATCAGCGGTAGACCCAGGTGCAGCATCGAGAAGCACAATCCAGCACTCCAAATCTTCATAATGGACCCATGCTGTAGCACGGCGCGTGTATGGCGGACTTATGCGGTTGCCTGACTCTTGTTAGTGAGCAGCTGCGAAGAAGCAGGTTGGGATGTAGCACCTGTGTCCCGAGCGAGTTTCGATCGCCGCGCAGGCTTGCTGGCCTTTCTTTTTGTCAGCATGAAGCATTCGTACATGCCCTTCCTACAACATAAGCCTTACGTTGTAGCTCGGTGGCCGTCCTGGTCCGCCTGTCCTCCCTGCGTCCTTTCGCGCGCACCGCAGGTGCTGGTGATTGTGGAGGGTGTGTACAGCATGGAGGGAGAGACGTGCAGGCTTAAGGAGATCGTGCAGGTGCGTTCGTTGACGCGGCACACTGATGTGTTTTTGTCCCCATCCCGGCAACCCCCTGGTGTAACCCCCCTTTGACCCGCTCCTGTGTATGGGCATGATCTGATCTGCAGCCTAAGCGTAAACGCAGTTGCTCTGCGTTCCGACGTGCAATCCTCCTCCATATCTTGCAACCAATGCCACACTTCGCTTCGTTTATCTTGAAGTTGTGTTGTCTGTAGGGGAGGGAACGATGCTGGCTTTCCCCTCAGCAAGTATTTTTTACAGTAAGCATGGAGACATGCTTACTCCACACTGTCACCGTCACTTTCGCCTCCCACCACCGCGGCAGGTCGCTAAGAAGTACAAGGCTTACACGTACCTGGATGAGGCGCACAGCATTGGTGCTCTTGGACCCACTGGTCGCGGCTGCTGCGAGCACTGGGGAGTTGACACACGGGACGTCGACATTATGATGGGTGCGTTCTCCGCCAACAACTTTAACCTTTTGTTCCTGGGTGGTTAGCGGGCCAGAAAGGTGAAAACGTTGAACGGGTTGAAGGCTCCAGGGCGGAGGAGGTGACAAGGACGGGGCTCCGGGCGAATGAAGAGGACCGAAAAGAGTACGCATATTCAGGGCTAAATGGATGGGGACGGGAAAAGGTCTGGAGCTTAGGGGCGCGGAGGCTCTGTGGTTGGGCCCAGAGGACCGGGCGGATGTCCTTGGTGCGCCTTGAAAGTGGCTTCGTTAGGACACGTACAGCTCACGGCCCTGGCACCCATGGCCATTGAGGCGGGATGCCGTCGGGGTCTGCTTCATTTCCAGGTCATCGACAAGGCCAGTGGCGTGGTTAGCTTGGCAACGGGTAGAAGCTAGTCCTGGCTCCAGCATGCGGATTTCCTTGTTGGAGGTTACGTCTTTGAATCTGCATACGCTTGCATATGGAGTTCAGGGGCAGGGCCAGGATTTCGTCGATGACTCGGTGCTTTCCTAAGAGGGTTTCTTCATGCCCTTTGCCGCTTTCTTGCCGTTTCCAGGCACCTTCACCAAGTCGTTTGGTTCCTGTGGCGGTTACATTGCCGGTCGCCGTGAAATCATCGACTACTTGCGGCGTCACTCACCCGCGCACCTGTACGCCTGCTCCATGGCGCCGGGCTGCGTGAAGCAGGTCAGGCTCTTGTTGCTCTTGTTAGCACTCGGGTGTCTGTCTCTCCAAGCCGTTACCCCAACAGTGTGGTTCAGGTGAAAGTGATGGTCCTCTGGCCGATTTGCCTGCTGGCAGTATTGCATCTTTCCGTACGGCCCTGGAGTGGGTTGGGTTCGAACCCAACCCCCATATATATACACAGTGTCGTTGACCTTGAAACCCATGTAAGCCTGGGTGATCAAAGTCAAGACCGGGTGAAACAAGCAATGTACGTGTCCAGCATTTAAAGACTTGCATGGTTTGCATGTTGATATCAAGCTCATGTCGGGCTTTATTGAGTTTTGGGCTGACCGGGGTGGTGTTGGTGGTGTGCATATACATAGTGTTGTTGTACCCCTTGTTGGGATCCTTGTCCGATACCGCACGTAAATCTCATTGGATTCTTGTTACCTGTTCCCCTGTTCAGGTCACCACTGCGCTGCAAGTAATCATGGGGTTGGACGGCACAGATCGCGGCAAGCGCAAGATTGAGCAGCTGCACGACAATGCTAACTATGTGCGGAGGTGAGGGATATGCAGGGTATATATATGTGCGTGTGGCGGTGGAGGTGTGGAATGGTGGAGGGGAGGGGAGGGGAGGGATTTGGGGGCTCTATGTAAGGTGTTACGCATTCTTTGGGGCTCCCGGTTGCAGTGTGGCTGCCTGGTTTGGCTGGATGGCTTGTTGGATGACTCGCTTTGTCATGCGCTCCTCGCCTGCCCGTGACTAGGCATGGAGTGTTAAAAAACACCTCCTCACCATGATCCATTTTCTGTTTTTCCTGGCTGTGGCTTAATCCTGGTGGCGTAATATGCGTAAATCGCCGTTTCCTGACGGACCGCGTTTCACCCACCATCCTTACATTCGACACCCACACATTCGTCTCGTCCGGTCAAAACACTTCTTCTGTGTTATTTTACCTCGCCGCCTGCCTACTCGCGGCCCGTGCCTCCGTCGTGCTGCTCCCGCTACGCAGCCGCCTGCTGACCATGGGCATGGACGTGCTCGGCTCCTGGGATTCGCCCGTCATGCCGATCATGACTTACAGCGCCGCCAAGATGGTGGCGCTGTCCCGTATGACCCTCGCTCGTAACATCGCCATGGTCATTGTGGGCTTCCCGGCGACGCCTGTGCTGCTGACGCGCACGCGGATCTGCATCTCAGCCGCACACACGCGCGAAGACCTGGACTGGGCACTGGAGCAGTTGGAAGAGGTAGGGGAAGGAGAAGGAGGAGCAAAGGAACGATGGCCACTGAAGAGGAAATATGTGTGCCATTCTGCGTCTGTGCGTGTTTCTGGCGGGGATATGCTCGCGTCTGCAGGGGCGTTCGAAATGCAGGCTACTTGGATCCCAAGAGCCGCGCAACCTTGAGCAGGCTTGCCCAATCCCCTGTCCTCTGTCCCGGTTTTCATTTCACGTATTCTCGTGCGGTATTTGTTTTCTTCCCCCTGTTCCTATCAAATTTGGATGTTGTTTGTTTTTCCGCAGGTCGCTGACCTCTGCATGCTCCGCTACCGTACCAAGGCCCTGTACGCCCTGGTGGAGTCCGAGCTCAAGGACCACGTCAGACGCCACTTCGGTCCGCAGCTGGCGGAGCGGGCCACGATCAAGGCGCTGGCGTCTGGCGAGCTCGACCTGCGCCGATCGCAGCTGGCAATTGAGAAAGACGGTGTTGGGTTGAAGCCCGCGTCTGGTCAGGACGCTGTCGGAGGCCATTTGCAGGGAGGAAAGCAGCCCCAGCCGCAGCCCCAGCCGGCTCCATCGGCAAAGCGGCAGCGCACAGGAACAGGTGGCGGCGGCAGCGGCAAGGTGTTGGAGGAGGATAGCCCCAAAAACGCCGGCGCCGTGGCTGCCGTCACGCTGTCACCACGCGGAACCCGTGGTCAGCGCAAGCCACTTGCGAACATGCAAGCGCACGCCAAGGCGTTTGTGCGGCCCGAGGTAGTGGTGACGAAGTGAAGCAGGCGGAAGAAAGGAGATGTGGAAGCACATGTGGCAGCAGCGGACATGCATGTTGGATGGAGAGTGTGTATATGGAGGGAGAGGGGGTACAGGTGCTACGTGTTTGCGGCGTGCGTGGATCTGGATTTCGGTCACTGCTGGTATAATGCTCAAAGTGACTATCTCGTGCATTACTTTAAGCTTTCATCCAGACAGAGGACGTACACAAGACGCGTTTCTCTTTCATTTCCCTTGGTGGCCTGTACGTTTGCAGACCTGTGCGTGTGTATGTCCATACAAAACTGGCTGCCGGCTGTTGGCAAGCCATGGGATGGGGGAGTTTGGGGGATTGCGACCGAAAACTTGACAGCCTTTGGCCATAAGACCGCCATGGATTCACCAGGCTTTCCCTGGTGTGCTTATCACTTGTGTAGCTATCGACGGTGGGGAACGATGCCTTGCTGGACCTCGGGAGGAAAAGGCGCTTGACTGTGATGGACAGAATTCGGGTGTCTGCATTTCTCTTACTTCAAGTTACTTGACTTCGGTTGACTAAAATTATTTTGCTCTTTTTAAAGTTATGTAGGCCTTGATGCGCATGTGATGTGCCGTATCTGGTGTGGGCCGCGAGAATGCGTCTTCGGATGTCTGTTGAACTCCACGCGCGGGCTGGCATGGGCGCAGGTGGCTGGGCCTAGGTCAAGTAGCCTCAAGGCGCGGTGATGCATGCTCCTGCATGACAGCAACTGCCCGCATGGCACAAAGACGGTGGCGGGCTTTGGGAAATAAGGGGAGCTTTGGACTAAGGGCTGAAACGTAGAAACGTTTCGTCATATCGATAAAGAGGCACGTTTTCCTAAAGTTCTGGTGATTTTGCGTGCGCACTTCTTGTGGCAAGCAGCACGTCCCGCTGCCTGGATACACGAAATTTACGTACCTGGCTGACGGCGTGGTAGCGAGAGCGTTGCTGAGAGGAGACCCAATGGGATGCCTGGACTGGACAGGATCGATTCGGGGCGCAGGCAGCCGAAGGCATGGAGTTCGTCACGGCGAAGACTTCGCAGGTAAAGAGGGTCTTTAAGATGGCCTCGTGTAAACAGGTGTCCCTGCTAAGTACTTCGCCACACTTAATACTGAGCTCGTGTGCAACGCCAGCGGCTGAAGCGGCAGCAGTATAGGTCCGTGCAGAGGTTTTCATCGAAAGAAACTGCAGCTCGTTGCTTTGATGAAGGCAGTCGAACCCTGGTTTCTTTATGTAACCCGCCTGGTTGTTCACAAGCTGTGGCGTTGCCCTGGCCGTCAAAAGTTAGTTTATACGTTGTGTGTCTTGGTGCATCATAATGGCGGGTGGCATTCGGGGACCTCAGTGCAGTTTAACGACCGGGATTGCTGTCGGCTACGGCAAGCTGTAACCCGCGTGGATGAGTAAAGCTCACATACGTCATACGGCGCCTAAGAATACATCTGTTAACTGTGTAAAAATGATAGTGTTGTGGCGCTAAACATTAGATAACGGAGCTCGAACAGATGAAAATCGAAAGCAGCCATTTTCGTCCTGACAAAATCCTTTACTCTGCCCTCTGATTTTACACCTGATACCAATCTTACACGCAATAAGCCTTCGTAGCAAGTGACCCACGGTTTATGACGACTTCACTTTTGGAATGAAATGCAAATGGCAGCTCAGAGGTCAAGGCGCAGCAAATGTGGTATTTGGCTACTGCGGGGATGATCCAAAGCTGGTAAGCTTGCCTGAACTCATGCCTTACCATGGACAAACTATAGTAACCCGCACGCTGCGCAGAGGGGCTATGTCCTGAGGGTACGGAAGCCTTCAGCACATGTGGCATCGGATGTTGACCGAATTCTCTGGGATGGCATCTTGCACAGTGCAAGTGGTGAGTCCCGGCTGGAGCGCGCGCGCGCAGTCGCGTGCACCAGAGCAGCCTAGGTCCTCTTGGCATGCCACTTAATCCTACAGTTCCCCTAGCTTGGTGACCGGATCCAAACCGGATTTAAGGCGACACTTACCACAGAATGTCACAGTTGAAACACGTCGGAGGCAGAGTAACGGACGTGACATGGAATCCACCATCGCCCCTATGATGTGCCCTTCCTGCCATGCGCCATATGACCCTAGCTATCGCCTCCAAGTTCAACTTCTCCGTGTTGCCAAGGCGATTCACAGTATTCACAGCGCCCAACACTGTGTGCAGAGCACGAAGGCGCTTAAGTTAGCCCTCCCTGCCGATGCGCCAACTGCCTAAGCCTAGTCTTTACCACTCCGAACCACTTCCAAAAAAAGTAAACTGAATCGAGTAAAATCGATTGTGACCTGGGCTAGGCAGTATCAGACACGAACCCCAGCCGACCCAGACACGTTACCTTGTGTTTCGCAGACACGTACGATATCCAGTACGAACTGGAGTACGTTGCCAACATAATGGCGCCGTTGCTGGGCCACGAATACGTGTTTCCCGGGGTAAGTACGGGAGGGCGACGAAAAAGGGCAAGAAACGGCGATCTTCGTGGATCTCCCAGCGACTAGCTCTTCCGCGTAACATGTTCTTTTAGCGTATCAGTAGCACGTATCCAGTGTTACCTTCCCTCGTTGTAATGAGTTGTGTACGTATTTACTATCATATGGCATGGGACACCGACACCGCTGGGTAGCCTTTTGAGGACATTTTGAGAGACACACTCACACAGTCATCCTGTTTAAGCCTGCATGGCAACTTTGCAACCCCCCAGGTACCTACCCCCTTGCCTCTGGAGCTCCGAGAGGTGCTGGGCTCTGGCGCCGGCAGTCACCTCCCCGCCCTCCTACTGCCGGACCACACGACTTTCCACTCAAAAGGTGTGCGATGTACCCACCATCATTGTTTTAAGGTTAGGATGTATCAGTGTAGATTGTACAAAATAATCCTGTGAATGCCTGCATTTTCTGTGTTAAGAATATTTAGCCATTATTGATAAACTCCGAAAATTCGACTATGCGTGGGGCATAAAGGTAGGGGGAATGACAATGACTGCTTATATAGCTTAAGGTTCTCGTTGTTTGATGCTGTATTATGAGACATTGTGCGTGTCTCTGGTGCTTCCCCCAGCCGGCCGGCCCAGCCCTCCCTTTCCCCATTTATGCAGTAACTCCTCTTTTCCTGTTCTGTCTTTGGCCGCTCCTAATGCCTCCAGCTTTCCAAGCGCTTTGCCCTAGGAGGCACTTTGACCCAAGCGTCCATACTTATTACGTGTGACTTCGTTCTTTGTCACGAGTTTAGCATCACGTCCTTTGCCCTCCTCCGAATGCTCTTCCTTTTCCTCTTCCTCCTGCTGCTGCTGCTGCTGCACCGTCTCCAATCAAACCACCACTCGAACATGTTATTGCGCCCACAATCGCGCAGCGGCTCCCGGCTACACCGCTGTGGGTCCGGCTATTTGCTTGGAGATCAAGCCCAAGTGGGGCCTAGATCCGCGACGACCACACAGCACACAAGCAACCGTGGTGGCAGCAGCAGCTGCAGTAGCAACAACAGTAGCAACAGAAGTACCAGCTGGCTGCTCAGGCCACCCTGCAGGAATCCACGCTTCGGATCTGCGGCGGCAATATCCCCGGTTTATGCTGCACATGCTGCACAAACATGTCACGGTGAGTGAGAGGGGAGTGAGCGATTGAGGGATTGAGCGACCATGCTACACAGTCCCCACCATCTATACAGTTGATTTTTGCTTCATGCCTACGATTTCCCACAATCACATCTATCCAACCATTTCCACGCCAAGTTCCTTACCAGTGCTGGGAGTGAGCAAGGCCCTTGCCACATACACGTCACACTCAACAGCACGCTAGCATAATATAATATAATATAATATAATATTATATTATATATTATATATTATATAATATATAATATATAATTATATATATAATATATAATTATATAATTATAATTATAATTATATATATTATATTATATATTATATAATATTATATTATATAATATAATATAATATAATATGATATAATATTAATAATTTATGCGTGTGTATATGTTTCCCACCCTCGGCCGCCCCAGGCCGGAGTGCCGATTAGCTCCTACAGCCCACTTGACTTGTTCTCCGGCGACTTAAGGCGCATGGAGGCGGCCCTGAGGTGCCTAATCAGGTCACCCAGTGTGAGTGACGGCGCGTGGGAATGATTTCAGCACCCTCGTCGTCATGACCGTCGTTACCGCCACCATCGCCATCCGTTCGGGCCTTTCAGGTCCACAGGTAGACTCAGATACTTATCGCCCCGGTCCCCGCCGTCCACCCGGGCTACATCATATCATATGTCGACATACAGTTCTTCTCTGCAACTTTGTCCTTCCTGCGACACGGCCCCCTTTGAGGCGTTGGCAGCTGGGGTTGCAAACAGGAACAGGTAGTGGTAATGTTACAGAATAGGTATAGGCTCCACCGTAGAGGGGGGGGGAAACCCATACCCAACAAGGCACAAGTGTCCACTCCCCGCCTTGCCCCCTGTACGGCCAACACCGCACGCCCCGCAGAACAATTTGACTGTGTTCAGGGATGGCGTCACAGTTTACGGTGCAATGTGTATGAAGGGCCAGGCCTCTGGAGACGGAGGCGTCGCCAGCCGACAGCCTCGTGACGGCACTCGACTCCACCACCAGCAGCGGCACCAGCAGGAGTGCCACCAGCAGCAACACAAGCAGCACCAGCAACAACACCACCACCAGCAGCAGGAGTGCCACCAGCATGGCAGCCACCACATGACCGCACTCGAGCAGCTTGTTGCTGACCTCCAGGGCTTTGTAAGCGAAGACGAGGACCACCGCAAGGGTGTTCACAGCCATGATGCCGCCAAAGACAACACAGCACCCGTTTGCAACTCAGTTGGCCAGCATCAGCAAACACTCCTCGTCCCGGCGCATAATACTGCAGCAGCGGCATCACCGATGGCAACAGTAACAACAACAACAACAATAACAACAGCGATAACAGCAGCCGCAACCGCAACAGCAGCAAGGACAGCAACAGTAACGGCAGCAGTAGCGGCAGCGGCAATCACAACCCGGCGAGCCCCAACAGCTTTAATGCAGGCCGATGGCGACGACCTAGGTCATGAGGTCCTGGAGGTCCTGGTGCGGCTGACGGCACTTGCTCTGAAACAGGAGGGTAAGTGCGAGCGAGCGCACGTCTTGTGCTGTTTCTTGATACATACTGAGGTCTAAAAGGTGATATTACGATTACGTCGCGTTTTGGTGACAAGTATGTTTCGTGTTGTAAATTTTTTTATCCGTTTATCGTAGTCAAGGCTGGTGTGTAAGGTTCAGGAGTGTTAATGTATGTATACGTGGTGCGTATATGGGCCCGTTGCGGTTCATTGCCCGGTGGGTGCCTTCAAGGGCCTTCAGAGAACCTTCGTATGGCCTTGGGAGCTGGTCCACAAGAACATAAAAAGCGCGGGACAAACTGGACCGGCGTGGGAAGGGAAAACCTCGCCATCTCCAGCAGCAGCCTCATATCTTCCGATATCTTCTGCCCGGCCTGGAAAACCCAAATCCCACAACCCTCTAAACCCCAACCCGAACTCTTTGTGTGACAGGGTTGCTGGATAGGCTTCTCGCAGTGCAGGCGCTGGACCGCATTGGGCCCGAGGGGGCCCTCAGGCTGTACGACCAGCTTCTCCGGGAGCTGCAGGTGTGTTCGTACAATCCGTACAGCCGTGAGCAGAGATCGGTCGGCTAGTACTCAGTACGCCGTTGTAGGAGTGCGTGTGCCTGGCAGGTGCAGACAGCCACGGACGCCGCCGTGGTCGCCTGTATGTCTGTATGTTGCGCTGTGCCATGTGTGGCGGCCAGAGCTGCGGCCTTCTTTCCGTCTCTCTCCACAACCTTCCTTTTCCCGTGGTGTTCCTGGCCTGACCTGGCCTGAGCCTGTAACGCGGCACATTCTTTCAAGGCGCAAAGACGACGCAAACATTACATTTTTCGAGCAATAGCCTCCGCTAATCCAGAATTTGATCAATGCTGACCTGAGCGGCACTGGGATGGTTCCCACCAGCAATAGCCTCCTTTACATCCCAAGGACTTCATCCCAACTCTCTCTCTCTATGGCCCTTTCGAGTATTATCAATTAGACAAACACTCTCCCATCGTAAACACCCTGCATAATATACATCCCCTGTGGCGGCCACATGATGGACCTCAACGCAGACCGAGGCCGCCTCCGCTGTGCATGGCGCAGCAGCACCAGGAGCTGCAGCAAAGCGGGTATTATCAGGCATCAATGATAGTAGCAGCAGCAGCGGCGACGACGGCAGCCGCGAGGGCAACAGCGGAGCTGGCGGTGGTCGCCTAAACGCGGTGGAGGTGGCGGAAATGACGGAGGCGCCGCCTCCGCGGTCAGAGCTGCTTGCCGCTCTTCGCCATTACCTCATGTCGGCAACCGCCAAGGACTGCGGCATTATGGTGACGCTGCAAAGGGCTGTTCCAACGGCAGAAGCGCTGACACTAGAACCTGCCGCACTAGCACCAGCATCAGCATCAGCAGGGGTGGCAACACCAGTAGCTGGAGCAAACATAGAAAAGGAAGATGGGGGGGATGGAACCTGTGATTTGCAGCACAATGGTAGCATGCAGGAGCAGCAGCAGCAGCTGCTGGGACAGACGTTACCGGAGGAGCCGCTGGGATCAGCCGTAACCAACGGCAGTGCAGCATCAGTGGTGCATAACACACCACGGTCTGATACTACCGCAGCTCCAGCCGTTTCAGCAGCAGCAGCGTCGCCGGCAGCAGGAGGAGGAAGCAGCGCACAAGCAACGAGCGCCGCGAGCGCAGGGGCGGCAGGTAGTGAGATGGTGCAGCAGCCCAGGGTTCGTGTGTTGGAGGACCCGCAGAGTGGCGCCACCTACCTGGTGAAAGTAGCGTTCGTGGATTTAGACGTGAAGGCGGTGGCCAAGATTCCCCGGCACGTGGACCTGGAGAGGGCGCTGGTGACGTGCGCTGTGGAGAACCGGAGCCTGCTTCTGACGATGGCTCAGCAGGCGGGCTGGACAGTGTAAGTGCGCGAGTGGGTGAGTGAGGGATGATCCTAACTCGTCCAGGAGTGTGACCTGCCATCCGCTTTCATGCCACGGTATAGTCCCCGTGGTCGTGGTGGAACTGGACCGATAGTATGTTATATTCGTGTGGTTGGGTCTATCTGTCGGGGTCGGGGAGTGGAGAGAAGTGGTAGTGACAAGAGGGAGAGATGTGGACGCTATGATGATGGCGAAGACGGAGAGGATGGCGATGGGGAGCGGCTCTGGTGTTTCATTTTTCGGCGTTTGGGTGTTTTGGTGTTCTTGCATAAGAAGAAAGATGGGAAGGATTCGCGGGTCAAGACCCCGGAAAAGGCACACACGAGGGCATGAGAGTACCAGGTCGACAGCACGTCAAATGTGAAGTGACTTCTTTATGGCGTGGAACGAACAATTGAGCCAATAATGTCGCACGTGGCCCCAAAACAACACAACATAAAATGGTGATGTTCAACTTGGGAAGTGACCGCGACTTTTGACCGTACTAGTCCGTGATGTACAGATATATGTATGTACTGCTTCGTTTCCTGTCAGCAGCAACGGTAACTACGCCACGTGCTTGTGCCGGTGTGAGCTCAACACGGAGCTATATACCGGACGTGTTGACTGTTTGCCTGTATATAGATCCTTAGTCTTTGCTGACCCGCTATTAATATATGGGCATACCATCTACAACACACTGCTATCAGTTTCGCCGGAACTCAACATTTCCTGTGGTGCATGCCGTCGCACCTCGTCCCTCTTGGATTTCTGTGGTGTGAGATGGGCTACTTCCGTTACCGTTACCGTTGTTCCCGTGAATGGATCTCACGTGAGCATCGTGATTCATAATCATCATGTATATACATTTATGGTTACGAAGATGTCTTGGTGGCAGGTGGCTAACAGTGGTACCAATGCATTTGGGTAGAGCTCCCCCTCTGTGACCTCCATCCTGCTGAGCCCCGAACGAAGGCCGTGGCCCCGGTAGGGCCTCCCCTTCCTTGAACGCGATGCTGCTGGGCAGGGGAGTGACTCTGGTTGTCGTGGGGGCGTTCGGGCCGTGGCGCTGTCCTGTCGTATGTTGTTGGACAGTTTTGTCGTACGCTGTAGACCTGTTCAGTTGTACAACTGAGATGGTCAGGCGCTGCGCGACATCACCACCATACACCGCAGACGAACAGCCCCCGACTACAGGGGAAAGGCCTGCACCATGAGAGGGGACCCCAACCGGCGACAATCCCAACCGTGAAACGTATAGCGCAATAACTGCATGTGTACAATATGCATCGTCGTTTCGTTTGCATATTCCAAGTGATCCAGTGACGAGGATCCGAATCAATTTAACCCTGCATGCGACCCCTGAGCAGCTTCATAACTTGTGCGATGTCAGCTGGATGGACTTGGTGGAGCCCCTTCCCGGCCGGTACTTTGCGTGCGATTATATGTTTGTATTTCCTGCTTGTGTTGATCATGGGTTGGGGTTTCAGTTTGGGGATTTCAACTTGCTTAGCACCTTGCGCAACCTATAAGAGTCCTCTTGTCGCCCCACCAGGTGATTCGCGCCGGTAATGTGTATGACACCTTGCTTGATGTACGGTCCTGCAACCAAAAGAACCCAGCTGTCTCGTACCCAACGTATTGCTAATGTCTCTGCTAATGCCAGCCATCTGACTGTCACGATCAGCGTATTTTTTCTTGTTATTGCGCAACCCTGTATCGAACATTTCTGCATACCTGCTACTTCCCATCGCGCCTGTGGCAAAGCCATGCACTCCAGATTCTGTTTTCGGAGATCAAAGAGGAAAGGAAAACAGAAACCCTAAGACCAAGGCAAGCAGCTGCCTTAGTCCCTGTACTACCACTGGGGCAGCGAGGCCGCACTGGAATAGACACGGTAGGTACTAAGGTGCGCAGAATGGCCATGCAGGACAAGCGGCGTGCTTCATCTACTAACCAACTACCCACGCAACTGGTGAGGAAGAAGTCACCACCAAGTGATCCAGGTGAGGATCCATCACAACCAACGCAAGCATATGCAGTACCAATGAACTAACCACCACCAGTCATTAACCACCAGATAACCCTCAGGAACAGGCATGCATGTTCATCAACGTCTTATCGGTTTCCGATTGGAAAAACAGCTCAGGTCCGGTAACGTCTGCGACTTATGACTTCAAACCTCCATGAGGGTACTAAGGGTGCAATGAGCACAGTGTACAGGAGCCGATGTACCAGTCGCGTCACAATGTGGTGTCGCGGTGTAACACAAGCTCGAGCGCTCGGGCTCCCCCTGCCTGCCATCCCGCCTGCAAGCTGTCCAATCACGGAGGTCCCTAGTCGAAGCCCACACTCCCGAGCCAGCCTGACACATCGTTGCGGCCCAGCGCGATGCAATAATGCTCCTGCGATAATAAACCGACACACCGAAGGCGATCGGGATTGAGGCAGTGAGGTGGAGGAGGTAGAAGGCAGATCAGCTGAGAGGACATGGAAGAGGCCAATGTATCATGTGCCGCTCTCACATGCTTCAGACATCGATGTTCCAAGACTGTATTCCACGGTTCAGGATTCCACGCTACAGCTTTGTTGCTACACCTCCTCCTCTTAACCCAAACAGCCAAACGGAACCCCTTCCGCCGGGCACTCACCTGAGCAGTCCTGTCCATTCCGGATACGCCGGATATTGGCTTTTTCAATTTATAACTCAAAACCCACCCAGACCTACCTATCTAACCACCTATTTCGCCCAACCCGCCCAACTCCACATCCTCATGGCCACTTCTTCCTTTCCAGGCCTGTGTCTATTACAGCGACATGCGATGTGCCCTTTTGCTCGGCATAGAAACTTGGCAGCTCGCTGCAACAACATCAACATCCTCACCACGTCTCAACGCCGCCCACCCAAACTCTACAGCTAACACTGCCTACGTCCTCACTCTGCGCCACAACAATGACATTTAACCCCCTGCAGCCCTCCTTAGCTTTTACGGACGTCCCCCATACTGGTGCAGAACTTGAAATTTGTAACAACCCACCTGGATCATGTGCCACTCCTCCAGCTCGTCAAATATCTCCAGTCGCTCCACTCGGGCCTTATCCTGACTCTCCAAGAAGGTACGGTAAAGGGTGTCCATGTCCCGGGCGTCCGCCCAGGCCCAACCCCCATCCATGAGCCTGCATGGATCCAAAGGGATTTGCTTTCAAAATCCATGATCCAGCTTTGTTACGCAGAAGGAAGACAGGATCTAAGGTCCAGGGAGGCTACATTACGCAGAACTCCGATCTCCCCTCTCGTCACATCCTTCTCCTTTGCATACTGACTCACAAGGATCGTATCGCGTCCCGATATCTGACTTCGCGTAGCGGCTAAGTCCTTACGCAGCTTAGCAGCAACCCACGCTCCCACGCGTGTACCTTCCCATCCTGCCAAACCCACACATCAATTGTACACCCATACACCCACACCCACATCCACACACATCTCTCCTATGCACGGCTCAGTTCGTGGATATGCGCACACACACATGTACACACATGTACACAAGATACTAAAACACACAGACAAGCACACATGCACGTATATAGATCTCCACGCACCGGGCGCAATGTGCGGCCAGAGAGGGTGTGGCGGGCAGACCCCGCAGCGGACACCCGCGCATCTCCAAATTGGACACCATCTGGCGACCGAACGCGTCGTCGGGCCGGATCTGAAAGGAAAGTTGCACGAGGATGGGCTTTGGGTTGTTGACTTCTGAGCTGATGACGCTTCGGTTTTAGGTGCACGGCTAACAAGCATCCATTCAAACACATGTAAACCTATGGCCTAGGCTATCAAGTCCAAATCACACCCACCCACCGACCTCCTGTCGCAGCCACCACCCAGCCACCCACCTGTTCGTAGATGGCGATGACGGCGTTAGGAAAGGTGTGAGCCGCCCAGCTCACAACCGCAGCCGAGTGCAGGGGCTCCATGTAAACCAACACACATTCGGACAGAATGTAGGTGGGCGATCTGCGGAAGGTGTGTGGGGGGTGCGGGTGCGGGGTGACAGAGGGGCAAGGGCGCTGATGTTACAGTGCTGATGGTTAGAGTTGCGGTGGTGGTGGTTGTGGTGCCGTTTGCGGTACCAGTGCAGTGGCAGTCTGGTCATCGTGGTGGTAGCGAGGAGCGGGTTTAGCTTAGGGTTGAGCTGGTAAGCCCTGCCGGGCCCTCCGTCCCTTATGTCTCCAAACTCTCCAAACCTAAACCGACCCGTCAATCCCAACCTAATGACTTGCAACCCCCATCCAGCCCAATCCAACGGACCAACTAAAACCGACGAACAGCCTGACCGAGCGCACCCGATACGACCAAACCGCAACCCGTGTAACCCCAGAACCCCAGGCCAACCACCCCAATTCGCATCTTTGAGGGCCACAGAGAGAAAGGAAAGAGAGAGAAAGAGAGAGAGAGGCCGCCTCGTGCGACCTGCCTGGTGTCCCAGCCTGCTTGCTGCACCGCTGCCGCCAGTCCGTCCTGGTTCCTAAGATCCACAGGGAGCAGAGTGTAGTGGGAGCTGACTACCCGACCACCCGCTGCGTCAACAACCAAATCGTCCCCGGTTGACGTCGCCGTCGGCAACCCCACGGTCGCCGCAGCCGCCGTCGACCCGGATACCGCTGCCGTGCCATCATCGCGATGTGCTACACCCCTCGCCGCCGTGCCCACTGCCGCTGCGGCGGCGCCGGCGGCGGCGTCAGCCGCCGCCGCCGGGGCTGCCGCCGTCGTTGCCATGGTTGTCGTGGTGAGGGCGTTACGGAGGGCGGGTTCCTTGGCAATGGTGGCGGCCTTGCGCTGGGTCACCTACACTGGTGTGAGGTGTGTATGTGTGTGTGTTGGGGGGTTACGGGGAGAGGGCTCAGGGTAAAAGACAAACGAACTCAGGCCGTGTGGGGCAGGGGGGTGAAGAGGACTTTTCTATCATCGATGATGATGATGATGCGATCAAGTGTTAGGGAGACACATGCCTAAGTCTCCGTTGGAGGGCCATATGGTGGGGAGAAGGGGGGGGAAGGGGGAAGGGAGAGGATCACGGAATGGGAAATCTCAAGCGTGACGCTGCGCATAGGAAATCTGCTAAGGTGGGGAGGAAGAGGAAAGAGACTTGCAAGAGTGATCGGGAGTAATCAACTCGGCATCATCCGGGGGAAAGAGGAGTGGAAGGAGTGGCGAAAGAGAGACCATAACCCCCATTGCCTCCCTTCCAACCCTGACCGCTGATTCGGCCTTTGGCAAGCCGAGTAGAGCACCGGGGTTGCTTGCAAGCCTACATGCCCTACAACGTACGTAATACCCATGCACAAAGCCCACACAAACGCACCGCCGCTTTAAAGAAACCTACACTGTACGGCGTACAAAATCGTACCTCCTTGAAGTCCACCTCCAAGCATTTATACGGTGCTCGTCCCAGGTCCCGGTGGAGCTGAAACCACGTCGTGTCGAAACCCGCGCCCAGCACCAGGACCTGTGGTTGTTGGCTCGCGGTGGCGGCAGCAGCTGCAAGAAAGCGGTTGAGAAGCTGTCGGAGGGCCGCGTGTCGGCTGTAGTACCCTGCCCCGGGGGTTGTAGAGGGGAGGAAAGCCGTGCGGATGCGGTACAGAGGAGGAACGAGGGGTTTTAATGTTGCTCGTGAACGAGGGGTGAAGATCCGAACGCCAGCTGACAGAGGGACGTGACGGGGTGGTGGTGTATGGCAGTCAGGCGGCGAGGGGGTTTCGCGATCGTTCGGTCAATTTAAGACACGGGATTGAATCCCCTAGGGCGAGGAGCTACGCATGGGACTCGCCGCCCAGGACTTACCCCGGTTTATCAAAGGCGAGCGCCGAGAGGCACGCCTTACAAAGTACTGTATGAACTCGTCCTTGAAGTAGCCTGCCTTGGCGCAGGACCTGTAGACAAATTGGGGCGGGCAGGGTGGAGCATAACCCTACACCATGCATTGGATTGAACTAGCACCTGTGCAAGGCGTACATTTTACTGATCTGGGCATCGTCGTTTGTCCCCTGCACGCTGGCATCGCTTCCCTCCAGCGAACGCAGCATGCTGGTCGTGGACTTCACAGTGTTCCCAGCTTCTAATTTGAGCGTTAATTGCAGATCATAATCAATGGCATGTAATCTTAATTAGGGATTACCGACTTTAATTGGCCTAGAGTCCGCAAGAAGTCGAGTGTCGGGGATAGGACCATATCCTTTCAATCGCAGAGCAAATTATAACACAGTTATACAACGCGTTAAGCGTGATGTGTCGAAATCATTGTTTTCCGTTCTATATGCGTACCAACACCGGTCATAGGTCCGAGTAATTAAATGCGGTACGAATGTGACAATTTATTGATTTTCCATACAGTTGTTCCATTAACTCACTTAAAACATAACCAGCAGACATAGATGCGCCATATTGGACTGCCAACTGTGTAAGGCATGCGTGCTGTGCGTGGTGCGCACGGTACGTCAGGCTTGAAGTGTGCAAGCCTTCCTTTCATTTGAGTCTGTTGTGAACATTCGTGTAGTTATTGTTCAATCGGTCAGAGCTTCGGTATCTTGTTGCTACGACAAGGATCTGTACGACACTATTTATATCTGTGTGTGACAGAGGAAGACTTCTTCAGCTGTGTAACGGTATGTGCGAAAGATGCTCGAGTAAACGACTCCGAAGCGGTAAGCATTAGGGTTATCAGCTCAGGATAACGACGATGCTTCTTTGTCTCGCATGACTGGATGCCCATGATATCGGCCAAAGGAAAGGTCTTTAACAGACACGTCCCGGATGCTTACAGAAACAAGGCTCCTCAGACAAGGCTGTGGCCGAAAATTATGCAACAGTTTAAATGGGTAATATTAACCAGCAGCGTCTGACAGCCGATCGATCACCTTGGACCTATGTAAGCCAGCTGCTATGAAGCGACGCCTCGAAAACATGTGAGGCCATGCGCCTGTAATTGAGCGCGGTTGCGACTCAAACAGCATGGGGCCAACAAGGCACAACAAAGCACGAGTCCACGCAATTCTTGTAAAACATTCTTGTAACCCGAACTTGAACGACCAACTGTCCGCCAAGGCTCAGATCCCGAAAGCCATGCGACCTGCGAAATTCTCCCTAGCAATTGAAAAACCGTCCAACGTCCTGTTCGGCGCGCCATCTACAACTCGATGATCACCTTACCCACGTGCTCGCCGCCCAACATGTAATCTACGGCGTCCGCCACGCCCTCCAATCCCTGCGGGTTCGGGTGCAGAATCAACAGCGGCAGCGAACCACAACAGGAGCAATAACAACAGCTCAAGCGAACCACCGAGTAACAAAACAGGACCCTCAAGACCAGCGGGCGCAAGATACCGCGATAAACAGTAATAAAACAGGAGCTAGAACGGCAGAACCTATGACAGCGGGACCAAATCAGCACCAGTAGGTATTGCGAATGCTTTGCTGCAGGTGTTGCTGTAAGAACTGATGCAGCAGCGACAACACAAGCTATATGCATAAGGCATTAGCGATCTCACACAAGCGCAACTTTTCTTTACGCGCACGCCTACCTGCAACCAACGACGTACCGCCAAGCGTACGCGACACCTACGACAGTCCACGTACATATGTACAACGATTCCCTTACCCGGCGGCCGTGGCCTTGATCGGTGAGCACTCTCAGCTGGCCCCTACGTGCCATATCGAACACTCGGCGGCGACATTTGATGATGGCCTTGAGATCCTTCGGTCCGGTCCAGGAGAGGGAAAGGAAGGGGGAATCACACCCGAAGTTTAAAGGGGCGAGGGAGGGGAGGAAGGGGCGGTTGGGATCCCTGACGATGAGGGGAAGGAGGGCTGAGAGCGAGGGAGTGGGCGCGAGGGAGGAGACGAACCGGAGGGCGGGAAAGAGGGGGCGACGAGGGATTATTTAAAGGGGATTATTTGCAAAGTCAAGGGAAAGGGGAAGAGGAGGGTACGACGAAGCACAGACGATCGACATGAAGAAGAGAACATAAACGCGGTGAGGGGAAGAGGGGAAGAGGGGTTGGGAGAAGGCAGGTGGAAAAGAGCGAGGGTGAGGGAAAGCTTGGAAGAGGGAGGGAATTGGGAGGGGGGAATGAGAAGGGAACGGGGGGCTTCCAGCATTGCCACAAGGCACAGAAAAGGTGGAGGAGGGAAGCAATGGCGGGAAACAATACAGACGTTTTAAACTTACAGTTGGTTGCTTTGCGGTTAGGAGGGTAGTGCTAAGCAGTTAGCGGTTAGGCACCAGCATTCTGGCGCCCTGGCCTCGACATCTTACACTTACATCTTTTCCGTACAACGCCGTACCTTGGGCCAAATCTGACCGATAACGCGCTGCTGCCCCCGAGTCACATCCAAGCCACCCCAAAACAACTCCGAGCTGGGAGGCAAAGGCTCCTCTGCCGTACACGACGTCACCGCTGCCGGGAGGATTCCGGACGCGGGCTCCGTCGTGACTTCGATCCCGCCGCCACGGTCACCGCCGTCACCGCCACCGCCACTGCCGCCGCCGTTGCTGCCGCCATCAACGCCGCCATCAACGCCGCCACGAAGCCCCTGACCGTTGCTGACGTCATCTCCGTCCCAACGGTACTGCTGTGTGTGCGGGTACTCGGAGATGTAACCCACCTGGGCAATCAACCGGACCCGGGAGGGGCACCCAACAGCACACAGATTTACACAGACAGACAGACAAACAAACATACAGACAGACATAATATGTACATACATACAAGTAAACGAAGGCGCCCCGCTGTTCATCATCATCAGCTTCTAGACCACTACACGCGCCCACTCCCCCCTTTCTCTTCTCACCTCAGTTTTCATTACCTTTTTCGCCGCCTTCACACCTACCTTTACTATTGTACGGCTTGGTTCTACTGCTCTTTTTTCCGCTCTTATTTTAGTCTTGGCGGTTAGGTAGGTAGGTTTCCTCTGTCGTCATCACTTTACATCATCCCGAGGACGGCTTCTTCACAACCGCCGACTGGTCAGTTCTGCTTCCTGCCTGCACATATGCCGCGAAGCACTCTTTCCCCCCTTGGCAGCAGCTTCACTCGCTCGCGTGGTTCGTCTTTTCCCTCTTTCGGACTTTCCCCCCACCACGCACCCCGGAGACCTCTCCCCCCCCTCACACACCTGCAGCCACCTCCCCGAGGGACTCAAGCAGTCCATCAGCTGGTTTCGGATCCAGCCCCCCACACCGTCGTACACCACATCCACTCCCCCAGGGAACATCCGTCGCAGTGTGGTGGCCACATCCTGGGCGGGCGGGGTGAGAGGTGGAGTCGGGGCTGGAACGTCAGACAAACAGACAGACAGACAGACAGACAGACAGACAGACACAGCAATGCAGCGCACCCTCATCTCTCACCTGCCGGTGATAGTCCACGACCACCACCCCTCCCCCTTGGCCGTGCTGGTGGTGCTGCTGCTGATGCTGCATAGGGCCCCCCTTGTCCGTCATGAGCTCCGCTACAGCCGCCGCCTTACGCTCGCCGCCCACCACAGCCACAACCTTAGCACCCGCAGCCGCCGCCAGTTGTACGGCAAGGTGACCCGTGCCGCCCGCCGCCGCCGTCACCACCACCACCTCACCGGGCCGAACGCGCGCAGTGACCTGCAACAGCAACAGGTGGGTTGCAACAGGTGGGGTTTCCAGTCCTCCGGGGGAGCCCTCTGGCTTTGTTTTCACCTCATCCGAAAGCGGAAAACCGCTTCTTTAACCTGGCTGAACACGGGACAACACGTGGGTACGACATCCCAAACATAGCGCCGTACGAAACCCAGGGTACGAAACCTAGGGTTTGATACGGCATCCGAATTGTGGGTCGTACGATTAGCAACTAGATTGTGCACACTTCCCCGCCCGGCTGCCGTACCTCCGCTGCCGTACTACCTGCTTTTCCCTTCCCCCTTCGACCCTCTCTCACCTCCAGCGCTACCGCCGCTGTCACCCCGGACAGCACCAGCGCCGCCGCCTCCGGGCCCCCGACCCCCTCCGGTACGGCAGTTACCAGGGACGGCCGAGCAGTGACGTACTGGGAGAAGGCCGCGGCGCCGTTAAACGCCACTAACTGACCCACCTGGGTGGTTGGATTTGGTAGTTGGTAGTTGGTAGTTGTGGCATGGGGAGCTTAAGTTGGGACTTTGGGTGAGAGGGCGGGAAGGACTGGCATGTGCGTGTTTTGGCGCATATTTTGAGCAACACAATTTAGGTGCATGCGAGGGCGGGGCTGTGTAGGCAAGTCTACTATTAGGGTAGACAGTCGGTGAAGGGGTTGGCAGTGAGGTCCACAGTCAGGTCCACAGTCAGGTCGGCCCTTACCTTGAGGGCCCCTCCTCCCCGTCCTTTGCCGGCACTGCCACTGCTACTGCCACTGCTACTGCCACCAGCAGTCGCATTCAGGTCAGGTCCCAGGGCCACCACCACCCCGACCCCCTCAGCGCCAAGGGGGAAATACTGTGAAGAGTTACAAGTACGGCAGTACGGCAGGGGGGCAGGGGGGGTAACCCCGGGGGCAGCGAGGGGGATCAGTCGCATGAGCAGTAAGCTGGAGGGCGCTGGGAAGCGCGTGCTGTACGAACACCACCACACGGACCACAGGCCATCAGCCGGGCACATGCCCTCTTCCCCTCTTTGCTGCATAGGCCCTTTACGGACATACGGACATACGGACATATGCACACGCGTCTACCTCTCGCATCCATTCATTATCCACGCATCGCACGGGCGTATACTCATATATGCAAGCGCAAATACATACATACATACACACATACATACATACGCACACAGACCTGCATGCCGCGGTTGGCAGCAAAAGCATGTTCTCCCCTGACTCGAAACGTCTCACAGCCGCCGTTAATACCTGCATGAGTCACTTGGACGAGCACCTGGCGAGAAGGGGCCCGGGGGAAGGGGGAAGGGGGTAATGGAGAAAATAGCGGGAAGGGAAGATAAAAGGGATTGGAGAAATAGAAGGGGCATGATAGCGGCAATTTCATAAGCGCTCATCAATAGGCCAAGTGAGACCGTCAGAAAGCACGAGGAAAACATACGGTACATAGAAATGCTTCAGGGAAAGGTAATGGGGCGTTTCCTGGCTGATACGCGGAGAGCGATGCCGTACTTCTCCGGGACCCGGGGGCCGAAGCGGAAGCTCCTGGACGACGGCGACCTTGCGGAAGCTTGGCCCAGCATGTCGTGCAACCAGCCTTTTATAGGTGGCGGGTACTTCAGTTGGCTCTATCGTCTGTCCGGTACTGCAGAGGCATATTGTCTTCGTAAAATACGGCGGTATAGATCTTGTGCTACATAAGGTGGGCCTTTTAAGGCGGTGTTGGAGGCGAAATTGGCCTCGTTCGCAAGTCTGCGTTCCCACCGAAAGCGATCTACGAAACATTTACGAATTCCATTACGTCGCATGGAGCGGTTTCCAAGGTGTAACCTAGGGTTGAGTAAATGCATAGTCTTGGGAAACTCCAATCGAAGTTCGTGGTTTCGGAGGACGATTAGACTCCCATCTTAATAGGTTCCGGCCGGATCCAATAAATCTACACACAGCCAACAATTGCATGTGCAATCTGCAAAATCTTGCTCCTTTCATTTAGTGACAGCTGCCCAACACAACAGCGAAGTCTCCGGGCAACAGAACTCCGATCAGTTCGTTGTAAACTCACTTCCAGTACTAACGCTGGCCCTGTAGATAAACCTGTCCACGTAAGAGGCAGAAGATTGGTTCTGAGGAATGGCGGTGCGTATCGTGTCGGGGAAACGAGCGATTACGCTCTGGCATTTTTACTCGTGCTGAACCGGTGATTGTAGAACCACTTCGAAGAGTTCAAGGCCAAGATGGAGGCAGCGGGCCTCAGCGCGGCTGCCATTGCGGCCTTTAAAAAGAATTATGACCAACTGGTGGCCGGTGTGACAGGCATGGTAAGCCTTATGTGTTCCAGGACCGTATGTCGTTATATTGCCACTTTAGGTGCGTCCCCATGGGAATTTGTTTGTATGGTTCTTCCGAACAAACATGGCGCGGCCAGGGAGGTCCGATCAGGCCGTTTCAAGATCGCTGTTGACACCAATTATGTAAATGAGTTGAGTCCTCCATGTCGAAGGCGGTGGGTCATCAGAAACTTTGTGCACTGCGCTGTTCAGGTGCCTGAAGATGAGATTGACAGCGCTACCGGTCTGCCCTCACTGCTCGACCTTCCAAGCGTGTCACCTTCGGAGGCCAAGGTAAGATGTTTCCAATTCCTCTTGCCTCTGCATTACAACGCTAACAGCAATTTGAAACGATGCGCCCTCTTGCTCTAATCGCGTTTTCAGCGTTTCTCACACCTCACATTACAAAATTCCCAACATAAATGCAATCCCCAAACCATGTGCTTAATAAAAACCTGCTCGCCATTCCTGACCACCATATTATCCCCCTCCTCCTCATCATTCTTCATTTTTGTCGTACATTCCTCCCATCCCTTCCTGGCTTGCCCCTCCTCACATTTCCTGTGTCAAGGGTACCTCGTCCCACACACCCCACCGCACCCCGCCTGCCCTTATCCCTGTGTGAAATCTATATCTTCACACTCGTTGGTGGTCGTTGATACTTTGGACGCCGGGATTTACAGTTTTGCATCTAAATATTTTTTCGTTTTAATAATTTTCATTCGTAATATCCCCACACTTGCCCCTCAAACCCCTTTCCTGAATTTGCATGTATGTATGTACGTATGTATGTATGTATGTTTTCAGACTTTGCTGTCCCAGACTGCCGTACTGAAGCTGAATGGCGGTTTGGGCACCAGCATGGGCCTGGAGAAGGCCAAGTCGCTGCTGGTGGTGAAGGACGGAAAGACCTTTCTGGACCTCATCGCCGAGCAGGTGCGTTTATGTACACAACTATGTATGTTTCGCCTTTGTAATATATACATATGTGTGTGTGTGTCCATCCCGGCATATATACATGTATGCATGTATGTATGTATCCCCTCCATCCCGGCAGGTCAAGCACATGCGCAAGTCGTACGGCTCTGACGTCATCTTCACCCTCATGAACAGCTTCTCCACCAGCGCCGACACGCGAGCCTTCCTGAGCGAGAAACACCCGGACCTGCTGCTGGTGGGTTAGGTTTCGAGGGGGGAGGGGGCGGGGGAAGGAGGAAACATATGCAAGGAATTAGGGACCTAAACGCCGCCGCCCTGGGGGGGGGGAGGGGGAGGGGGGGGGAGGGGGAGGGGGAAGGAAGCTGTGTATTGGTTGAGGGGCAGAGGGGGGGTTCATAAGGTGAGGGGTAAAACTTGGGGTGGAAATTTATGGGGGTAGGGGGGTTCTTTAAAAACAGTTCATGGGAGGGGTGGGGGTCTTATATATTACATGCAATGTCAAGGAAACAACTCTACAGGCGCAAGGGGGTGGGCGGGAGAGGGGGAGATACTCCAGGAAACGGGGTTAGCGGGGTACGGGGGTTGCGCTTTGGCTTGGCCTTGGGCTTATCTTCCCCAGCCCGCGTACACACGTACACACCGAGCTCCCATCCCACCGCAGCAACGGCCCCTAATGCTTGCATGGCTGAATGTACGGCCAGTTACTTGTCATTCCCTTCCCCTTCCGCGGTACGGCGCCGCCTCTCCCGCCCTATCTCGATCTGTTGCTGCTCGTGTGCGTATTCCTCCCCATCTTGCATTTGACTCCCCCCCTTCCGGGCCCCACCAGGAGCCGTTTATCGAGCTGATGCAGAACATGTCCCCCAAGGTGGATGCCGCCACCAACAAACCCGCCACCTACCCCCCACATCCCGACAATGAGTGGTGGGTGGGTAGGGGGGTTGCGTGTGTGTTTTGTATGTTTGTGTTACACATATACGCTCGGGCGGGGTACTGTTGGCCTATCTTTCCTACACGATACATACATACTAAAATGCCTAGCAATTACCCCCAATTTTACCCCCCTAATCATACATCACAACACAAACACCAGAGAACACGGCCGGCGGGTCGGGCCCCGCGTGTGTGTATGTATGTGTGTATTCTTCAGGCACGGCCGGTCCCCCCGCTACGCTAAGATAAGCTAGGCCGGTTGCAGTTAATTCTTTAATCCGTGCACCCATTTCTCAATAGTATTCGCATTTTTACACACTCTGTACTTCCCTTCCCTTCTTTCCGTTCTCCCCTGTGTATGTGTGTGTGCGTGCATGTATGTATGTATGTATGTCCAGGTGCCCCCCTGGCCACGGCGACATCTACCCCTCCCTACTTGGGTCCGGCATGTTGGACAAACTGATCGACAAGGGCATCAAGTGGGTGGAGGGGGGGGAAACTGGGTTTCGCAGGGGGGGAAGAGTGGCGGGAATGTGTGTGTTTGCTTGGGGTGGGGGGCCAGGGGCATGGAGATGGAAGAGGACGGTGAGGTTTTGGAGGGGAAGAAAATTGGGCACTTGGAAAACATGCTGCATGGCAATTGTCCGACTAGCAGCAGGGGTTTGTCCTCCTCAAAGCCGCCTGTCATATCCCGTCCCCCTCCCCGCCCCCCGGCCCCCTAGCCCTCTTCAACCTTACCCTCCCTGGAGCGGCATCCCACACAGCCACCACCACCACCACCACCCACCCCACCTCTGTTCCCGTCCACAACCATACACACCCAACCTACCCACAAACCCTTCCTCCGCTCTTCCCCCCCCCACACACACCCACCCACCCACGACCACCAATACACACAGGTACCTGTTCGTTTCCAACTCCGACAACCTTGGAGCCACTTTGGATCTGGATCTCCTCAACTACTTCGCCACGTCCAAAAACGCCTTTCTGATGGAGGTATGTATGTACGTATGTATGTAATTTCACCGGGTATTTTCCCCGGCACTTCCCGGCATCGTTGCCGTACTTCTCCACCCCCCTCACTCCCTCACCCCCCGCCCAGGTCTGTGAGCGCACCGCCGCCGACAAGAAGGGCGGTCACCTATGTGTCCGCCGTACAGATGGCAGGTTGATGCTGCGGGAGAGCGCCATGTGCCCGGACGCGGACAAGAAGTCCTTTGAAGACATTGCGAAACATAGGTTAGGTGGCGAAGGGGGTGAGGGGCGGAGGGAAGGGGGGTTGCGAAGGGTGAGGGGGGAGGGGCGGAGGGAAGGGGGGTCTAGGGCAATATGGGAACATGGGGATTAGGCCAGAATTGTACGGGAGAAACGTAGGGCCCTTATGAACCTTAGGAGGAGGAGGAGGATGGGGCGGTTTGTGGGGACTTGAATCTCTCCCTTTCCCCCCAGCCACGGGTCCGCCCCCCTTGCCCCCTTCACGATTGAAAACCCCTTCTTCCTCCTTCCTTCCTTCCCTCCCTCCTCCCCCACCCCCCTCGCGCCCCCGCCAGGTATTTCAACACCAACAACTTGTGGGTATCCCTGGAGCAGCTGAAGGCCACCCTGGAGCGGTCCGGAGGGGCTCTGGACCTGCCGCTCATCAAGAACAAGAAGACGGTCAACCCGCGGGACGGGAAGTCGGCCGCCGTGTTCCAGTTGGAGACGGCCATGGGGTCCGCCATCGAGTGCTTCGATAGCGCAGGTGGGGGGGTGGGGGAGAAGAGAGGGGTGTGGGGGGGGAAGGCTAGGGGGGAGGAGGGGGAGATAGTGGGGTGTTAATGGGGCTGTTCTTTTGTGTAACAGATGAATGTATGTCTCTATTCCGCATTCTGTACGTGTGTGATTTGTTTTACGGGGTGTGTGTGTATGTGTGTGTGTGATTGGACGATCTAAATTACACAGGCGTACAATCCAAGTTCAAACACCTATATCCTCGTATACATACACACGCACACGCAGGTGCCATCGTGGTTCCCCGCTCTCGTTTCGCTCCCGTCAAGACCTGCTCGGACTTGTTCGTACTGCGCTCGGACGCGTACGTCATCGCGGAAGACGCAACCGTGGCTGTTGCGCCCTCCCTGCTGCAGTCGGGGGGTGCCGTACCACTCGTTAAATTGGACGATGCGTACTACAAGTTGGTAGATCAACTAGAGGTGCGCACGTGTTTGTTTGTGTCTGGGGGGGAAATAGCAAGGTTGGGGGTTTTGGGGTTTGTGTGTGTGCGTGCGTGTGTGTGTATATTGACAGTGACAGTTCGGCATGTCAGTCTGGCACCACCCCCGAGTCTGGCATCGTGCCCACCGTGTACTGCGGCTCTTTGAACTTGAGGTATAAATAAATTTGAATTCAAATTGTCTCGTCATTAATCGTGGTGTTTCGGATCCCAGGCGCTGGCTTCCGACGTGCCCAGCCTCATCGCGGCCAAGTCCGTAACCGTCAAAGGCCCCGTCAAGTTCTCGCCGGGTACGAAGGTGTTTTTGAGGGGTTGGGGTTGTCTGTGGGAGTGGGATTGGGGTTGAGTGGAAATGCGGGTGTCTGGGGGTCAATGGGGATTCAGGCGTGCACCCGCCGCCTGCTTCGCCTCTCTCCTAAATCCCGCTCTTTTTCCCCTGCCACTGCTACTGCGGCTGCCACTGATACTACTGCTGCCATTGTTGCTGCTACTGCCACTGATACTGCAGGTATCGTCCTGAGCGGCGATGTGAGTCTGGAGGCTGAGGGCGGCTCCCCCTCCCCCGCGCTGCTACCGCCCGGGGAGTACTCGGGAGACGTCAAGGTCGGACTCAGCGCAGTGGCACCCGCCTAGGCGGGGAGGGGGGTGTTCGGGAGGGGAGGGGAGAGGAGGGGGGATAGCGGCGTACCAGTTGGCGCGGGTGTGAATGATAGCGGTTTGTGGTTGGCGGTTGACGCTTGTACTTGTGGTTGTGTGTGTATGTGTATTTTAACGTGTGTGTATTGAACGTGTGTGTATTGAACGTGTGTGTATTGAACGTGTGGGTATCCCGGGTGTTGTGCTCCCGGAGATGAATGCACAGCGCCGGCAGCAGCATGGTCATGTGCTCAAAACCCACAACGGGGGGGCCGGTCCATAAACCTCACAGCTCCGAGAGCATATTCTGTGTAGTGTGGATAGGTACATGAGTTGCCTGCATAAACTGTGTATTACTGTTTAGTATGCGTTCACGCGAGTTATAAATATATGTATATGGAGGAGTCACTGTGCATAATCGAGTATTACGAGAGTACATGTGTGTATGGTTCATTTATGGTTAGTTTGTGAGTTTATTAATTAAAAAAGCTTGGATCGTATCGCAGCCACACACGCCCTCACCCCCAAAGAAAGGATTCTACCTCATCATGTATACGGATATATGAGAATATCATGAACAATCATTGCAATCGTTTTGAGTGTATTCCCGTAGTACCGAGTAGGAGTAGGAGTAGTAACCCGCAGACATTTGGCTCTTTAGGTGGCGCTCTTAAATTGCATAAGAGTAAGGAGAGTGTGTTCAGCCAAAGCCAAGGGTATGGGGCCACAGCACGCCTAAGCGCAACCAATATTGCCGCGCAGGTAAAGCGCCGATGAAGTTGGGAATGTTCGATCCACCCCTCTACCACCCGCCCAGGTCATTAAGGCTCGCTCTCTTCCTTTCTTGACATAGGTCCCCGCCTCACCCACGCGGGCGGCTAGGAGGGCCTTATTACCTAGGCCTGTTTTCCATCGGGCTTTTGGAATTCTGGATCCGGATCCAAATCCTGGGAGGGGGTAACCGCGCAACGCCTCCTTCCCTTGCACATCGCCGGAGAGAGGAGTGAGAAAATTCTACACAAGGGCATACATTCATACATATATACGCGTGCTCCTGGTCAAATACTTTAAAATTGGTTGCTGTGTGCGGACCGGATGTTCGGTGGACCGTTGTTCGTTTGCCGCGCTCAACCACCCAATCGTCCCGCTTGGATTAAAAGGGTTGCCGTAGCGGACATCGGGGGAGGGAGGGAAAGGTGAAACCCTTCATGGTGCAGATGATGACGTGTGCGAGGTGTGAGGAGCTGGGAGGGTAGTAGTAGTAGGTATCACAATTAAAGGTTATTGATGACCCTTCGAAAGATAAGCTGAGAATTGGAATGGAGGGGCTCATCAGGTAGACACTGTTGAACTGGAATCTGTCAGGGGGGCACACAGCAGAGTCGCTCGCAGCAGCAGCAGTAGTAGTGGTAGTAGTAGTAGTAGTAGTAGTAGTAGTGTCGGTTGGGGTGGGGGGTAGTGAAGAAGGCAGGAGGGGACGCGGCAAAATGGTTGTGGGTATGCAGAGCTAATGACCGGCGACCTGGCCGGAAGCCGGTGGGGAGGGGCCCATGTTTCGTGGCGTCGAACGGGGGACCAGTGATTGGAAGGAAGGGCGGGGTAAATAATGCGCAAGAAAGAAAATTGGGGGTCCCGAAAGGTGTTCAGGTCAGATGTTGCGTGAGGCGGTCGGGAGGGCGCGGATCGGGCCCCGGCACCAGAGAAGGACGAGGAAGAACCGCCACCCTTCCAGCGGGCATCACCACCGCGGGAAGGGGTGAAGGACCTGCGGTAGCTGGACCCGGTTCAAAAGCCGTTATGCGTGTGTGAGCGAGAGGGGAGGAGGAGTGTAATCTAAGAGACGACAATGCTTTCTCTTCGGTTCTTGTTAACCCTTCCCCCCCCCTTGGTAATCCAAAACCCCCCTCAACCCACTCATCACCACCTCTAGTAGCTACTGTACTACTACCTTTCTCCTCCCAAAGCCACAAATTCTAACGTACCTTTTACACAACCGCCTTGCCGTACCAACCGCCTCTCGCACCCGCAGGCGGGCAGCAGTACTCCAGTGAAGGAGGGGGGGAGCGGGAAGGGCACAACTGATGCTGCTGCTGCTGCTACGTCAGCTCCCGCGCCTGCTGTGGTTGACAACCAGGGCTGCTGGCACTTCCTGGCGTGCAAGTAGAGGCACAATGAACGATGAGGAGAGGTAACCGATGGCTCCAGAATGACGATGACGATGGCGAGTCGCAATAACCGCGATCTAGAGGAGGTGGTGAGGATGGAGGCAAATTACGGCGGTCGTGTTGGCAGAGTTGGTTGTTACGGAGGTGGGGCTGTGTTATATCACGACTTCAGAAAAGCACGGATCGGCGGATGCAGATCCCGTGATAAGCCCAGTGATATGCGAAAGGCTGGTTGTGACGGATGCGGTTATGGAGGTGGTGAAGGTGGAGGTGGAGGTGGAGGTGGAGGTGGAGGTGATCTTAGGGAGGAAGAATAGCTCAGCGATGTGGGGAGACAGGTTGTTGCTACGCAAAGCGTAGGAAGGGTACCCTTCCGCGGGAGGGCCAACAATGCCGTAGTGGTGATTTAGCGGCAGATACACAGACATACGTACATGGCATACAACCAAGCAATGCCAGCCATCCCATGGTATTTGTGTTTAATGCAAGGTTCTGCTGCCGTGCGCACCGTGCCGTACATTGTGCATACCGTATGTGCGTGTAAATATTGTAATAATGTCCCCGGGAATAACATATTCTGCTGCTGCTGCTGGTTCTGGAGCCGGGTGGCGACGTATTTTCGACGGTTATCTTAGTGCTATGGGCAGTGTTGCCAGCAGTGGACGTTTTCGCGCCTGTTTGTTTGTGGGCCGTTTGTTGCTCTTCTTGTTCTATGTCGGTGTGCATCCTTCCCCCCAACCCCCCGTGTGCAGTGTTGCTTATCGCCCTAGTGGGGCTGTAGAGCGTGAAAACACTGTGTTCGCAGGAGAGGGGAGTTTTCACTTCTCGAGGAGTGTTTCACAAACAGGAAAATCTGTGACGTGTGGAATTATTTATACGTAATGCGCTATATTCATGCAGCAAAGCATGTAAGTAGTGTATGTGTGCGGTATGTGTGCTTATTTATGCCCAATAATTATGAGCTGGGCATGCTGCACATGCAGTGACCTTCCTGACCTTCCTGACGCCATGAAGTTGTGACGCATTGAAGCAGTTTAGGAGACCAGGCAGGGTTATGTAGCGATGTGGTGTGTGATGTGATATAGTATTGCATGGTTGTGGGCTCATCACATGAACAACGCATCTAACGAATACAGGGTTTCGTTACCGTGATGTCAATGATTGGGCTCGCCTCATCAGGTTTTGCGGTGAACTCAATACTTAAATGCGACTATATGAATGTTGTTACAGGGTGGTATAGCTTCACCATAGGCCCCCTTTCCCGAGGCAGTTCCCTGCTCTCCCCTGCACCCTAATCCATTCACTCCATCCGACCTCAGAGTGTATTATATGTTTATAAAATACAAAAGATACACTATATATGTCAGTTGCAGGCAGGTACGGCAGGTACGGTTATGATTTAGTGTGTATCTCTGGGAGCCCAGTGGACTACAAAGTGGTGTGACGCCGTGTCCCTAAAAGAGGTATTAGGGGCTCTGAGCATGTAGTGGTGAAGATCCGAAGCAGTATGAAAGGCGGTGTGATGCACAGGGGCTATACATGTGGCGACAGGAAGCAAGGGAAACACGCCCGTGGTCATTGGCTACTCGTTAGAGCGAAGAGAGAGAGAGGAGAAACTGGTTGCGCGATACGCTTGGCAATACGAGTTCGGCCCCGTAAATCTACAAAGAGCAAGTCTAACAGCGTTTGACAGGTTATGTAAAAGGCAGCTGGCTTAATGAGCATTACTGCATCATTGCAAAATTTTATTTTTGGATGAGGGACATTTGTGCCTTCCTTTAGTTCATGAGTGATGTATTGAATCTGTTGGGTGGGTCCGAAGACCGCCAAATATTGCGGAAGTTCCAGAGAACACAACCGACGGGGAAGGAATAAGTTTTCAACCAGCAATAGTCGCGCCTCGATTAGATCTCATAGGCTGCGACATTGCCCCAAGAGCAAAGAAAACGAGATTAGTCCTCCACATGACCCTAGTTCAGTACCTCCAACTATCAGTAATCATGAACGCGATGGTGGGTCAACTCACGACACAGTTTCTGCTACACCCAACCCTGGTTACCAAGCTGCAACGTCGGCCGCTTACCTCCCCAAAACGTACACAGCCACATAATGCACTGAGCATAACATCACCTACACCCCAATTTTCCGTACTCTCACTTTCACGTTCAACGTCCGTACTCGCAGGCAGCATTCATGCATATGTGCTGAAATTGTTCCCAGCTCGTGATAACCTCTTCTGTGCATTAGAACCACAGTCCGTATGTCCGTATGCACCCTGCTACATCTTCTGCGCTGCACGTTGCCGGCAGCTGAGAACAAGTCCCGGCAATACGTTCATAGATACATTCGTACATATACACATACGCGGGCGAAATGATCCTTTCCTTGGTTTTTCCAAATTACAGGCGCCGTTTTCGCTCGCGCTGCGCAGCTATCGATTGATATATATTACCTCTGCTCCAATGCGCAGCCCCCAAAATCGCCAAGAAGGTTCGTCGGCCGCGGATCCCCCTCCCCCTCGCTTCTCCACTGTCGCTCTCACTTTGACAAACAAAAGACGACCCAAACACTGAGAGCGTCCAGTGAGATGAGGTCTTTGCGCGCAACTTCCCTTCCGCATGTGTACACACCATCGCCAAGCGCCACCATCATCCCATACCCCTCGCCACCTCGGGACTCTGCTTAAGCTTAGTCCGTACTAAAACTCTTCGTGTTTGTGTGTTGTCGTACTAGGGCCGAAACAAATGCACAACAGTAGTGCTGCCAGCGGTACTCTTAACTAAAGACAATAAGAAACAGGTGACGAGAAGCGTGCAAATAGTTATTAACGTTCTTGTTATTTCTTGTTGACGATGATGGTTTTTAGTTCCTTCGCTTCTTGTTTTGTTCCGCCACCAAACACCAGCCCTCGAAGCGCTGCGACAGTTCATCATGCCGTGTCACGCAAGGCTTTCATGAATTGCCAACACACACACGCACATACACACACACATCACATGCACACCCCATATCTTCGAAAGAGAGAACCGCCACGTATGCTGCGCACTAGTGTATGCCACCACCAACATGCGGTATATGTATGTATGTGTTGACTGGGGAGAGCGGTTGAGTGAAAGCTGCAGCAGCGGCTTTAGGGTTTTGGAAAACGCAGCTGACATCCTTATTTTGGGGGTTGGATCCCTAACTACGACCAATACTCCCGCCCACGAAGGCCTTACACCCTTACACCGCCACCGCCACCAGCACCGCCAACGTCCCTCATGTACACGCGACGTAATCCGCGCGGCCAGGTAGGCGTGGGCCCCTTCCCCTTCCCCTTCCATCCCTCATACACCTGCTTCCACCACCATTCCCTGGTCCACATGTCACCTACAAAAAACATTCTACAACAACAACAGCAAAGAAAACGCGGCGGCACATCCCCCTACATCAGCATCAGGGGCTACATGCAGCTAGAAGCCCCCACACCACCACATCTCGAGAGCTCTCCCCCTCGCCCTCTCACACACTCTATACTGCTACTGCACGTATACACGCAGCCGGAGGAGCTCCCATACCTCTCGTCCCTCACGTCTGCTCACGTTTCCTGGAAAGGAAAGGGGAAACGAAGCGGAATAAAGCGGATTTTTTTTGCCGAAACACCCGAAAAATGTCGAAAAACAACATCGCCGCCACGCAAAAAGTTCTACGACCCCAAAACCACCTCCGGCCCCCCTCCACCCCAAATGCAAAAAGAACTTTCCACCGAGGGCAATTCCCCTCCCAAACAAACGCAGCAGCGCACACCGGACACAGAAACACAACACACACAGCGATGAGATAACAAACCGCCCCACGGAGAGCACGGGCTGGGGCCGTGGCAGCCCAAACAAACCATCCCCCCCATTCGGGGGGTTCACTCCCGAATCCCGAATAAGAAAAACGCAAAGCTTGCCGTCAGGACTCTGCATGCTGTTTGTCCATATGCATGTCTGCCCCTGCGCATGCATGTTTCTCGTTCCATCCAGTCACCACCTGCGCGCGTGTTAATGCGTTTGTCTGTATGTCTGTGCGAGTGAGCGCGTGCGTTACACATCGGAATGAACTTGCGTTGCCCCATTTCTTAATGTGTTTCCACACCTTACTGGAAACATATGATGTAATGACATGATGTATAGGGAGAGAAAGAGGGAGAAAGAGAGCGCGATCCTTTCCAATAATAGTGATTGATAATGACACGGCCCGCCGGCACGGATGGGCCCTCACCCCCCCACTTTATGGGAACTTGTAAAAAAAAACCGGCCCGTTGTAACACCCCTTCGTAGGAGGACAGACGTCCTCAGCTCCACTGCAGCAGCATCACAATGACGGTAACGTTGTCCGCGGTACCTCGCTTCTGGGCCTCCTCCAGCAGCGCCTGGGCGGCCAGCTGGGCATCCTCATCTCGATACGCCAGCGGGGAGGCGGGGCCTCGGCGGAGGGCCTGGGTGGGATTGGGGTGGGGAGGGAGTGAGAGTGTGGGGCCGAGGGGTTTGGGGGCGAGGGGGAGGGGGCGAGGATTTGGGGGCGAGGGGTTTGGGGGCGAGGGGGAGGGGGCGAGGATTTGGGGGCGAAGGGAAACAGACGTTACTTAGAATTTGGCATATCCCGATGTGATGGTACACACAGCACATACGGCCTCACTTTTCCTTCCCGCTCCTTCCCCCCTCCACTTCCCCCACACAAGCCCCCAGCCCTCCGAGGTATCCCCCCAGCCCCGACACCGCACCGCACCTGCAACGCCGTATTCGCGCAGTTGACCGCCTCCTGGTCGCTCAGGACGTCCCACAGCCCGTCACTGCCCAGAACCACCAAATTGTCACCAGGCTGCGGTACGACACGCCGTACATCTGGCTCACATTCCACAAAGCGACGAGGCTCCTTGAAATCCAAGTCGCCCAAGGACCTGAGGTGTATAAATGGCGTTTACCGCGCACTAAAGAAATAATAAATTGGGACGGGACTCAAACGATGATGCTAGTGCATAATAAACAGCATCCATCCATACAAACATACAAACAAGGATACAAACGCACATACACAGTAACATACATACATACAAATATACATACCTGCTGACTGCAAGCCCGCTGCCAAGTCGCCCCTCCCTGGGCTCCACAATCACTCGCCAACAGCGCTGGAAGTCCACACGACCACCCGCCGCCTCCACTCGGGCCTTCTCAGCAGGCAGATGGGGCTTATGATCATCAGTCAAGCGTACAGCAGTGCCGCGACGTGACAGTACCGCCCGGCTGTCGCCTGCGTTCAAAGTTTTAAAAGTTTACAAGAAACTCAGATAATCCATATATACATATATATATATATATGTATATATATGACATCACCTCCATACCTCAGCAGCTAGCCATAACCTCATCCTCTCGATCAATTTTGGAGACCTAAATCCTAGGAATTAAACCCAGGATCTTTTGACCTGCTAAATGCAATGGTGTACATGCACGGTACTGTCGTACAGTGGACGAAAGAGGGGAGATAGACAATCCAAGAGGTTCGGCTCGCGGGTGAAAGAGGGGAAATGGGCGGGATACAAAACAGACAGTTGATCCCTTCTCCTCCCTCTCCTCCCTCAACCCCCATCAGCTCCTCTAGTGCAGCTTGCAGCTTTGGACATTCCTTGCTCCTTGCATCAATATCATCAATATCATCAAATTGTTGTTTTATAAATAGTATGATACCCACCCGCCCCTCTCACCCGCATGCGCTGCATACAGTGTATCGCTGAGCCGCATCACCAGCAAAGCGGTGGCCCCGTCTCGCGCCCCGTCCGCCCGGGCCTCAGCAAGGATCTCGTCATCCAGCCGCCGGAAACACCGACGCAGGGCGGCACCGATGGCGGCCTCCTCCGCGGCCATTGCGGCGGGGGGAGCCAATTCGCCTGCGCGCGTGTGTGTGCCCCGCGTCGCCATCATCATCATCACAATCATCATCACAATCATCATCACAATCATCATCACAATCATCATCACATTCATTATCTCATCATCAATCATTGTCATCATCTCATCATCAGCGAATATTATTATCAACAGCATTATTAACATCGACGTCGTCAGCAGCGCCATCGCCAATGGAGTATCAGTGGCGAGCGAGATAAATCATAATCGCCATTAAATGTGAGGACGTAATGTACGGCAACATACACTCTCCCCACATCTTATACTCCCAAGCGCATCCCCCCCATCCCCCCTCGTCTCCTCGCCCCTCGTCTCCACACACACACACACACGCGCGCGCCCTCCCCCCCCAAAACCCCCCTGACCTGTGTGCGTCCTCAAGGCCGCATCCGCCGCCAGCAGCATGTGCAGCCGAGCCGCCGCCGTGTCCGCCGCCCGAGTGCCGTTGTGCCCGTCGTAGATGGCGGCGAGACTGCGCTGAACGCCGTCTAGTAGCGGCTGGCCGGAGGACGACAAGGGCCGGAGGCACTGTACGATACAGTGGCGATCCTCCATGTACGGCCGGGCGCAGCGGGCCTGGCCGCAGGAGGTCGTGGTGGAATCGGGGCATCGGGGGATTTAGATAGAAGAGGGGAGAGGAGAGAAGGTAAAAACACAGCGTGGGGAAAGGGGGCAGGGCAGGGGAGGGCAGGGCAGAGCAGGGCAGGGGAGATTCAGTTGGGAAAGTAGGAATTCTGGGAAGTAGCTGCCGACGTCCGAAGCCCCAAGGGAGGTGGATGAGAATGTGATGTGTTGTTAGCAAGGCGGGGTGAAATATGCCTTCGATTAGTCCCGAGCGCCCTTCCTAAATGCTATCGTCACCTCCACTAGTATTACTAGCACCGCTACCAAAACAGCTACCGAAGAGGGTTGTTACGACGCAACAAAATCCAGGCAAGAGCCTGGAAAGGCTAATCGCAACCTTCTCCATGGTGCAGGCGACCGTCCTAGGGGGCCGCATCCCTTCCCTCCGACGGCGCCCCGTCCACGACACGTACGTCCCTCCCCTCTCGCCCCCTCTCGTCCCTCCCAGGGACACTCACCGATGCCGTACCAAACAAGATCCGGCCCAGCGTACGACCGCCCGTCGCCTCAGGGCTGCCGCCACGGCTGCGCGCCGTCGCCGCCACCCCAGCCGCCATGTCCCCTGCCGTCGCATCCGCGACCGCGTCCATTGTCATACCCGCCGCCGCTGCCGACGTCACCAAGTGGAACCCGGCTCCGAAACCGTTCAAGGCCGCTGCCGGCGCCGTCGCCGGCCTGTGCAAGGAAGGACCCACCATCGCGGAACTTACGGCGCCACGTGGCTGGATGGGCGCAGATGAAACCAGATGCTGTGCGGGGTGATGGTGATGGTGGTGGTTCGGCTGCCCAATCGGGGAGTGCAACCCCAACGGCGGCGACAACGACGGCGACGGCGGCAGCCCGACGGAACCCGTCAGCACCATCGGCACCGGCAGCGAGCTACTGGCAATTGTCGTGATTGTACGCGCGGGAATGGCCACACGAGCCGCTGCCTCCTCCCGCATGAAGCGTTTGGCTGTACTGGCGGCGAGCGATCCCGTACGACCACCGCCGCCGCCGCCGCCGTTACCGCTAGGGCCTGGGCCCTCCTCGTCCAGCTCATCTGCAAAGCTCACAAGCAGACGGGTTCCGGAGCCAGGGCCGCCACGCTGAGCACCTGGTGCGGCGGCGGCGGCACCGCCGCCGCCGCGCGCGCTGGCGGATCCCGACGGCGGCTCGCCACCTGGCTGCGCCGCCGCCGCCACGGCGGCCGCGGCGACAGCAGCAGCTCTTGCTGACCCTTTTCCCCCCTGCTGCTGGTCCTCATCAGATCCGGCGCCGTCACGACGGCGGTCCCGATCCTTCTCCTGGCCCCGATTGCGGCTCCGGCTTCGACTGCGGCTGCGCCTGGGGTCGGGTCTGTCGCGATCCCCTCGCTGCCCACGGCTGCTGCTGTCCACCAGACGCCGCTCCGAAACCATCCCCGCCTCCTCTGCATCGTCAGTGGCGGCGCCGTAGCTACCTTCGCGCTCCGGGTTTTCACCGCTGCCGCTAGCGGGGTCTCGATAATCCTCCCGCCGCGACCGGTCCTTTCGAGACCCTTCTCGCTCGTCGCGGCGGTTCGTTCCCGCGGTGGCGCCGCTGGCTTTTGCGGCCTCCGTCAACGGCTCAGGCGACCTGGACCTCCGTCGCTTGCCGGATTCTGAGGATCTGCGAGCCGATCCGGATCGAGAATCGGATTTTGTGGATTTTGCGGACGTAGACCTCTGGCGGCGGGGTGGGCTGCGGCTGCGGCTGGCGGCACGGGCGCGGTCAGGGCTGGGTGTACGACGCTCCTTTCTTCCGCTAGGGCTGCGGCTGCGTGCCGGACTCGCGGCGGCGCGGCGGCGCCTGCTTGCTTTAAGGTTGGGCAAGTCAGAGGGGTGCGCCCCGGCGCCGTCATCATCGTCATCGTCGTCGCGGTCGTCACGCCGATGATCCGAGGCGCCGTCGTGATTGGCCTGTGGTCGGCCTGGATCTTTACCGTTACGGTTAAAATGGTTTAAAGTATTGCTCTTCTTGTTGGTGTCATAATTGTTAAAATTTCGTGTTGAAGTGTCCCATGGTTCGCGGGCGGTTTTCTCGTTGAAGCGGTTGCCACCGGGGGCGGCTGCGGCGGCGCGGTCCAAACTGATGAAGTCACGCCTTGTAGTAATTTGACCATTAGCATGAGCAGCAGGTAAATCGCCGTTACGATGCGAATCGCTGCAGATGATGCCACGGTCGGCGGGGTGAGATACGACCCTCTGCCCATGCTTATCGTTCGCCGCAAGCTCACGACAGCGACTGCGATCGTCATCCTCCAATTGCCGGGGACTACGGCTTCGACTGCGAGAGCTCGGCCGTCCAAGATGCTTCGTGTCGGCAACTTCGCGCCCGAGGCCATGATGCCGCTGAAAAGCTTCATCATCTGACGACCGACTCTCTGACGTACCCCGATCCTGACATCTATGTTCAGCCTTGTTAGATCTGCGATGGATAACCATTGTAAACTAGCGACGTTAAGCCTAACGGCCCATGCATGCCGAGCTGCCACCGGCAGCTCTTTAAGTACTTGAGAAAAATATAACAAGCGTTTAAGTATAATAACAGGTAGGAAAAATGCCTTCACAAAGATACGCAGCGCGCCAAACCTGAGAGGTTCGACCCTCAAAAATTTATGATTTATATAACATACCTCGATGAAGGCCGTTGAATATCAACGCTCGATGCAGAAAAAGTCATTGCCGAAACCTGGATGCCAGCTTCAAAAGGCTTCCTGACTGCAGGTGCTGACGGCAGCTGGAGATGAGTATGCCACGCCCGGGCAAAGGGCTGCCGAGCACGATACACCAGAGCCCGAGATGGCGTTGTATTAGCCAGAAGCATGCACGCCCCTTGGCCACCGTGAATGGCCCGCCGGGCCTCGGTGCCCAAGAGACCCCAAAGAACCGATTGTAAAGCGCAAATATAGGCGAAGGCAGTTTATCCAGGCCTGTAACTCGCATACGTCCATACACTCACTTTCAGTGCGTTAGGAATGCTCGTCCATTTGCTTCGTACAGGTCGTTAAACTTGCGTCTGGAAGCTCTGCACATGTGCATGTTTTAGATTGATGAACCCAGGTGACGTGCGTTTCTGTATCGCATCGTGTCGGACTCCAACCCATCTTGTTGCTGAGAGGAGGACCTCAGGTGGTACTCGTTTGCTCGTTTGCAGGAAGCTCATAAATGCTGCTGAGGAGGCGGGTATACTAATTATCTTTTTATTGTCGTTTGCGAATGCAACCTCTGCCCCAGTGATGTGCGGCTGAGCAGTCGAGGCAAGAAGCTGGTTTGTAGCATAGACTACAGGACAGGTATAGGATGTGTGGCCAATACAATTAATTCTTATAGCGTCCTACGAAGCCGCGATAGCAAGGGAAGAATGAAGCAGGAAGCATGGTCTTTCGACACGCAGACTCGATGGACTTTTTCACGTGCTTCCCTTACACATGTAAGGTGTCCCTTCATATTCTTTCCATCTCCTGAAAGGTAAATATCGTAGCTGACTTCGTCAGCTACAATCCTAGTCTACTATATAAACGCGAGGGCGAACGGCTAGCTGCATTTCCCACGCAACACATCATTTTCTCATGGTGACCACATGCGCATGGTAAGAGACTATGCGTCCTAAACCATCCGCCTGGAAACATCATTTTGTTACAACATAGTCGTTTCCTGTACCAGCGCGCGCGTGACGGTCCTGCCAGTTGTATCGTGCTTGGCTAGTCATAGCCAACATTGTTTGTGCTTCTCTCGTGCTAGAAGACTTGCGCTCGTATAATGCGCTCATCTCGTGCAAGACGATTGGAGAAGCGTATTATACACATACCCCGACTTGAAACGAACGTCCTTGACGGACACGTAAGAAAAAAGCTGTCAGTTTTTATTGACTATTGCCAGAGTGCATGGCGAACCACCCGCATCCACCCATTGTTATCGATCCGCATTGCGCTATTCGCATATTGGTCCATTTTGCGAGCCATCCAAACGCAATTACTTCTCCACGAACTTTGCAGATGCCCACCGTTCTGACGGCATCGCGTGTACATGCTATCTTCAATATCGTACAGTTGCACAATCGTCGTCCACGTACACGATGCCGCCACATCTCTATGGAAGCGCACGTGCAGTACGTTTCGACCTGCTAGGCCATTTTACACGCACGCCAAATGCCGTCCTGCACTGCGACTACCTATTTACCCTATTTATTCATGCAATGCTCAAGCACATGCACGCAATCCTTCCACCTAAAGTCATTCTCCCGGTTGTAAGCTGCCAAGGTGTTCGCCTCGCAATGCCCAATGCACGACCCCGAATGCTTTCCCCAGCTCTCTTCAGCAAGCGCAAAACATACGGATAACAAAGAACGCCGCGGCGTTGGTAACGGCCGCTATCAATTAGTAGACCTTTACTTGATCGATGCACAGGTCTTGATTGCCCCCCCAGTTGTTCATAATGACGAGGACGTTGACGGACCAGTCGTTGATGGAGTCGCTGCAGCCGCCGAACGCACTGCCATCGCCACCGCCACTGCAAAAGGGCCAGTAAACAATTAAATACATCAGCTATATCAACTCCTCAAAACCGTACCTGCGCTACTGCAGCAAGCATGTCCACAGCATGAGCAGCTACTGTAACATGGCCACAGGCCACACCTAGGAACGCGCTTTTGGAAATGCACAACAGTCTAGCGCATAGCGCAACGTTTCCCGTGATGTATGGATTGTATGCATGCGAATCCCGCCGTGGCCAACTAGCCACATCTCGCGTATTTAGCCACCACCTCTATATACTTGGCGCCCCAATCTCCAGTATCCACGACGCATGCCTACGTACCTTTGGCGCCAGTCAAAAGCGCTTAGCTGTACTTGGAAGCGGGACCAATTGCTAGTTTGGTCCTTGGGCGTCATGTCGCGCAACTGCAGCGCCTTGCAACCGCCCTGGCGGGTGCGCATATGGTGGGTGCAACGGTGTAAGATACGTAGAACGCAGCAATCGAACGCCGCAATCGCACACAGCATCACCTTTCAACGGGGACTACAAAAATTAAATTTTGATTCATTTTTAGCTATTTGATGCACAGGCCCGCAAGACAGATTGCAAAGCAGCACAATATCTTCAATGTCTTCAATTGACCTGTACCGCCTTGAAACGTGCTCTTATCGCAATGCACATCCTGCCGAAAATGCAGAAGCAGTTACGCATTTAGACGGTGATATCCCAAGGGAGTTCAACAAGCAACGGTCGAGGTCATTGGCCAAGAAACCAGACTTTTAAGCCTTACCGACGGCGCGGTGAGCTTGATGCTGACGTCGGGCGTACCCCCGTTGTTCTGGCGGGCATAGAACTCGAGCGTCCGCTTGGAGCTGAATACACCCGACCAGCCGTTGAACTGGATGCCGGCGTAGCCGCCCATGGTCACGCAGTAGGCTTGCTGTCCGTCGAAGCCCCAGCTTGAGTCGCGACCCCACCGGGAGATGCTCCAGCTGCCGCTGTCGCTCCAACCCTGCATAAAACCTGCGAAAGCCAATCGCTCGAAGTGAGCATTCAAAGGCAGGCGTTAGTTTCGTGGGGGGAAAAGGTGCAAATAATTTGCCATGCTTGTGCGCGCCAGCGGCGCGGCTTGTCACGCGACCTGCTCGGCAATCCAGAGCCGGAAACAAACTGAATTCACGAACTGAAACATAAGTTTTAGCTTACCGCCCCAGTAGGCGTTGATGACCGACGACTGCTGCCCCACCGAATTCGAGCTGCTGACGCTAACGGACGACGTCAGGGAGGAGCCACCACTGCTGCTGCTGCTACTGCTGCTGCTACTGCTGCTAGCACTGCTGCTGCTACTGCTGCTTCCGCTGTTGCCGATCACGCTCCAGCGCTTATCCTTTGAGGAGTCCCAGTTCCAAGGCGGCGACTGGTAATTTGGTACGGAAGGAATGCCACTCGGAAGCTGGGCTCGGTTCGCTGGCTGGTAGTCGCAAGGTACTCGTCGGTACTTAACTCCGATTACGCCCCATTTCATATCCGCCAGCTGCGAAGACACGTGAGGGCAGGGTCGGGACACAAACCAGGTCAAGCGGAAGCGGTAAGGTCTCAACATGCCCTGAAAGTAAACCGTAATGGTGATGGCGCGATGGCGATGGCGGGTACGAGGAACGCACGAGGTACAAAAGGAGCGCGGACCGCAAAACAAGGCTCACCTTTTGGAACGCGTAGCTCGAGATGTCGAAATGCTGCAGGCAGGAAACAAATTTGGCGTTGGTCAAACCGATCGAGCGACACAGCTGACAATGTAACACCCAGTACAAAAAATCACTTTCATCACGGTTGCAGCGGTGGCAGCGTCAACCGAGGTCAAGAAGCTACTAATCCATGTCATTACACAGCTCCGTACCTGCATGTCGCCGCAGCACCACCTTTTATTGGAGTACTGGTTTGCCGGATAGTAGCAGGGGCTGCGTGCAGGAGGGCACATGATGCGGCGGGTAGGGATAGCATGCCAAAGAATCGATGTGGGTCATCCCGTCCCATGGTTGGTCATTAAGGAAGCAGGCACACCTTCAGGCCCCATGCAGGGAAGCAGGCACGTCAGATAAGAGCATCCGTGACCCACATCGGGCATCTCTCAGTTCAGTTGAGAGTTCAGAAATTTTTAGACAGCTGCGCTCGGGTAGGCGGAATCCAGGTTAAAACTCGTATCGCCCCTTGAACACATACAGCCCCTAAAGCCAAGGCATTTACTCATATGCCTGTAAAAAACGTTTTTAAAAAGCTGGACTACGCGTACAAACCGGAATACGCGTATCCTTGTCGCTTAGTCAGAACTTAGTCATGGTGCCAACTTACCAGAGGTCTGTCACCATCAGGATGACACTTGCGGAAGAGTCATAGCATACGCTCTGTCGCTCAAGTGAATTGCCGTAGAAATCGTTGAAGTCCATTCCCTGGCATGCCACCTCGTAGCAAAGCCTGCAGATTTGTCGGAGAAGTACCTTGACGCCGGACATGGAATGTGGCAGCGTAGCTATTGCTTGATAGAAAACATGTATCGCTTTGCCACGATACATTTGCCGTGCACTTTTTAATGGCTGTGGAGACTTCAATGCAGTGGAGATAAGTGCATATTGTGATTGAATGAAATGATCTTTGCTCGTATTTTCTATGTAATTAAGCACAGAATAAAAGGATCACACAGTGCCGCACAATTTGGGTCAATCAAGGCTGAGCAGGAGTGCGCCCTGGCTGCGCGGCTACCAGCTTGCCACCAAGGCGTCAACTCACCCGCAGTTGCTTGTGGCCGCATCGTAGTCCCAGTTTTGGTCAGAAGGGGCGCAGATGTCCCAACCAGTTCCTGCGTTCGAGTTCGTGCCATTGTCATTTGGGTCAGGACTGTGTTGTAAAAGCCACGATGGTAATAAGAAAAGGAACTCACGAACATTTCCTTCCGACAGTAAGGAGAGGTGGCAAACTGGGCAGCGGAGCATCCGCCATGCATGGGGAGCTATAAAAAGCATCCGACTTCTTAAAATTGTTGAACTTTCGGCACTAAAACGTTCCTCAATTTGCTTAAATTTTTTCAAGCGTGTCCTCGCGGCAAATCGCTTACTAACGGACGACAGACGCAACGCTACCGAAACCGAGTTATCAAACTTGTTACTGAATTTCTCGCTTGGTCTTGCGGTCCATGAGCCTCCTAACTCGTCTGGGCCTGACGAGCTCTTGCGAGCTTCTGGCATAACAGAGCACAACATAACATAACATAACGTAACAGTTAACAACTTACCAACGTTCGGGTCGAGATAGCCATATGCACAGTGGCCGTTATGGATGCTCCAAGGATCACCCGGTCCTCCGTAATGGGTTGCGCGGCCTGTGTGCCACTGCCAGTCGTAGCCGGCGGATGCAGGGCTCCCGAAACCCCCGAAGAGCGCTGCGCCAAGCGCGATTGCAAGGAGCAACTCCATTATGAAGGAGATATATGGATATTTATGGACGGCCTCACAGTCAACAGGAAGCTTGTCCCGGTCGTCGTGGACGGGCTGTCCTTTTGCAGGGCGGTCTGGCAGTCACCCGCGCGACCAAAACGTCAGGTTGTCCGATAAATTAAGGAGGTCACGGACGCCTCAAGGCGCACCCCTTTGCAGCCCTAGATTTGGTTGAGGTTCTGCTCTTGCGAAACCCTTTTATGACGGAGGCAGGCGGTTTCGTAGATCGTACGGTTTCGGAACGTAGCTTTCCATGCTCGCAATTTCATGTCTTACACTGGTTTCTTGAATTGACTTCCTGCTTCTCCATAAATGGGTGGTTTTTAATGGTCATTTCTGTGAACAAAGAGTCTTTACTAGTTAAATTTTGCTTGATGTCAGCTGCACCCGCACTTGAAGGTTTTGGTGGCTTAATTTCACATTAAAACTTCTGTCCTATACCAATTGTATACATTTGCGCATCTGAATTTACCACAGTCACTGGCGTTGTTCATGGAGCAGTCCGGCCAAACCGCAAGTGCTGGTGGCAATATTAAGCCAATTAACCGACAGTCCATACATCGAATATGCTCTGGCCAGGTTATATTGGACTTAGCCACTGCAATCAAGGAGCTTGTCGAGAACGCGCTGGATGCTGGTGCCACAAACATCGAAGTGAGCTTGAGCACGGCTGCAGAATCTAGGCCTGTGAAGATGCCTTTACCAGACAATTTAGTGTGGAGACCTGGGTAAAACCCAGATCGCACGGGTGTCGCATACATTGTCCAACCCCTTGTGTCGCCGCTTGTATACCTATCATAGCGCCTGGCACAGGGCTCGGCAAACAATAGACAGGCGCGTGTATAAAGGTGGCTCTATGTCAGTTTCCATTTCCGTGACATGACGCGACGGAAGCTAAACCAAAGCGAACGAGCGTTCCTGCAACTGATGCCGTCATGCAACTGATGCTCCCTTTACGCTCCCTCTCTGCTTCCCGCCCTTCCCCCTCTCCTTCCCCCACACCGCACAACACCTGCATTATACAAATAGCCATACCTGGCCCCCATTCCCATCCAAACATAACTTCACATAACTGTCGCAAATGTCGCACACACACCCATTCACGCATACATATATACCCAGACGGACAGACAGGCATACCACGCACCAGGCCACGCGGCGTCACATAACGTCACGGATTGCTGTGGTTTGCGGTCTTCTGATTGCCATAGGTACGGCTTCGGGAGTACGGCTCCGCAATGGTTGAGGTGGCCGACAACGGGCGCGGCGTACCTCCCGCCGACTACCAGGCGCTCACCCTCAAGTATCACACCTCCAAAATCACCTCCTTTGACGACCTGACGGTGCGTGTTAGGTGGGGCTTATGCCTCCGACCTAAGCATAGCCGAGAGCTGATGTGGCGTAGCTGTCTGGGTGTGTGCCTGTGTTTTTGTTGACATGTTTTTTGTTCCTCTGTGCTGCTGCTGCTGCTAGTGATCTGATGCGTTTGCGCTGTGTGTGTGTGCGTCTTTGTGTAAATTTGAATGCACGGATGCGTGTATGTACGGATGCGGATGTTCGTGTGCGTGCTCGTCCAATCGTGCACGTGCCTCAAGTTCCCCTAGTTGGTGCGTTGTGGGAGCGATTCTGGGGCCTTGTGGTCAAGACTGGGATCCAGGCCTGGGTTGAGTCCTCATCCGCTACCTTCTCATCCAATCCATGAAACCAACTCTGCATCAGTCTCGCAACAGGGTAACAGTAGCAACCACGCCTGTTGCTGCTGTTCAAGCTGTTGTCGTTGTTGGTTCGGTTTACCAGTCAGAAGTAATTAGTCAACGGACATGTGTTTAAAAGCAAGCAAGACGTAACACAGTTCCGAAACGCGTGTGGTTGGAGGTTATGAAAGAGAAAGTTATCGAGCCGGAAATTGGAACGTAATCAAGTTTCAGCTTCTGCGAAGGTATAGGTATAGTTCATAGCTAGCTATTGAGGGAGCACTCTGTTATTTGTTCTCCCTGTGTGTGCCTTTCGTTCCACTCATACGTGCTTCGAAACCGCGCACCTTTATGCGACAGTCAGTGAACACGTACGGCTTTCGCGGGGAAGCGCTCAGCTCGCTGTGCGCAGTTTCGGAGCTGTCGGTCGTAACGCGTACGGCGGACCAGGCTGCAGGAGTACGACTCGAGTACGACCACGAGGTAAGACGAGATCCTTGCGAGGTACAATGCCAGTGAGTATGTTTTTATTCCTTTCTTCACGAAAAAATATCATTGGCGAAGTCTGTGGGAAAGCCAATCACTGGTTGTCATGCCCCCGCTTCTAACCCTTGCACTCATTCTCGTTTGCAAATTCTCGTCCCGAGCGTTCTTTCAGATATTGGACTGGTTTTAAAAGCAGGACCATCTTCACCGTCTTGATCTCTTAAAACCGATTTTCGCTCCTCCGTTGTCCGAATATGGACTTGGATCTGGATTTTTAATTTGAATCCCGCAGGGCTTGTTGACCAAGCAGTCTCCCACGCCGCGTGCTGTGGGCACCACAGTGGCGGTTAAGAATCTGTTTGCAACCATGCCTGTACGACACAAGGTTCGTTGCAGTATGGTGACGTAGTTTTACGGACGGGGGCAGCGTATGTGGGTGAAGTGCAAGGGCAGTGGGATACGATGAACGGGAGTGGGGGATGGTTTCGGAGGGACTGAACGGGACATTAGGGTTTTGAAGGCATTTGGTTGACACTGACGTGGCAGTCGGAAAGGAGCTGGAAACGAAGGGTCAAAGTCAGGGAGCGTGGTGATTGGTGATGTGGGTCACGTTTGGCGTTAGGTATTTTTTATTTTGTGGCAATTCAGCTGGGTTGTTTGGTGTAAACTGCAAGCGCGGTCCGGAATTTACGATCTGGGTCAAAATGGTGGTTTGATTCGTTGGAGTTTCAGACCTGGGTCAACGTCACCCGGCAACTCTCTGAAGGTTATTATCTCATAGCACCCATCTGGGTTAACGTGTTTTTGCCCGATCTGACTAAACCAAAACCTGACCAGTGTTGACCTGATCTGGGTGATGAAAGCCGTGGAAAGCTGCGCAATCCAAAGCTGACAGTGGGAGCTAGTTAGCTTTTTCTTACGGTGGAGTCCGACCGGCTCGAAACTAATCACATCAATCCTTGATGCGAGCGATATCTCTAACTGACAACTGTCAACTGGTGGGCACAGGAGTTCCTACGCAACCTGAAACGCGACTTTGCTCGTGCCGTGGCTGTTCTCCAAGCCTACGCCCTCATCGCCACGCACGCGCGGCTCATCGTCACGAATCAGGCGGGGAAGGCCACGGCGCGGACCACGGTCTTCACAACCACCGCGCCAGCGTCCACCTACGAAACCTATGTTACTGCTGCTGCTACTGCTGTCGCCGATGATGTCAGCGCTGGCGGTGGCAGTGGCGTGACACTGCCTGGGTGTTTGGGTGCGGTCGTGTCTTCCACCGCGGGTGCAGTTGCTGACCCACGGGTCAGAGCGGAGCTGGCGGCGTTGCGGGATAATGTTGTGGCGGTGTTTGGCGGCAAAGTTGCGGAATCCCTGGAGCCTTTGGTACTCCCGGAGGACGAGCGAACCGGGGTGCGCGTGCTTGGGTAAGTCCGGGGGGACGCCGTAGATTTGCACGACACCAGCAGATGTACGATGCGGTATGATATGCACGACGCACGAGTGAACCTGGGAGTACTGCATGTACGGCAGGGTGGACGAGAAGACTGGGGTGCGGGTGGCCCCGCCAGTATACGCATCCTGTTATGCCCATGTCTAGACATGTCGGTGTCCGTTGCTTCGACCGTTGGCTGTCCAGATTCATCTGTTGCATGCTTCCGCCCCTCTCCCTCCTCCTCTCCCTCCCTTCCCCCAGCACCCCCCCCCTCTTTGTCCATCTGCCTTTTGGTCAGTTCTACTTCTGGTACACTCTTGCCCTGGCAGCAGCTTCACTCGGTCGTGGTTCGTCTTTCCCCCCGCTTGTCCATCTTTGTCCTCATCCTTTACCCCTCGCCTGTTCGCAGCTGGGTATCGCGCGCGGGGTGCGGGCTGCGAGGGGACGCCTCCCGTCAGTTCTTCTTTCTCAATGGCAGGCCTGTGGACCTGCCCAAGGCGGCGCGGTGGGTAGAGATCGTGGGTTGGAGTGAAGGGGTTGGATTGGAGGGGTTGTGTGCGTGCTCGGTGAACCATGGGTCAATTAGCCTTGACCTGTGCGGTTTGGATTGGAAGAGGGACGAGGGGTGGGTGGCCCGTTGCTTGCAAGAGACTTTCAATTTTTGCGCGTCTTTATATCTCTCCGTAATGATAACTATTGAACCTGAAATGGGAGAAGGTTGCGCCATGGGTCGATTGAAATCAGGGTGGGTAGGGGAATAAGAAGGGGAAATGATTGCAATTGTGACGGTCCACTGTCGATCCACACCATTCGGGTCGAAAACTAGTTAACAGGACCTTCCTGGCTGCTGACCCGTGGGTCGGTCAATGGAACGTTTTTGCGTCGTCAATGGGTAGAATCCAACCTCAATGACCTCAGTAGCATGACCTAATTATTATCTACCCTGCGAATCGCAGCATCCTCAACGACTCGTTCAAGTCGCTGTCATCGCCCGCGCACGCCGCTGCGTGTCGTCCCATGGCGGTTGTGGCGGTTAACCTGGCGGCATCTGACGTGGACGTGAACGTAACGCCCGACAAGCGGCGCGTCTTCATGGCGGCGGAAGACAGGTTGTGCTCACTGCTGCAACAGGTGATTGGGAGGATAGTGGTGGCGGCGGCGGCGCGGCCGGGGTGAGAGACGAAACGTCAAGGGCATGGTGTTCCGGAAGCACATTTCCCCTTTCCGCGATTTGGGTCAGGTCATGATGCTGAGGAACTTTCCTTCTTCCTTGGAAACGGAACCTGACTCCGAAACCAAAGCCGGCGCATATCCTGGATTGAAATCCCTTTTGGCGGGTGACGCTTGATGATCCTGGCATGTGATCTGGCTCGGCTTTCGTTTCCCTGATCTGGGTCGTGACCTTTTGGTGTTTTATTTCTCTTCTCCCTTGATCTGGGTTCCGTTGGTTTACCAATGCGGTTTGATCTGTCTCGTCCAATCCGATTTGAATTATTCGGTTTTCTGATCTGGGTCAGGTTCATGTCATGATCTGGATTGTTCAGTTTTACTTTCCCCATCTGGTTCGGCTCGGATCACCCAGGCCCTCCAAGCCCTGTGGGAGCCCTCCAGGTGCACATTTGCCGTCAACCAGCCGCTGCCGGCAGGGCCGGGTGCCGGCGGCAGCGGCGGCGGCAGCAGCATGCTGGTGGCGGCGACGGCAGCGGGTGCGCCCCTTCGCGGTGCTGTACGGCTACAGCAGCAGCAGCGGCAGCTATATCCTCAAGTTCGACGCAGCTCTGGGTCTGCTGCCGCTGCCGCAGGCGGCGACGGTGAGCTACAGCCCGATTTGGCGTCACAACCGCTAAATGCCGAAGAAGGTACTGTAGCTCCCGCCGATGCGGGTGCAACCGGTTTGGCTGTAGCAGCGGAGGTGGAGGCTGATGAGGCTGTAGCTGGTCACAAACGCGCTGCGAAGAGAGCGAGGCTGACGACAAGGCACGGAGACGCCACTGGCGCCGACGCAGGTGGCGGTGACATGGCCCGGTCTCCGTATCACACGCCGCTACAGCCGCCATCACAGCCGTCGCCGTCCACAGTGGTAGAGCCGCCACCTTCAGCGCCATTTCGTCACCCTTTCCTATCCATGTTCTCGGGGTTTGCGGCGACGGCGGCGGCGGGCAGGGGCGGGGCCAGGGACAGCGGAACGGCAGAAATCGTACGGGTGACGGAGACGGCAGCGGACACGGCAGCGGAGACGGCAGCGGAGGATGAGGAGGAATGTGGCAGAGGCGGGCCTGCTGAGGCCGCGGCGGCGACGGCGGGGTTGCGATCGGCGTCGATGGGTGAGGAAGCGACGGACGTGGCTGTACCACACGTGATGGAAGTGGAGGCGGCCGAGGATGAGCAGCAACAGCAACAGCAACAGCAGCAGCGGGAGCGGCGGCGGAGGCATCGAAGACATGCTGGCGGCGGTGACGTCAGCGGCGGTGGAGCGGTTTGCGAGGTGGTCTCGGAGCCCGTGGAGGAGCGGGCGGGTCCGGCGGCAGGTGCCGACCTGGGTTGGAGTGGAATGGACGTCGATCGTACGGAAGAAGCTGTGGCGGAGGTGCGAGGCGGAGGAGAACGAGCCGCCATTGTGCACGCTGTCGGCGGCAGTGGTGTGCTGTCCAGCGGAGCGGTAGCAGCAGCAGTAGCAGACGACGGATCCAGCGGGTCTGGAGAGGAAGACCTGGCGCAAGCGATTAGCACGGCGGCAGGGCCATCCGCTGCGACGTCGAAGCAGCCCATGGCGGTACGGCAGGTGGCAGTGCCGGCGCCAGCGCCGGCGGCGGTTTTGGGGTTGGGGCCTGGGCAGTTGGCGGCGCTGACGGAGGCGAGAGTACGGCACTTGCAGGCGCAGCAGGAGCGGCTACTGCTGCGGAAACGTCAGCGGGATTTGCAGCAGCAGGAAGGCGGAGTCGAGGAACGCAGGTTTAACAGTGCATCGCTACTGGAGGTGAGGGTGGCATGGGCGTGGGGTGGGGATGTCGTACATGCACGTGTCCTGCCGTGGATGACAATTTGGAATGAATTTTACATGCCCTACTTGTCCGTCCTCTTCATTTTCCTCCTCCTACATCCCCATGCGCATCCGTCTCCTTTTCCGCCTCCCCCGACTCCATCCCTTAACCGTCGTACCTCATCTGTTATGATATGATACGGATCTGAATTGTTTGGATTGGATCTGGTTGATGCTGCAGGACGCCGCTGCTGGCGGAGGCATCGCCGGCGCAGGTGAGCTGTACGGCAGCGGCGGCGGCGGCACTCGAGCGGAGCGGGAGGCCGCAGCGGAGTTGGAGTTGGAACGTGTGTTTCGGAAGCACCAGTTCCGAGAGATGAAGGTGCGTGTGTGGGAGTCGTACGAGCTGGAGGGGAGGGAAGAGGGGAGTGATGACGGCTTTTTTTTGGGGGGGGGTAAACGGCTGGGAGAAGAGGGAACAGATGACGGGAGAGGAGGCGAGGTCGAGGGAGAGGAAAGGGGTTGTCGATCGGCGAGATGCTGTTGTGTCGGATGGAACAGGAGAGGAGAGGAGAGGAGAGGAGGGGGGCCCCCCATTCCGGTTTTAAGGACATGAACACAAACAGGAGTGCCCTCGCGCTGGCGTTGCCATTCACACCATGGGCGTTGCGGTTCACGAGGCTGCCAGATGGGGGGGCAGGATGGAAGAGATCCTCGAATAGTACACGGGCATGGAGAACGGAGAGAAGGGGAGTCTGGTTGGAAAAAGGGGGGGTGAGGGGAGAGGTGCCTTGAGACGGCTGCTTTTTCGGGAAGCATGGAGCAATTGTTATCTTAGGAATTGGCAGGTCTCAGCCCGCTGTCCCACACCGGGTGGCACATTTCCGTGCATACACGCGCACATACGCACATACACCCGCACACGCGTACACACACACACATACACACACATCACTTCATAAGAAACCCACGAAATGCGGCGTCTTTGGCCCTGTAAACTCTGCAATCCCCTTCCCCCAATTGCCAAAACCCCACAAACCCGCTATTCCCCCGCTATTCCCCCGCTAATTCCCCGCTAATCCCCCGCTAATCCCCAGACTAGATAATCCATTATTAATATAGGAATCCTTCCCCCCGCTATCCCCCCCCCGCTATTCCCCCCCGCTATTCCCCCACCTCTCCCCGGCAGGTTCTGGGTCAGTTTAACTTGGGGTTTATCCTGGCGCGTCATGGGCCCGATGTGTTCATAGTGGACCAGCACGCCGCGGCGGAGAAGACCACCTTTGAGCGGTTGCAGCGGTCCGTGGTGCTGACTCGGCAGCCGCTGCTGGTGCCCATGGCGCTGCCAGCCGGGGTGCTGCTGCCCGTCGACCAACTGATCATCAGGTGTGCGGTGGAGTTGAAGGGAAAAGTGGAGAGGAGGAAGGACGAAGGAGAAGAGGCGCTGCGTTTGCTATTTCTTTTTCCAAAAATGATAACGCTGCATTAATATCTTCTTTTTATATCCGTTGTAGTTTTCTTGTTGCGGCCTTGCACATTTTTTTTCGTCCAGAAATTATACACAGTATTCATCGTTGCGTGGTGGTTGGTTGACAGTTGTTTGGATCCGCATCCGGACTCTCAAAACCACCTCCATCTCCACCTGGCCCCGTCTTCCTCCTTTTGACCTCTCAGAGAACACATCGACGTGTTTCGTCGCAACGGCTTCGACTTCGTGGAGCGACTTCCCGACGGGCGGCTGGTGCCCCTTCCTGGGGGAGTTAAGGGGGCGAGGGGAGCCGGGAGAAGGGACGGGGCGGGGGGGACGGGGAGCCAGAAGCGGGTCCCGGAAGATTCCCAGGGGGAGGCCTCGGGGCAGCTACAGCCTCAGGCGGTAGAGGTGGAAGTTGACGGGCCAGGGGTTTCACGGGCTGCAGCGAATGGCTTGGAAGGGGTTGAGGAAAGGGGAGATAGGGGTTTGGGTTTCGGAGCGGGCGCGGCGACAGCTGCAGCTTCAGGGCTCCTGCAGGGTGCTGCGGGGGAGGGAGAGGGCTGGGCCGAGGACGTGTACGGCACCGGTTACAGAGGTGATGATAACGCGTCGTACGACTTGGGGGAAATGTACGACGGAAGGGAGGGTTGTGGTGGGGAGTTGTTGTTGTCTTCGGTTCCGGTTAGTCGTGCGACTGGGCAGTTGGGGATGGAGGATGTGGTGGAGCTCGTTGGTATGCTGCGGTCGGGGGAGGGTGCAGGTGGGTTGGGATCAATGGCTGGAGGAGGAGGAGGAGGAGGAGGGCCGAGGGATGCTGCGACGGGTGCTGCTGGCGCGACTCCGGCTTTGCGGCATAAGGCCTGGGAGGAGGAGCTGCGACCTTCCAAGTACGTGTTTGTGTCCGTTTATGCGGGTGTATTGAGGGGGGGAAGAGGCGGGTGAATGGGGTGAGGGATAATTGATGGAGGGTGGAGAAGAGACCGTTTTTCCACCCCTGCTCTGTCCTGTCCACCCCTGTTCCTGAGCTCTCCTAAACCTGCTCTTTTCCCCTCTTTTCCCTTCTTATCCGTTTGCCCGCCCGTGTAGTCTGCCGTGTGTGAATGCCTCCCCACCTCAATTCCACTGCCCCCCAATTGCTACGAAACCTGATAAGGGGTGACGAGCTCCGAGACCACAGAAATCCTTTAAAATTCCACTTTTCCATGCGAGTTGTAAAGCATCTTTACATTACAGTAAATTCTGTTGGTCTACATTCTTCTGAGGACACCGTGTGCGGTTTTGTTCCCTGCCTCGTTCTAGGTTGGTTGCAGTTTTTCCATCCTTCAGCACACCTCTCCCCTTTTGCTTCTCCGCTTTTCCCCCTTTTCCCCCTTTCACCCTTCCATACATAATTACACACATACACGCACTTGTGAACCGCCAGGATTCGTGCTATGCTGGCCTCCCGCGCCTGCCGCTCCTCTGTGATGGTGGGTCGGCCGCTGAATCGCGGGGAGATGCGGAGACTTCTGGATGGGCTGGCGGATCTGCGGCAGCCGTGGAACTGCCCACACGGCCGACCCACCATGCGGCACGTGTGTGTTTTGCCGTACCAACCGGGACTACCGCCTGCCTGAGGTTCAGGATATGATATGACCCCGGGTATGATTTCACGCGGTCGTGGTATCACGCATATATACGTACGCACGTACATTCTCAAGCGCGGCCGTTGTCGCCTTTTGTCGCAGAACGACTGTGTGTCCATAGTTGTGAGCCCGCGGTTGAACAGTAAAGCAGTTGCACGTCGCAAATTGGTGTGACGTGTCACACAGTTGTGACGGACGGTTAGTTGCGGTTGCAATTGCGGTTAGCTGTTGCGGGGGTACCTATGTGTTTCCTGTACCTCTCTTCTCTTTTGTGGACAGTGCACTCGTACACGTAGTCGTATGGTGAGTTGTGTGGGATTATGTGGGATGTATTGGTGGGTAAAGTCGCGCGTTACATCGTGTTAGTATTTTATGTACGGCAGGTGTCTAGAGCCCCGGTTAATAACAATCCGATGCATTATGGCAGGAGGCTTGATTAAGGGAAGGGTAGGGCGATTCAGTAGAAGTTACGACCGATCCATGCTGACATTTTGGCAGGTTCTGTGAAAAGCGTGTTGGAAAGCGCCTTGCAGCAGAGATGGTAGCGCAGCCATCGGCACACATGGCGCTCAAGGGACCTAGCTGTAATATAAACGTTGGGCCGAGAAGGTCGGAAAGCCATGCAGGTCCTGCAAGACCCGTACTTCAGACGGTCCGAAACTGCAGGTCCAGCTCGACAGGTGGGACGTCGATGCCTCAATCTCCGCCTCTACACCCTCTACACCCATCAGGTTGGCCTCAAGCTCGGCCAGTTTTTTCGGCATTGCACCCTTGACAGAGTAGTACGGTGCAATGTACCGCTTGTACTCTGGCCTTCGACCTTTGAACGCGACAGGCACGGTGTTGGCATCGGCCACGGCTTGCCCGCTTTCCTTTAGCTCGCAACATACATCTTTTAACGCCTTGAAGGCGTGCCTGGTTTCTGCTTGCAGTCTTGAAAGGCTCCCCGTAGTGTTTGTGCATGTACGTCCGCGTAGCCCCTGTTATACATGTCTCGAGGGCCTTGAGCAGCTGCATGACGTCTGAATGTTCCTGGTAGAGATCCAGGTCGTCGTCGGAAAGCAGCTCGATCAGAATTGCCCTGGCACCTTCGTGTGTTGCAGCATTCACGGCTGTACGCAGCTTAATCAGTGCCGCTCAGAACTTGGCCTTGCTCACAGCTGCTAGTGCCCGAATAAACCACGTAAGCCTGTTCTTTGGGGGACTTTCGAGTGTTTGGTTGCGTGGTGTATGACCGTGTGCCAGACACAGAGTGAAGGAAGCTGAAGCCAGTTAGCAAGGAGGGCGTATTCGTGGGCCACGAACCCTAATCTAAGGCGTGGCATGTGCTGCTGCTGGATGGCCGGTTAATGGTGAGCCGGGATGTGATTCTCGATGAGCAGGTGTTTGGTCTGCAGAGTCACGTTGGGACCCAGCAGTACACATCAAGGTAAATGAGGGTGACGAGCTACCTAGTAAAGGAAAGGGCGGCAGGGGGGGAGAATCTCAAGGAGGGGTGCTTCTTTGTCTGGCATGAGTGGTATAGTGGGGGAGGGAGCCAGGGGGGGTCTGGTGCCGTGGGAGCAAATGATAGCTCCGGCACTGACTCACCCGCTGTAGGGAAGGAGAGTGACAGTGGTCCAAACGACCCGCACCACGACTTCGTGTGTCAGCACGGTCGAATAAGGGTGTTCCACCCGATAGACTCACTCTTGCGGCGGTCGCAGAAGTCCCTACCTCCCTTGAGGAAGCAATGCGGTCACCTTCAGCTTTAATGTGGAAGCAGGCGATGGACAAGGAAATGCCGTCGCTGTGGGCCAATCGTGTTTGGACAGTTGCAGTACCTCCAAAAGACGTTCATGCATTACCCATGAAGTGGGTGTACTCGCTAAAGAGTGATGCGTTTGGCGGCCAAGGGTTTTGCACAGGTTGAAGGCCGGGGCTGTGAAGAGAATTGGGATTCAGTCAGCAAGCACACTACTCTTCAGGCTTTGCTTTCTGTTGCTGCGACTCACGACCTAGGACTGCACCAGATGGATGTGAAGACCGCAATTTGGAATGGTGTGTTCTGGACCGTGTGAGTATTTGTGCGTTTCGTATCCAAGCCTACAGTTGAGCACTGGCAAGCTGCAAAGGGTGTTGTGCGCTATTTGGCAGGTACAACAGGGTACAACTGGTTTAGGCATTTTGTATTTCGGAAAGTCTGGTGCAGGAGGCCTCCATGGTTACTGCGGTTCGGACTATGCCAGCTGTGTGGATACAAGGCGGTCTACAACCGGCTATGTTGAAGTACGGCCTGTCTGCCATGCTTGTTGGATTTAGAGGGTAGGACACACTGTCGGGCAGAGCAATTCTTTTGACTGCCCCGGTCGCACAATTCCCGTGCTTCCCTAATTCGACACCCTGAACACGCTAATTCTGACTGTCCGAATGTCCCTGCCAGGCCAATTCGACACCCTGTCAGCCTAATTCTGACTGTCGGAATCTCCCGCCAGGCTAATTCGTATCCCTGTCAGGCTAATTCTGACTGTCGGAATGTCCCTGCCAGGCCAATTCATATCCCTGTCAGGCCAATTCAAGGGCCTGTCCCGGCAATTCAACTTGTCCCAGGTGCCAATTTAAACCCTTCTACCGAGCAATTTAGACCAATTGCAGGGTCTGTCCCCAAACTCTCAGGCACGCATTCAGAATCGCGGGAGTTGAAGGAACTTTACGAAACAAGGGGAGCACTTACAAATATATGGGACAGGAAGAGGCAGGAGCCCCACACGCCTTGTTACCGTACTCCGTACTCATTCACCCATACATTCATTGTGTGTGTATGTGTGAAAATTTACCATCACCCGAACCGACCAGAACCAAAGGTGTGTCTGCAAGGCAAGTCGCTCACAATTTTAACACCCGGTCTATTCATTCATTCATTCCTTCGATCAGACAAGCAGACATATCCACACGCCTCGTCTTGAACTGTGCTTCAGTCCCGCTAAGGGCCCCCGGCACTCGACCAGACTACATGTGTTCAAAAAGATACCACCACCCGAACCGAACCAAACCAGGGGCATGTTAACCACACCTTTCATTCGTCCATTTATTCATACATCCAATCATTCACGCAGACAAAGAAATGTAAGCACACACGCCTGCCCTGCAGTAGTGTGGCCCGGCACAATGTAGCTGTAGTAGCTGGTACACAGTATGGCTCTATAAATACACGCATAGCACGACCACCAGCATCTCGAGAGGCCTTTTCAGCGGCCAGCTACTACATTTGGTATCGAGCCGTACTGTGTACCAGCTACTACAGTAGCACCCCTAGGAACCAAAAGCATTCGAAAGGAGGCGTTTTTATACTGAATGAAAGGCTTTACTTTGGATTTTGGCGCCACAGATGATCTTCCGTACTTGTCCGACCGCCTTCTGTATTGGTATAAGACACGATGGATCTTCTGTTCTCTTTGGTCTGGAATGCTTGTTATATAGTGAGTTTATGACTGAGCAAAGCTGCTGGGTGCACTTGTAAGGCTCTGGCAATCAGCGGCGCTTCCGATCCGTATTGCAAGTCGGCGGACATGGTAGCGGATTGCCTCACGAAACCACTGCCACTCCCGCAGTTCAAGAAGTGCTGTAGCACTATGGGTGTGAATTGATGGGTTGGTATATGTAGTTTTAGGGAGATCTGCCCGCATGGGAGTGTTGTGAAGTAGTGTGCAGTTTCAGTTAAGTCCAGGCAGTCCTCTTACGAACTGGCTTTTAGAACAAGCTGTACAATCTGGACGACTTGTCCGTTTATGTCTCCTTAACGCGCCAACTGAGAGCTGAGTTAATTATCCGCCTAATTACGTGTAACAAATCGTGCTTAGGTTGCTTCGCTGAATGTGCATTACACAACGGCACCAGGATTTCTACCAAAACGCTTTTAAAATTTGCATTCCACCCAATGGATCTTGATTCCACTCAATGGATCTTGCGGATTAGCCAGGTGGCGCTGGACTTGTTTTTATTGTTCAGCGCGCGCTGAACAACAAAAACAAGGTAACGAGCTTAACTCACGCCCGCCATTTATACGGTCCTGAGAGCACGGGTTGCGGCGAAGCAACCGCAGAAGGGCCTTACGCCAACTAACCCGGCTTCCGCGACGCAAGCTCGCCTTATTGCGAAGGGACTGCCACGGTGCGTGGATCGAGAAGTTGAAGCTTATCCACTTCTTTATCAGTTGCAACAAGTAAGCTGTAACATGACCGATCAAACAACAGCTGTGCCGCGGCAGTGGACGCGAGAGGTATCGTGTTCAGATGTCTTCCTATCCCTCTCAATGTGAGTAATCTTTCCTCCTATGAATATCCATTGTCAATTGTCACTTAAACGTGAGAGATTTCATTTATCAACTAATTCCTCGCAGTTCCTTCCCCGCATTGACCGCTGAGGCGGCGGCATCGACAATGACCGAGCAGCTGTTTAAAGATATCCTCACACAGGCCTTAACCGACCTTTACGGTATCGTGGGAGGTGCTGTTCCTTTCACCCTGCTCCAGCTGGCAGGCTGCTCGGCTATGGTGCGCGTCGACAAACGGTTAGCTTATGATTTCCCCTTCCCTGCTCACTCTGGACCAGAGGACATAAGCTACCCCCTCCCCACAATTCTGCATCTCTTTTCTTTTACAAAATCAACAACTTAGGGACGCTGACAAGGTTTGGGCTGCTGCGGCCTTTGCTAACAACTACGGCTCGCACGACATCAGGATGCTCGTACACCGCTCCTCTCCGTTTTTAGTTTCCATGGCGATTGACAGCCGGGAATGGGCGGTTTCTAAAGTCGCGGCAGCGTTGGTGTGAGGGCAACGAGTGAACGACCTCGGCGCGGCACGGGGCGGCGCATGAGAAAAGGCCGTCGGCCCCTAGGCATCCCTGTGCCGTGCCGCCGCGCCCTGCCTGGCCATCTGCCCGGACCAGCTGGCAGAGAGGTCGTCGCACTGAGGTGGGGCCGATGGCGGCTGTTAAAAGAAGCGATTGGACAGACTCACAGACAGACTCTCATAGCAGCAACGAACGACCTGTAAGGGGTTTCCTGAAGCACCACCAAACGCAGCAGGACAACATTATAGGGTAAGGGGGGTTAACGACGACGCACAGACAATTGACGAGGTCTGGGGGGGGGGCATTTCTGACGTGGAATCCACCTTTGACCAGTCCGTCCGACAACAACACCTCAGCCGCACCGACGACTTTCCTCCTTTTGGGAAAGCCTTCCCTGTGGCGAAACCATCTGTGTGTTGTGTGTGTGTTTGTCTGTATGTGTGTTGGCTGCTCTAGGCCTTTCTTTTGGATCTCCGCAGGTTAGTTGGCTGGTAGTTAGTTACATGCAAGGTGTATGATTACCTGCCAGGACCCTGTGTGTCTGTGTGTGTTTACATGCCGTACTCCTGGGGAGCTCCGTACTCCTGGGGAACTAGGGGAGGATCACCTACACCCTTGGGGAGCAAAATATTCAGCACACACACACACGCACACGCACACACGCGCATTGTTAACTTGTCTACCTACATGTTACGGCATCACGTCACGCTACATCACGTTACTCACCCTGCCACATTGCCTGTTTTTGTGGCCTTGGGCGCCGTACACATATGCAGGACACCGTACACACGACACGTGACGTGGCGACCTTCCCCCTCTTCTTACACTACCTGTGACAGGTCCACCCTGCTCAGGACTCCCCGGCTGCCCCGCCTGCAGACTTATGCAATGGGTGGAGTGGGGACTCCATCCCGCACGCATGCAAATGGATCCCGTTACAGGGGCATGCCGTACATACCGCCGTGCAATCCCAACAGCAAAGTTTTTCTCGGGCCGTAATAAGACCCCCTCTTGGTGGGCGACAGACATCACAAGCTCCCCCTTCAAACGGGAGGAGAGACGTCTGGTCGCGTGGCTTTCTTAAAGTGGCTTTGCAGCTTTGCTGTTTGTTTTTTTCCGAAGCGCCCATTGAAGAGCGTGATGAGGTGTAGGATGATGGGGTTCACAGCGGGTGACTGAGTTTCGTGGCAGGCCAGGCTGGCTATGTAGAATTGCGAGGACCAGGAAGGCTGGATACAGGATTGCCTGTGTAGGGGATGCGCGGGAGAGATAAATGGTGTTGTAAAGCCTGCTCGGTATGGCGAGGGTGCGCGGTGTAAGAGACCGCACGTTTTTCGCGCTTCGGATGCTGACATGCACCGTCATGCACGGGAGAGGCTGTGGCAGTCGTCCGGCCTGTTTTCCTACCCTCCAGGCGTACTTTACGATTATCCTGGTATCATATTGACGTCTGGAACGTTTACAGGAACCCATTTTCCTGCCACAAAAGCGTTCATCTGGGTCCAATAACTAACGGAATGATCTTGCCACGTGTGCCCAAGGATTCTCTGGGCCAAACCTCAGGCCATGCTCTGCTTGTGATTTCCGTCGGCTTTTATAATAGCTTAGTATAGTTAATCGGCTACCAAATTATCAAGGGCTTGGCACACAAGGGTTTATCTTTTCAACTCACAAGTCGCTAGTTCCCGCATAGCAAAGCTGCTTGGCGCCTGCAAAGAAACATGGCGCTCTTAAGTACGCTGCCTTTCTTAACGGCAGCAGTCTTGGTTGCGTGCACGGTGCTCGCCAGCGGAGATTCTGGGGCTTTGCACCGGGTGCAATTGAAGAAGAAGCAGCTCTCCCTGGCGACATACGGACGGCCGAGGCCCTATCTTAACAATATGCTTGGATACGGTGGTGATGTGCCACTGCATAACTTCATGGACGCGCAAGTAGGTTTCGCTTGTTCCGGCACTTGGTACAGTTCAATAACCAAGCGCTGATTTCGAACTACCGCCACGATGCTGCAGTACTATGGAGAGGTTTCTCTAGGAACACCTCAGCAATATTTCCAGGTCATCTTCGACACGGGTAGTTCCAATTTGTGGGTCCCGTCGTCGAAATGCTCTTTTTTCAACATAGCATGCCGACTGCACAGGAGATACTACGCGGCGAGGTCAAAGACCTACAAGGTCGGTGATGTCAATTAGAAAGCCGCTGGTTTCTGGAAAGTAGGGGTTGGTTGTAAAAGGTAGTGTTGGCGTTACGCGAAGGACCTGTCGCTTCGTGAAAAGGTGCCAAACACCGCTTCCAAACGGATTGAAGCAAGATTGTGAGTCCGCTGGTGTTCTCACCAGCACAGACTGTGCTCACGTGTCGGCGCTTTGCGGTCATGGTCTCCGCCGTAGTCCTGGGTATGCCGCTGTCCCCTTGGCCAGAAAGTCGGTCACACGTTCAACCCGGTAACAATATACCTTCCCCACCTCGTTTCGGAATTTACCCACATTCCTTGGTTTCTCATCTCTGCTCTAACCGCACACGGACGGCCATGTACAACGTGCCGTATCCAACTTTGGACTCGGCTATACAGGCAAACGGTACGGCGTTTTCCATCCAGTACGGCAGCGGCTCTCTGGACGGGTTCATCAGTGAGGACATTCTAGGCTGGGGCGGTCTGGCGGTTCCGGAGCAGGGCTTCGCGGAGGCGGTCAACGAACCGGGCCTTACGTTTGTGGCCGCCAAGTTCGACGGCATCCTGGTGGGTGACATCCGTTCCTGTTAACCGTTTCAGCCCATACCCACGTGTAACCTGTGATGACAGACAGACATAAATGTATACATACATGTCTTACATATGGGTACATGTACATGTGCAGATGCGCTCGCAGGGTCGTGTTTTAGCATACACAGCTCCTGTGCGCGCGGACTGCCCACGACCTGTATCCAGGAGCACCCATTCTCGTCGTCGTCGTTTGCTCACCCACCCAACCCGCCCCGCCTACCAACTTCCGTTCTAATTTTACCAACAGGGCATGGGCTTCCCGGCCATCTCCGTGTCCGGTGTGGTTCCCCCCTTCACCCGCCTGGTGGACAGCGGGTTGCTGTCGGAGCCCGTGTTCTCGTTCTGGCTGAATAGGGACTCTTCCGCGGCGGTGGGGGGTGAGCTGGTGCTGGGGGGAGTGGACCCGGCGCACTTCACGGGGGAACACACCTGGTAGGTCGTGTGTATGTATGTATGTATGTATGTATGTATGTATGTATGTATGTATGTATGTATGTATGTATGTATGTGTGTTTGTGTGTTTGTGTGTTTGTGTGTTTGTGTGGTTGTGCGAGTTGAGGGCAGCCGATGGGGTGATGGAATGGGGGGCTGGGAGGTTAAATGGGTTAGTGGGGGTGAGGTGAAGGTTGGGTGGGGCTTACCCAGGTGAGGTTTGCGGGGGGTGGGTGGGTATTGGTGGTGCAAAGCAGGGATGGTCGGGTTGGTCGGGTCGGGTGGCTGGGTAGATGTCGTCTAGGTGTGTGGTCGGCTGCGGCGGGTTCATAAAGGCTGTGCGGATATGTGCATGTGTATACGGTGGAGAGGGGGAGGGGGAGAGAGGGGAAAGTAAGGGAGTTTTTTTATTCGTCATGGTCAGTAATAAGTCATGCTTGAAGATGACAGCCCTGGGTGCAGTCCACGGCTAAGGGTATAAGTGGTAGCTGGAGGGAAGGGGGGTGGCTGTGGAGCAGACCGCTCTCCTGATGTTAGCGGTCCCACGACACATAAAGTGTCTGCTTTTGTCACTGTCACTGCCAGTGCTCTCCCCTCTCCCCTCTCCCCCTCCCCAACGCATCATGCATCTCAGGTTTGTGTTTTTCCCCCTTCCCCCTTCCCCCTCCCCTTTCACCCCACCCCCACCCCGTTTTTGAAGTTCGGCAGTTGATTACTTGCATCTTTTGCCTCCTATACCCATACTTTCCCCCCTCCCGTCTCCCCCTTTTGAAACCCGTTAACCCCCTTCCCTCGCCACCTTCCATCGGCAGCTGTTCCTTTGGGTTTTTTTTGACCCACCTAATCCCCCCCCCACCCTTTCTTGCTTGCTTGATCCTTTTCCCGCACGTGGTTCCGCCTTTTCCCCCCTTCGTGGTTCGTCTTTCCCCCTTTTGGTTTCGTTGCATAAGATTTCTCCCCTCCCCCGTTGGTGCCTCATTCCTGCCTAGGGTGGATGTTACTCGACGGGGCTACTGGCAGTTCAACCTGGACGGCATCCATCTGGGTTCGCAGCGCCTCTGCACCCAGGTAAAAAAATAGGGCCGACAATGGGAAGGGGGTTTCACTAAATATATTTTATATACAAATGTATATGAGTTTTTATTGATAAGTGTAAAATATAAAAAATGTATTAGTGATGCCCGAGGCCCCAAAGCAATTGCCGACTTGCAAAGCGCTGATTGCAGGTGTTAGGAAGGATGGGGGCAGTGTGAGGAAGGGAGGGAGGGAGGACAGCGAATTGGAAAGCATCATGGTGTGGGGATGCCGGATGCCATGTCGCCAGGAAGGATCAGGAAGGCTTTTGGTGGGGCCTCCCTGGAAAGTTGAAATCTGTTCGGTGCCCTAAAAAATATTTGACGTTTTAATAACTCCATTACATGATCTTATGATCCTTTTCGTCGCCCTTGTCCCATCCTCCTGCTGCTGCCGCTCCCCCCACCATTTGTATTTGAATTTGAATTTGAATTAGGGCTGCCCCGCCATCGCCGACACGGGCACCTCCCTCATCGCCGGCCCCGTGGATGAGGTGGCCGCCATTAACCACGCCATCGGTGCCACGTCAGCTTTATCGGCACAGTGCCGTACACTTGTACGGGAGTACCTTCCAGAAATTGTGGCGGCGTTGCACAATCTGCCCTTAGACCAGGTGGGAGACAAGACAGGCGATAACTGTCTGAGTGCTTCCCAGCCTGGCCGCCTAAGTCATTTTGCCTAATCCTAGGCGTATAGCCTAGACCTGCTCCCCGACTGCACATACTATTTCCTAAACTCCCAATCCGCCAACTGCCGAACATTCTCATAACGTAGAGAACTTGCTGTACAGTATGCAATCTCCTGTTATCGTCCGAGCAACCAACTAACGAACCAACGGACCAACCAAACAACCCTGGTCTTTCCCCGCTCCTCCTCTGTCCTGTCTGTTCATATGTATGTCAGGTGTGTGCCAGCATCGGCCTCTGCCCGGCGGTCCACCATCAGAGCGCGGAAGAGCCGAAACAGCAGCAGCAGCAGGAACAGAGGCAGGATCTGGATCTGGATTTGGAACAAGAGCTCCCCCGCACCAGGCGCCTCCTTACCACCATGACGGCCTCTTCACGCCATACCATCCGACCAGCTCAAACCACCACCACTGACAGCAGCAGCAGCAGCGACGGCGCCAGCTCTGCGGGGGCGCGCCTGGCCAAGGTACTCAGCACCGCTGCCGCCGGTACGACAGGCGCCTCGACCCCCGCCGGTACGACAGGCGACAGCGTGGCTTGCAGCTTCTGCCAGACGGCAGTGCAGTACATTCGGATTGCGCTCGAGTCCAACGCGACCATTGAGCAGATCGCGGATGCGGTGGGAAATTTGTGTGATCAGGTAGGGTGGCTATGTGCGTGTGATGTGCGCGGGGTTGCGTTGTGCGGGTCTTATCAAATCGTGCTACGTGCTTCTCAACCGGAGCGCTTGGTTTGTTGCTTGTAGCGGGTTTTATTGCGGCGAGTATGGTGCGAAGAGGGCTGGCGTGCTGGTGAGTGCAGAGGGTATGTTTGGCCTGACGTGTATTAATTCGGAAACTCATGTAGGGAGGAATTAGGGAGTCTAGTTACAGTGAATAGGACCGTTTCCCCGTTACTGCCCTCAAACCTCATTCATCCAGTAAGTCGAGAAAGGTCCAAGGTCCAAAGAAATATAGCGAGTATGGCGAGCCTCGCCCCCTTTCCCGCCGCCTCTACACCTACCTTTACTTCTTTACGGCTTGACTTTACTGCTTTCCTTCCGCACTTATTTTAGCCTTGGCGGCTAGGTAGGTAGTTTTCTGACATCATCTTTACCACATCATCCCGAGGTCGCCGCCTTCAAGAACGCCTTTTGGTCAGTTCTACTTCTGGTACACGCTTGCCCTGGCAGCAGCTTCACACGTTCGTGGTTCGTCTTTCCCCCCTTTTACCGCTGCCCGGACAGTCCCTTCAACCACCAGACTTCACTTCCCTACCTACCCAGGCAGCTGTTATCAGCAGCGGCTCTGCTATGGAAGGGATTATCCTTCCATAGTGTGTGTCTCTTGAACCGCAGCGCGATAGGCTAAGCAAATGAGAACTGGCATGCAGCACGTTTCCGGAATCCCGAACTGCTGAGGCCCCCCAACCCTGCAGGTCTCGTTCGGCGGTCCCTCCGTTGTGGATTGCACCAAGCTATCCAAACTACCCATCTTGGAGCTGGAAGTCGGCGGCCGCACCTTCCCGCTGCGTCCTGAGCAGTATGTGCTGCGCGTGGATGCGGGTGGCGGCGAGGAGCAGTGCGTGAGCGGCTTCATGGGGCTGGACGTGCCGGTGGGGCCGTTGTGGATCCTGGGAGATATCTTCCTGGGTGCCTACCATACAGTTTTCGACTACGGAGGGTCGCGTCTGGGCTTTGCGGTGGCCGCCTAAGTGGCCGTGCCTCTGCGAAGCAAACGGTTTGTATGATGAAAGGCGTGGGGGTTGGGATTGAAACGGGATGGGAAGGGGGAAGCGCTGACGGGAAAAGAAAGAATGGGAAGGGCATGAAGGTTCTTCGCTTTCCGATGTTTTGCCGTTAGGTCTTAGAATGGGAATCGGGTCAGCGGAAGGCAGGCTAGCGGAGGAAAAAAATAGAATATAATATAAGATAGGGATTGGAAGGTCGATTAACGGAGGAGCGCTGGGGTGAAAGGGGCACAAGCGGGAGCGGGCCGGGCGTGGGGGAAGTGTGGGAAGGATTTCTGGGGTTAATGAGTTGCGGCTCAAGAATGTGGCGCGGAGGGTGGAGGAGTAAAAGGTGGATGGGCGTCAGGAATCCATTTTTGTCGTGGGCTATGATAAAGTTAAGGGGGTAGAGTGAGTGTTGAAAGTAAGGCCGCTAGTTGTGTGTTGTATGGACTCGGGCGGTTTCGACCGGCATTTACGTTCCCCTGTGGGTGGACGGGCAGATATTGATGTTAACTATAAAGTTATTTCCCTTTCCGTATCTTCATGTAATTACATGTGCATGCCGTACACTCGGTACGTGGTAGTATGATGTGATTGAATGTAGTGTAGGGGAAGAGAATGCAGCATTGTTGTGGCAATTTTGGTCACTGTTCTCACGATGGTTTTCTTTTCTATTATCGGTTGCATACATTAGGTTGGCTATTCACGATGATAGAGCTGCTGAATACAGTGCATGATTACAACGGCGCAATGGAACGCTATGCTAGCGTGCTCAAATGCTGCTGTTCTGCTTGGTTACGCTGGTAGTACATACAACATGTAACAGTAAATGCCAATACCAAAAAGATAATGCAAGGCGCCTTGCGTGGCATACAATACTAGGGTTTGGCACTACTGGTAAGGCGCAACCATTGCCCCCGGGAGATTCCGGGATCGATACCCATTAGGGTCATAAGTCCTTCTGATGGTGGAAGGCATTGCGCCCCTAGTTGATGGACGGTGGTGACCTGGGATAAAGTTAACCCGCGAGCCGACCAGGAATGGAGTCGGGCCGCTGTCGACCCGGCAGATTCCGTTAGATGCTGGTGGTGGGTGCGGAACCTGAGCGATCCACTGAGAAGTTGACTAGGGTGACTGGATGAGGGTGCCCCGAAATACCGGGGAAGGCAGGGTTTCGCAGGGTAGCTGCCACGGGCGAAGATACACCCCCCTGTTTCACACATCATATGACAATCTAAATTGCTTCCCACATCTTGCTACTTACGCACATAAATCGTAAGCCCCGAAACCGCTGAATCATGCTGGCTGACTGCTCGGAGACCAAATAGAAGAAATTGCCTTGCCCGTTACAATCAGCTCATCATCAATCAGACATGCCTAGCCATACAGGTAACTGCGCCGATAGCGCCGCCACCGCAGCGGTAACGTGGGCACAACCATTCACCACCACACGAAGACCGCTATGGATAGGCAGCCTCCTCCAAACTGCCTGACGAGGAGTACCACAAATCCTATGTTCCAAGCACGTTCCTCGTTTGAAACCATGGTGACGACGCCGGTAATGCTCCTACATGCACAATTCAAGCGCAGACGATTCGTTATCGGTACGGGACACGTATGCAAAATGAAAGCAGCTCCGTACGGCACTGATACCACATTACATGATAATGCAATCGTCCAGAAGTCAATGGGCAGACGCATAACTGGAAACCACTCGGCTTCAGTAAGAACGTGATATGCCCAAACGCTGCACCAGTGAAGAGAGGCCGAGGACTAAGATGGCGTGTCGCGAGACAGACACCCCACCTGGCATTGAATTGGGCTTCTGCGTTATCACGTGCTGCCCAGCGCCGTCACAGGACAGCCCTCACCCAAAGGTCCGAGTAGCTGGCAGGACTCGCGTGCTGCCCCAACAGCGCATGTGGTGTCCACTAATCACACGTGTCGTGCACCTGCAGGAGTACATGTGCCAAGCCTGGTCAGGAACAAAGCATGCCCAGATTTCCATGCCCATATACGCTCTTCAACACCTACGGAACAGGTGGACTTAGGACACGGCGTTGAAACGGCTGCCATGGATAATAACCCTGACGCGGCAAGCTTTAGACGTCATAACTACGACTTAAACATACGAGTCCACCTGTCCACTGAAAGGGTGTGGCTACTGGCTACTGTAGTACTGTTCCTGGGGCTTTGGCAGTATGCACGTCCCCAAGCATACTCAGCGACCGCAGCTAATTGAAATTGAACATTATTCTTAAGAGGTTTATCCAACACTTTAGCTGACTAACCTGCAAGCACGGCGCGTTTAGCATAAGTCCAGCGCTAAGAGGCTAAACGGGGGGACGTCAAGGCCACCCCCATGCATCATCCCGTATTAATTTAGGTATCCCCGACTCGTCCAAGGAGAGGTTCTCCGTAGCTTTTTCGGGGGGCAGCCCACTTTCTAGGCGCTTCAACTCATCCTGCGTGCAAGAGGAGGCACGTAAATAGGCTCCGCAAAATTCCTTGTTAGACATACGTGCTCGCACCTCATCTGGAACTTGCAGGAACCGGTTCGGTCCTGGTTGCCAAGCCACAATTGCCATAGCCACAATTTCCCGGGGGTCAAGAGCCCGCCCTGGATCCGCTGCAGTTCTATATGGTACCTCAACGTAGCCCTGTGAGAACTTATCGGCCAAGTTGGTCCATTCCTGAAGCGCCGGGAAATTGCGGCAGTCAGCGTATGCGCAATCAACGAAGAAGCCCGGCGGAAAACCATGATTACCTGTTCCTCCAACACGACATATTTATATTCCACTCTTTGACCGGCTGGAAACTCGACCTGCAATGCGTAGAGGGCGAACAAGCTCTTCACACCCTGCTTGATCGGCAGAGTTCTTGCAGTAAGCCCTGACCAAACTTACCTCACAGGTCCATTTGTCCCCAGGATTCCATGACATCGGCATTTTCGCAATAGAGAGGAAGGACCAGCCTAAAGGCAACTGGGACCCGCCGATGCATAGGATTTGATGGCGGTGAGCACGGTAGTGAACGCTGAACTGCACGCGCACGGTTCGTCCACCCTCATTTGTGCTAGCTGTTACCCTGACTGTGCTCCTTTGCAGCGTCCGTGACTTCAGACGCTCAGGGAGGCGCCGAACAGATTCAATACGGTGAATCTTCATTATGAACCCCTTAGGACCACTACAACTAGTTGTGCCTACAAATGCCTGACCTCGTAGAAGTCAAAATATTGGCATTAGGTAACCTAATCTCGCATAGACGAAGGTACAGCAACGGGGCGCTTTTTAGCGCTTTTACGGCGATTTCTTTTTTAAGTGAAAGCGGGAAAGTTTTAAGTTTTGCATCACCAAGTAAGATTTCGTTCGCTTCAAGGATTTTAGCTAGGCAGTCGTGTAAAATATGAGACGCTTCGATAGTCGAGGCGCAACAAGCTCCCCTACCACTGACCTCTCCATCTCTCAAGCTGACGCGCGTTTCCGATTTATGGTTCGAGGATGTCATTGCTAATCGTCATGCGTCGATACTGTAAGGTCAACGGGATGTCCGAGGTCTGGGTCCAACGGTGGCGAGGGCTCAACTTTTGCAGTCATTATCATTGACAGGAACGCATCTGAGACCCGTCAATCTGCATGCTGTCAAACTTTGCGGCCGCAGCACAGCCGCTCGCTCGGCATGCGCATCTATCGCAACGGAGCCCATGCTGATGAACCAGCTTGCCGCAATGATTCCTTTCCTACGTTAGAAAGCTGAGAAAGTCAAGTATTTGGATCGCGCTAGTGCACCTACCATAGGGCCCTTGGCGCATAAGTAGCAAACTTAACACGACTGACGCAATACGTGCTCTTGGTGGCGATGACTCCAGGGTACTCCAGCTCGCGTCATACTGCAAGGAACACTGCCTTTGACAACGAGCGCAGTGCCCATCTGCGCTAGTGTCACAAATTAAAAGGACTGATGGTAGCGGGACGCAGGGGAGAAGGGACGCATGCCACTTAGTTCAATCCCCAAACAGCGAACCGACGTCACACTTGTCGTCGTCCTCCTAGTAGTCTTTCCTCGAAATCCGCCATTTCCAAAATAACTTGCCCGGGTCCTGACGACATACGTACGTACAAGGACCTATTCTCTTACAAATGGCACTGATTCTGCACTGATTCTGCAAGGAATACCATCGAATTGACCTGCAATATGTACGAAAACAGCATCAGCCCACGTACTGTTAGCGGCACTGAGTCTTCCCAACCCTGCACGCAACTTGCGTGCACAAGGCCACTGGCTTTTCAGACTTGGCCCCCTTTTGCCCTCCCGGGCCACCAGAGCTTGACATTCCTCCATTCCAACACAACCGCCAAGAAGCCCGGTAGCTTTCGTCCCGTTACACATCAAATCGCAGATGGACAAAAGCCCCCGCTGGTCCCAACCTCACCTACGACACTGAAACTCCCCGTCGTCCTTCTTTCCTGCCCTCCGCTCTGCTGCCTCCCCACCACCGATCCACCCCTCGCAAGTCCCTCTCGCGGGGAGGCGCGCTTCACCACATCCACTCGTTACAAAGGCTGCAGGTGGCAGCCCAGCAGACCCCGTCCGGACCAACGCAACGGAGTCAGGGAAAGCTCCAGGGGGGCCCCCTGACGCAGCACACGTGCTGCGACGGGTCGCCCCTCGCTGGCAGCCAGCACCGCCGCCACGGCCTGGAGCAAAGATTGACCAGCAGAAGAGGCAGCACCGACTGGTGACAAAGAAGGGGACGAAGAAGAAGCTGACACTTCTCCAAAGGTGCAGAGGAGGTCGCCAACCTGCGACGGGGTACATACGGCCAAAAGATAGCCCAGGGCCCCCAAAGAAGGCCAAGACGGGCAAATCACTCAAAACAGCCGTCGCTATAAACGGAAGCAGCCGTGGCATATCCTACAACAGCTCATGCATTCCGTCACAGCTCCCGTAACCTCTCTAAAAGCCGTTTCCTTTCCACTCCAACGATCCGACCTTTCTCCACAGTTTGCATCTCAGTTTGCATCGGCCGGCAATCGCCAACAAAGAGAAACAAAATCCAGCAAACAAACAACCAAACAAACCCAACTAAAAACACGTTCCATTTGGTTCACGTTTTTGTACTCCATTCATTTTCATGCCCACTAGGAACCCTGCACACAGCATGACGGGGCACCCACCTGCAGCCCAGCCGCCTCCGCCGGAGAGCCCCCCGATACCTCGTCCACCAACGCGAAGGGAACCGGAGGCGGCACAGCCATGCTGGTGCTGGTGCTGCTGGTGTCTTGGTGTACTAATCCGGTACCGGACACCCCTGGCACGGATCCATTGACTCTCCCACCAGCCGCTGCGGCACTGGAATCGTCCACATCCATGGCTGCTGGCCCTCCGCCATTAGACGCGACCGCCGGTGCAGCCTCCTCGGCGACTGCTGTCGAACTACCCCCCAAGATGGGCTCCGGCCGTCCAGCGGGGGCCTCCGAAACCACACCCACCACCGCCGCGTCGCGGCCGTTTGTCGTGGGGCCCTCGCTCCCCTGGCGGCTGGCGCCATTGTTGGACGTGGCTTCAGCTCTTTCGCCCAGGCGAAGAAGGAGCCCATAACGGTGGAAACCGATTAAGCAAGGGGTCAAAAAGGTGGAGTTAAGACGGGAAAATGGGTGACGAAAAAGTGTAGGTAGGGGATGCGAAATGGTGATGGTGGAGCCGGCAGAAGGCTGGGGGATGGGGTCGGATACTGGGTATACACGTATGTGCTGTCGCAGCAATGAATGACGAGGTTACAGGTTAGGTGCCAAGTGACGCGGGCGGGATCTCACCCTGTGTATGTGTGTATGTGCATGTGCGTTACACCTTTAAAATTCCACCTTGTGTGAGTGATTCCCCCTTCGTGACACTCAGGGAAGAGTGCTTCTAAGAGTTAACTACAAGAGTGATGACCTGGTTCCGCAAGTTTTACAGATAGGCCCAGCACATCATGACGATATTATATTTCCAAGTTCCACCCCATCCGTAGCCTTTCCTTTCCCTGGTTTTAGTTCTTTTTTGTGGGCATCCTCTCTTCCCCCCTCCCCCCAGACACACGCGGTCGTCCCTCCTTCGCAGCCAAAGGGGCGCCCACCTCACAGCCTCGTGGAGCTCCCCCAGAAGCCTTGCCAGCTTGTCCGTAAGAGCCTTTTGGTCGTTAGTGAGGCAGATGAGCCGGTGGCGGTCCCGCCGGATTTGCACCACGTCAATGTCGTCACGGGGAAAGCCCTGCCAAGGCAAATACAATGCGTAATCGGTCGGTAACTAGGCTAAGATGTTGCGCGTTACGGATGGTAAACCCGTGCCTGACAGGAGCTCCATGGACCCCATTTAGGAAAGGAGAGGGGGGCGAGGCCCTGGCAGCCACGCGGTACCTCCGCTCTGTCTGTCGCATTGTGAGGAGGGCATCGCGCCCTCCCTACTCCCCAGAATGACGAGTTGACCCGGCCGGGGATGCAGCCAACTTGAAGGGAGGTTTTCGGGCAAGTGGCGACTGCCCAAACTTGCGTGACCTGGGGCGTGCCCAATTTCACCTGCTTATCCAGGAGACTCCCGCTGACTCCAGGTTGTCCAGGAGCATTTAAACGCTCTGACAGCAAGGTAATCTCATCCTCCATGGCTTTCCGCTGCGTGTCTAGATCTCGCAACTCCTGTCGGAGCTCCGCCACAGACCCCGTCCGAGATGTCATTATGACGTTATGGTTTCTGCTTAAGCTTTGTGGGGCACTGCTGATCGTGGCTGTGCACATTCCGCGAGGAAGAAAGTAGTATGAGAAATCCGCTCTAACGCAGCTCCCTGTATGGTCTTGTGCAAATGCACAGAAAACGAATACACTGTCCTTTGATAAAATGGTGGCCTGAAAGCACCTGTCATCGCCAGTGCTACGCTGGAGTTCAGCTGTCCATAGCGCCGTACTTTCCGTAGAGCCTCCGAGTTGTTTCCGTTTGCGACTGTTTTGCGGGTCACCATGGAAATGCATCAGATTTGCGCAGTTATGCATTTCTTGGACATGGCACGAGAAACGTATTCCTTCTACGACCGCTTGTATTTTGACATACTTTATACTTATACTATAATTGCTTATCTTAAGTTACATTGAACTCTAGAGGGACAACTTAACACCTATTACTGGCGCGGCTGGGCGCAATCCTTAGATGGGGCCAGCACCTGCCGAGCCGTCGGGGTTGCCCCCAAAGCAACGCAAACTTAAGACATACCAAGTTCTTGGCGATGTAAACGAATACCAAGAGCGTCTGGCAACTACCCTGCCACCACCAAAAGCGCCCCCGCCTCCGAATGTCTTCACGATACAAGATACCAGCGAGTTTCCGCCAGAAATTTGGTTTGCTGCAACTATCTCGCCAGACAATGGAGTTTCAGTCATCGCATCCTTCAGGGAGCTGTCAAAAGCCAGGTTTGTGTGCGACACACGCGCCAAATGTTTGACGATGTCACGCGGACTAACTGCGGCAGACCCAGATGCTCCAAGCCCAACATGCTACTGCGCAAAATCCATCCCTTGCAGGACCAACCCAAACACTGCTAAACGATGATCCGTAGGCTGAAGCCATGACCATGCCCCTACACCTGTTCCCCAAAAGCAATACCCCTCCTTGCAACTGTGCCACCCAACCCTTGAGCCGCTACCCAAGACCATTTCTTACCCCCACCCCCCACGCCCCACCCACCCACTCCATAAACCCTAAAGTATAATACCATCTGTCTCCTCATCTCCCGCCGTGCTTCCCCCATCATCCTTCCTTTCCTGTAGGGCCCTATACCAGCAACAACTCAACAACATCTACACTGCACGGAAACTGAGCAATATATCCTCCTCGCTACAGCCGCTCGCGCCGTTCAACTCCCAACTGAGCGCCGGTAGCAGCGGCGGCAACGCGATTGCCGGCGGCGGCGGCACCGGCAGCGGAGGCCTGCCTGCAGGCCCTGGGGCCCCTCCTTTTGCCTCCCCCCCCAGCGGCGGCCCTTCCTCCTCCTTCTACACTTCCGCGTACACATCGGGCGAGCCCCCCGTCCACCGCACCATCACGGAGACGGTGCGATTGGGCGCGGAGACACGGCGGCTGGGCAAGTTTGAGCTGCAGCAGCAGAAGTGGGACGAGGTGACGGCGGTGCTGGCGTCTAAGATCGGCAGACCGCCTCAGGAACTCGCCATGCAGCGAGGTGGGTGGAGCTGTGATGATGATGAGCGGGCGTGTGTGTGTGGGGGTGTGTGGGGGGGTTTGGGGGGGGAAAGTGAGGAGAGGGATTATATGTGAGTGAGTGCGTGTGGGACTGTATGTGTGTGTATGTGTGTGTGTATGTGTGTGTATGTGTGTGTATGTGTGTGTATGTGTGTGTATGTGTGTGTATGTGTGTGTATGTGTGTGTATGTGTGTGTATGTGTGTATGTGTATGTATGTGTATGTATGTGTATGTATGTGTAAGTCTCAATTACACCACCTTATTATGGAGTCACCGCGTTACCCTCCAAAAGTGGGTATTAGCGAGGGAGCCCATACCCGTACCCATACCCATATCCACACCTGGAGCCGTGTTGATGCTGAGGGACTGAGGGGCGCTGAGAGGGGCTCAGAACCGAAGGCCGTCGTAAATAGGCATCGGATAGATCGATATGATTAGGATTATCGGTAATAATAAAACGCACAAGAAATGTGATGGGGTGAGGTGGAGTGGAATGGGGTGGAGTGCAAAAGTGATGGGGTAGGGTTGTGTGTGTGTGTGTGTGTGTGTATTTTTAGGGGGTGGTAAGGGTGGTAAGGGTGGTGAAGATGGTGGCAGTGGGGGCCTGTTGGTGGGGTAGGGTTGACATTTTTGACATCCCTTCCTGCCCACTAAACAACCGCTGGCCCCGCACACGGTCACCGGGGGTCCGTATCCTTACTACATATTGCCCTATATCATTATTGGTCTGATCTTGTTGCTTGGAAGATCCGTCCATGGTATATTTTCTTTTCGTCAATCGTCTGTAATGCTTTGTCTGTGTTTCGCCGTACCCCCTCACCCCCCTCCCTCCCTCCCTCCCTCCTGTTTTAGGCCCCGCCTGGCGTACCCGTGCCGAGCTGACTGAGCTGCTGTACCGGGCACAACCCCGTGACGCCCGGGGATTGAACCCGGATGAGGTGGGTACGGCTGGGTACGACTTGGTACGACTTGGTACGGCATGGTATGGCTGGGTACCTTACCAAAGATAGTACGAATGGGGGGTTTCATTCCGGGGGGTGGGGGATTTTGCAAGGGGACAGTTTGCACGGTTTGGTACGGGTGGATTTGGAAAAGTGAACGTTTGTAGGTACGATAGGTACGGATTAGGTGAGTACGGATGTGGAGGTAAGGTGGTTTCGGGGCGTGTGGCGGGGTAATA